TGCTTCTGGGAGAATTAATCCAAACCTAGTTTAAGACCGCGTTCGCGTGTTATAATATTAAGAAAGTACAATTCCTAGCGCTACGAGTACTATTGCGTATATGCGTATACACACAACTATCACTATAACTCGCGTTACGGAATTTTCTCGCAATAAATTCCAATACAGGGAGATTAAGAATTAAATTCTGCTTCTGGGAGAATTAATCCAAACCTAGTTTAAGACCGCGTTCGCGTGTTATAATATTAAGAAAGTACAATTCCTAGCGCTACGAGTACTATTGCGTATATGCGTATACACACAACTATCACTATAACTCGCGTTACGGAATTTTCTCGCAATAAATTTCCATACAGGAGATTAAGAATTAAATTCTGCTTCTGGGAGAATTAATCCAAACCTAGTTTAAGACCGCGTTCGCGTGTTATAATATTAAGAAAGTACAATTCCTAGCGCTACGAGTACTATTGCGTATATGCGTATACACACAACTATCACTATAACTCGCGTTACGGAATTTTCTCGCAATAAATTTCGATACAGGGAGATTAAGAATTAAATTCTGCTTCTGGGAGAATTAATCCGAACCTAGTTTAAGACCGCGTTCGCGTGTTATAATATTAAGAAAGTACAATTCCTAGCGCTACGAGTACTATTGCGTATATGCGTATACACACAACTATCACTATAACTCGCGTTACGGAATTTTCTCGCAATAAATTTCCATACAGGAGATTAAGAATTAAATTCTGCTTCTGGGAGAATTAATCCGAACCTAGTTTAAGACCGCGTTCGCGTGTTATAATATTAAGAAAGTACAATTCCTAGCGCTACGAGTACTATTGCGTATATGCGTATACACACAACTATCACTATAACTCGCGTTACGGAATTTTCTCGCAATAAATTTCGATACAGGGAGATTAAGAATTAAATTCCGCATCTGGGAGAACTTATCCGAACTTAGTTTAAGACCGCGTTCGCGTGTTATAATATAAAGAAAGTACAATTCCTAGCGCTACGAGTACTATTGCGTATATGCGTATACACACAACTATCACTATAACTCGCGTTACGGAATTTTCTCGCAATAAATTTCCATTACAGGGAGATTAAAAATTAAATTATGCTTCTGGGAGAATTAACCAAACCTAGTTTAAATTTACGTTCGCGTGTTATAACAACTAGGAACGTTGTGTTTTGATTCCACAAAATAAAGATTCGATACCTGCAGGTAAACAAACTTATCTCTTGCACGAAATCGCGTGATCGCACACGGACACGATGTGCACTCACTACCACTAACACGGAATATTTAACGCGAAAACGTGCATCGTAGTGCCATCTAACCGACAATCTAGTAATGGCAGATTTAAATTTAAAACACATTTTATCAAATATGCAACAAAGTTGATATTGCATGAAAATGCCAGTCATAAGCAATTTTAATAATGCCTATCAAATCGCAATATTTCTTTAATTTATATTCTATGGTACAACATAATAATATTATATTCACATATCGGAGAAAAACAAACATTCTGTGCAGAGTATCGAAATGGTGAAATAAAACTTACTTACTCAAGCACGAAGGACCTCCTAAGAACGGGGAACAACATGGCAATCAATCCAAGTGATCTAGCGACCGTTGTCACACAATAACCGACAATAAAACCGCAGCATTCTTGTAATTTGAAATGTACACATCAAAAGCGACCAAAAAATCATTTACGGACGTTAAACGCACTTTTAATCATTCACAAATCACAGCAGGATTCATGTTACACTTCGATTGATGACCGAATATAATGCAAATGTAGAAAATAAAAGTCCGATAAAACAATATGCGTCGCGCGAAATGCATCTGGATACGACAGCACCAGGCACGAAACTGGTTGCAAACCATCGATAGCGTATGCCGAAGCCATGCCAGTAACGACGCGAGAATTTATGATAAGAAAGCAAGAGATGCGCAAAGCCGGCACGTCGACAGCGCGCGACCTTGTGCGCGAATTACATGTGGCACGATACATAATTGCGATCTAAACGATACAAGAATGTGCCATGCGGCGAGTGGCAACAGCGAGAGAAGATTCTAATTTTTCTCAATTTTCCCAAAAACTAAACGCGATAAAAAGGAACAGATTGAAAATTTTCAAACTACGGAAAATTTTCTATAAAATTAGCTAGTTAAATTGGAAATCTAGAAAATAAAATTTTAATTCATTAGAAAAAATGGGCAAAGATAATTTAGTTCCACGATTCTCAAAAGTGAATATCTTCTAAACTAAAAGAGATAGCAACGAGAAAATTGTTGATTACCGAAGATTAAATCTTTATCAGATGGAAATTTAAAATAATTTAATTTAATGGGGTAAAATGTCAAAAAACGCGACTAAAAGTGCTAAAAAGTGACACTTTTAAATTTTTGACGATTTATTTCAATTGCGAATATCTCGTAAACTAAAAGAGATACATAGGATCTGATCGCAGCGTCTTAATCTACGGACTATTTTCTATCAGATAGGATAGTTAAAAGGGAAATCTAAGAGATGAAATTTTAAGTCTTAAGAAAAAAATTGCCAAGGGGGGGTGCTTGATACTATTTATCGACGATTTTTGATAACTAATATCTCTTAAACTAAAAGCGATAGCTACCAACGAATTGATGATTATGAAAGATTGGAAAATTCTCTATTAGATAAAAACATAAAATAATTATATTTCCTACAGTACAAGGTCGAAAAACGCGAGTAAAAGTGCGAAAAAGTGACATTTATCAATTTTTGCCCATTTTATTCAATCGCGAATATCTCGTAAACTAAAAGAGATAAATAGGATCTGATCGCAGCGTCTTAATCTACGGACTATTTTCTATCAGATAGGATAGTTAAAAGGGAAATCTAAGAGATGAAATTTAGAGTCTTAAGAAAAAAATTGCCAAGGGGGGGTGCTTGATAGTATTTTTCGACGATTTTTGATAATTAATATCTCTTAAACTAAAAGCGATAGCTACCAACGAATTGATGATTATGAAAGATTGGAAAATTCTCTATCAGATAAAAATATAAAATAATTATATTTCCTACAGTAAAAGGTCGAAAAACGCGACTAAAAGTGCGAAAAAGTGACATTTATCAATTTTTGCCCATTTTATTCAATCGCGAATATCTCGTAAACTAAAAGAGATAAATAGGATCTGATCGCAGCGTCTTAATCTACGGACTATTTTCTATCAGATAGGATAGTTAAAAGGGAAATCTAAGAGATGAAATTTTAAGTCTTAAGAAAAAAATTGCCAAGGGGGGGTGCTTGATACTATTTTTCGACGATTTTTGATAACTAATATCTCTTAAACTAAAAGCGATAGCTACCAACGAATTGATGATTATGAAAGATTGGAAAATTCTCTATCAGATAAAAATATAAAATAATTATATTTCCTACAGTAAAAGGTCGAAAAACGCGACTAAAAGTGCTAAAAAGTGACATTTATCAATTTTTGCCCATTTTATTCAATCGCGAATATCTCGTAAACTAAAAGAGATAAATAGGATCTGATCGCAGCGTCTTAATCTACGGACTATTTTCTATCAGATAGGATAGTTAAAAGGGAAATCTAAGAGATGAAATTTTAAGTCTTAAGAAAAAAATTGCCAAGGGGGGGTGCTTGATACTATTTTTCGACGATTTTTGATAATTAATATCTCTTAAACTAAAAGCGATAGCTACCAACGAATTGATGATTATGAAAGATTGGAAAATTCTCTATCAGATAAAAATATAAAATAATTATATTTCCTACAGTAAAAGGTCGAAAAACGCGACTAAAAGTGCTAAAAAGTGACATTTATCAATTTTTGCCCATTTTATTCAATCGCGAATATCTCGTAAACTAAAAGAGATAAATAGGATCTGATCGCAGCGTCTTAATCTACGGACTATTTTCTAGCAGATAGGATAGTTAAAAGGGAAATCTAAGAGATGAAATTTTAAGTCTTAAGAAAAAAATTGCCAAGGGGGGGTGCTTGATACTATTTTTCGACGATTTTTGATAATTAATATCTCTTAAACTAAAAGCGATAGCTACCAACGAATTGATGATTATGAAAGATTGGAAAATTCTCTATCAGATAAAAATATAAAATAATTAGATTTCCTACAGTACAAGGTCGAAAAACGCGAGTAAAAGTGCTAAAAAGTGACATTTATCAATTTTTGCCCATTTTATTCAATCGCGAATATCTCGTAAACTAAAAGAGGTAAATAGGATCTGATTGAAAATCTAATAAACGAAAAAAGAATTTAATAAAGGTAGCGACTCCCATTTATGGCACCGTACGAGGCTAGCGGTAAAAGTGACTCGTGTTCAGGGCACCGTACGAGGCTAGCGGTAAAAGTGACTCGTGTTCAGGACACCGTACGAAGCTCGCGGTTAAAGTGACTCGTGTTCAGAACACCGTACGAAGCTAGCGGTAAAAGTGACTCGTGTTCAGGGCACCGTACGAGGCTAGCGGTAAAAGTGGCTCGTGTTCAGAGCACCGTACGAGGCTAGCGGTTAAAGTGACTCGTGTTCAGGGCATCGTACGAGGCTAGCGGTAAAGGTGACTCGTGTTCAGGGCACCGAACGAGGGTAGCGGTAGAAGTGACCGACTGAGGACATATTTTTTAAACTAAAAGCGCTAGCGACCAGCCGATCGAAGATTATGAAAGTTTGGAAAATTCTCTATAAGATAAGATAAGAAAATAATTAAAATACGGGGTGTAAAGGTTCTGAAATCGGGTCTAAAAGTGCAAAAATTGAACTTTTTCATTTTTTTAGAGTTTTCTTCGATCGGGAATATCTCGAAAACTAAAAGAGATACAGAAGAGCGGATTAAAACACGACTGTCTTGTGTCTTTGCAACACGCGGTGAAACGCGAAAAAAAAACTACGTAAATACAAAGTTATGTACGATGCAGGAATTAAAATGAAAAATATAATTGAATTATAAACTTACCAATGCAGATCACATCGGACTCCAAGGCACGGCAAATACTGTAAATAAGAAAAGAAAACATTATATTCATGTAATATTATATTCATACAGCAGAGAAAAAGTCGCGAAGTCGTCGCGTCGACGGCCCGTCTCGAATGCTCACGCTTGCCGATAAATATAGAAATAAACAATACAAATCTATTTTACGAATTTTGAGCCATGCTACATAAAATATTTAAGTGATATCTGCAAGTAATCTGCTGATAATAAATATGTTTTGTATTCTTGATGATTTTTATAATAAACTATTTGAATTAATATAAAATGGTTAGTTATATTCATGAAAGAATTGACGAATATTTGCTTAAATTTACGATGCTAATATAACAAATAGCAACGGTGTGTTTTGATTCCACGAAATAAAGATTCGATACCTGCAGGTAAACAAACTTATCTCATGCGCGAAATCGCGTGATCGCACACGGACACGGTGTGCACTCACTACCACCAACAAGTAATACTCGTATTTAACGCAAAAACATGCACCGTAGTGCCATCAAACCGACTATCTAGTAATGGCAGATTTAAATTTAAAACACATTTTATCAAATATGCAACAAAGTTGATATTGCATGAAAATGCCAGTCATAAGCAATTTAATAATGCCTATCAAATCGCAATATTTCTTTAATTTATATTCTATGGTACAACATTATAATATTATATTCACATGTCGGAGAAAAACAAATATTCTGTGCGGAGTATCGAAATGGTAAAATAAAAATTACTTACTCAAGCACGAAGGGACCTCCTAAGAACGGGGAACAACATGGCAATCAATCCAATTGATCTAGCGACCAACCACACCACACAATGACCGACAATAAAACCGCAGCATTCTTGTAATTTGAAATGTAAACATCAAAAGCGAGCAAAAAATCATTTACGGACGTTAAACGCACTATTAATCATTCACAAAACACAGCAGATGCATGTTACACGTCGATGGATGACCGAATATAATGCAAATGTAGAAAATAGGAGTCCGCTAAAACAATACGCGTCGCGCGAAATACGTCTGGACACGTAAGCACCAGGCACGCAACTGGCTGCAAACCATCGAAAGCATATGCCCAAGCCGTGCCAGTAACGCCGCGAGAGTTTATGATAAGAAAGCAAGAGATGCGCAAAGCCGGCGCGTCGACGGCCCGCGACCTTGAGCGCGAATTACATTTGGCACGGTTCATATATGCGAACTGCTGCATGCGGCAAGTGGCAACGGCGAGAGAGGATTCTAATTATTCTCGATTTCCACAAAAACTAAACGCGATAGAAAGAAACAGATTGAAAATTTTCAAACTACGGAAAATTTTCTACAGAATAGAAACGTGGTTAAATGTGCTAAAAAGTGACATTTTTAATTTTTGACGATTTATTTCAATCGCGAATATCTCGTAAACTAAAAGAGGTAAATAGGAACAAATCGCAGAGACTATTTTACGGACGGCGCAAGTCCAGCCGTCGGACTCGTAGTGTCTTTTTTTTTTCAAGGTTATATACAGGATGTTACGGTAGTGTTTCAGGTGTGCAGGATCGGCTTTATTGTTACATGCAAGTCTGCAGGGTAATATTAAGTACGTGCCGTACCCTAAACCGGCCCCTTCATGATGCACCTTTCTTGATCTAAATCCCTAAGATAAAAGCAACACAACCTTTCGATTGATTCACATTTATTATAATAACATCTTGGGAATTGTATTGATATAAATATGCAAAAAGAACTTTAGCATTCTTAATTATACTTGAAATAAAGAACAAATGATCATAAAACATAATTGTACAAAGTCCAAAGTTCGAATAGATGCTACTTACTTCAACACGCAACAGTATAGCTTCGCAGCGACAATGAAAGAATCGCAATATTCCTAATGACATGAACTTTATACCAACCGCTACAATTAACGATGCACTTATCGATCAGGTCAATAGCGTTTCGTCCAGTTCCTCTTCCTTGCCCTCTGACTGATGCATGATTTTTCTCAGCACTTTGCTCACCACGTCGACGAGAGCTTCTCGGGCGCCGACATCCAAAATTTTCAGACATTTCTACAATAATGTACAAACACACACACCTTTAGTAAATCCCTAGAAGAAAAAGATGTAATCTTACCTGATTAACTTCATCTCCTTCCTTCAACTTCAACACCGCAATCAACGCCAACTCGCTGTTGGCTTTCACGTAACCGTTCTTCTCCTTTGAGCCGTTTACCAACATAGGTAGAAGTAATTTTAGCAATTCCGGAGCCATCTTCTCCGAAGGAACCTGTCGTGCCAGCTGCATACACATTTTAGCAAACAATTGCTTCACCTCGTTGCTGTTGTTATTCATCGTCTTCACGAATGGCATCAGCAAATTCGAAGGCAGTGGTTTCGAGTTAATCATCAGATTTTGAAACATGTACCCGCAGGAACGAATACCGCTCGAGGTGATTTGAACGCGATCAGCAACAAGTTGACTCTGTAGTGTTTTCTCCACCTTGGGCATAAACCTTTCATCCCAGATAGTGTCGGTGGATTCTTTCAACGCCACGGATAAAGCAGCAGAACGACCATGTCGCAAAGTCCAATCGCATGAAGTGTCATCATCTAAAAATATTTAAAAATGAAATATCTAAGACTTAATAATTTACTATAAGTTAAAAACTTACTTAAAAGATGTTCAGTTAATGTTGTCGTCAACTGTTCGGGTGTCAAGTATTGACACAAAGCACCAAGACAACCTGCGGCGCATACTCTGGTCACGTCCTCTTGATGACCCAACAGGCCAATGAGGGTTTGATGAATTTGTTTCCGTAATGGTTCCGTCATTTTATCACCCGCAGGTGAAATAATTCCTCTGAGCGCATGCAGCGTCGTCTCTCTTACAGCAACATCATCGGTGTTCTTGATTGTATTGTGCAATTCCATAAATAAGGGATCGGGTCTTTGATGAATCAAAATAAGATATCCCAAAGCGTTTCCAGATTTTAGACGCACCACGCGATTTGGATCATTGAGCGCTTTAACGAATGTTGTTTGCAGTTGAGGTAGGAACTGCTTCAGCATAATACCCACTTTAGCCAGAAGAATAGCTAAAGTTTCCAGAACAGCCGTTTTCACGTTCGGGTTGAATCTGTCACCGAGAATACGAATCAGTGGACCAGTGATAGAAACCACACTGGTTTGGAGTGCAGGTGCACTTGTTAACTTAATAACTTCTCCAAGACCTTGCGCCGCAGCCTCTTTTTCATCTCCATCGCCATTTAGAATAGCTTCGCGGAAAATAGGTAATATTGGAGCTATGCCCTTTGGTAAGCAGAAGCCCGGTAATTCTGAGGTACCCTTTAAGTCCGAAACCGCATAGCGCACAGCTTGTCGCACGTCCGAAACGAACGTAGCTTGTTGTTTAGCATCCAACGACTTGGTGATTGCATTCAAAGCCTCCCAGGACATCTGTAGCACTTCCTTGTTTGTATCTGTGCATAGATGAATCAATCCTCGATATAGTTGGGGCACGTGGTTGATGTACTGCGCTCGGGTATTTGCACAGAAAGCGCACAACAAGGTAGCAGCTGCTTTTCGTTGCCCGGAATGTTCATTCCTGGTACTCTCTAATAAAGTATCTATGACTGTGCGAATACCAGCTTCGTCCACAACCGATAAAACCACCGCCTGGCAATACTCCAATTGGATTGTTTCCTCTGGAGTACCACTGGAGAGAGCGAGAGCATTTTGCAGTGCGGGAAGAATCTTATTTAGATATTTGTTGAGGGCTTCACCTGCGACAGATGCCAAAATCGACAAGGCCTTTGTATTAGCTGGTGGACTAGTAAGTTGTGGTACCAGATAAGGCAAAACCACTCTTGACTTAATTGCCATCACTTGGCGCAAACCATCCAAAGTACATTCAACAATTTTCGGATCATCGTCGTTCAACTGAGTCAACATGGCGGGTAAAATGTCATCCAATGCTTTGGTACCCACCGTACTATGCAAACTATCGAATGTCTTAGCCGCCGCTTTGCGTACTTCTGGTAAAGGATCACACAGAGCTTTCCTTACAGTTGGTACCAAAGAGTTGACAAAGGTAACAATCATTTCCCTTGATGTAGAAGCCATAATTTCCGATAGACCAATACAAACACCTTGCCTCTGATCAGCGCGTTCCGACTCCAAACCACGTTCCAAAATAGGAATTATTTCCGGTAAAACTCGTTCGCCCAATTTCCGGACTAGGTCCCCAAGTGTCCTGGCAGCAACTTGTCGCTTGTCGTAACTATCACTCGCTAGACAACCCAAAAGTAAACCGAACAAAGTCGGTAAAATCTCCCTTAGTGTCCTTGGAGTATTCGTAACAACCACCTTCCAAACGTGCAGCGCTGCCTGTCGCACCATTAATGCTACATCAGAGCGACCCATGTATAAACCAGCAAGCACACGATTTCTTCGTTCACCTCCGAGCGAATTAATAATTGCAAGGTGCGATTGCTCCGTACCGAAATTGTCATCCTCGCTAGCTGTCTCAGTACTCATCTTACCAGTAACACCAGAGATCCTGTAGAGCAAATCACCCAACAACTGCACGGAACTGTATCGGATTCTCCAGTTGTCATCAAAAAGTCCTTTCTCCAACTCGGGTAAGAGTAAAAGTATCGCAGAATCCGCATAAAGCGTAACAATGCGTTGGCCTGCCTTTAGGGCAGTGTCCCGAACGTATTCGTTTTCATCTGCTAACGCCTTTAAAATCGGATTGATAATTTGTCCGATATAGGGTGTAAACTCACTTTGGAATACAGCCGGCATGTAGATAAACATCATGATGTAACCGTCCTTAACGTGAGGAGCAATGTCTGTGCGTTCAGCAGTCGCAATAATATCAGGCATCAATTTATGCAACTTTTCAACACCCAACCCACCGACAACTTCGGATAAACCTTGCGCGGCTCCTGAACGATCCACGGAACTCGATTCGGAGGTCAATGTTTGCATCAACCACGGCAGAAGGTCTTCGAAACTAGACTCGCCCATGCCACGAACCATTGCGCCCAGTGCTCTAGCACTAACGCTTCTAACTTCCGGTACAGGATCCAAAAGCGACATTTTGAGTCCAGGTATAATTGTTGGAAGATAAGGAAATAGATCTTTTTGATCAGTCAAGGAATACATGTTACCAATAATTTGTGCCGCCATTTTTCTGGTTTCTGTGGAACGATCCATAAAGGCTCTCTGTACCACCGGCATAATCAACGCCAAAGATGGTGCGTCAATAAAATGAACAAACTGCGTATCCAACAAAGTCTGCAGACATGCCGAGGTCTTATTGCTGGGATCTTGTAAAGCATGCAGTAAAACAGGGACAATCGCCTGAATTTCAGGATTTCGAATGACTGAGCCAATGACCCTCAAAGCCTCCGCGCCGGATTCCTGCACCTTCATGTGTGAATCGCTCAAAACCTCAATCAACTTCGGTACGATACTTGGTAAGCACGAACTGAGCTGTTTCGGCGCGCAGTATGCCATCGCACCTAACAGCTCAACCGAACCTGTTTTGGTCCTCCACGAATCTTCCTCTAGGGCTTGCAACAAATGCGGCAGTACCAATTTCACACCATGACCAGATAATTTGCTCATGACAACTTTTGCAGTGTCATCTGTCGCTTTGCGCACATACTGACTAGTATCGCCGAAGCAGAGCAATAAATGCGGCAAAACATGCACAATATACGGTTCAAACAGCTTACCAAGCACCTGGAAGAGCATCTCAAATGCAAACAGTGCTCCTTCGCGATGTTTGTAATTTTTCTTGTCTTGTATAGCGTCCGTTAACTTGGTCATAATATCCAACTGTTTTAAAGCAAGAATACCCATTCCTTTGACCATACCAGCAAGCCCATATGCAGCACCCTTACGGTCACCGTATTTATCACTCTTGAGGAGTTGATGCAACAATTTGTTTATGTACCCTGGTGCCTCTTCTTTGATAGATGGTACTAAGAATGGCAAACAATTGGAGACTGATTCTTGTACTTGTTGTGATGGTGTTGATAATGCGCTGATAAGACGCTGAACAATAGGTTTGATACGCGGATCCTCCTTGTCTAAATGTCGGGCTAGCGAACCCATGAGGATAACAACGGCTTGTTTCACATGGTCGAAATTCGCCGACTTGGTCGATTTGTCCATAAAGTTTTCGAAAACTGGCAGTAGGGTACTCACGGTATCTTTGCCATGTTCGTCGACTAGTTTCAACGATGCGTTCAACATTTCCTTGCGTACCTTTTCGGAACGATCCGCCAACGAAGTTCCAACAAAGAACTCAATCAAGTTACCAATGACATCATATTCAATTAAAGGTGCAAGTTGTGTCAGGGCTAACGCAACGCCACGACGTGGTCCCCATAAGTCAATCGGTTTCTCGATTTCTCTTCCGAATTCATCCAGACGAGCAGGAATCATCTAAATTTAATTTTAAATTATTTTGATAAAAAATATTAAACATTAAAAACAACATACCGTAACACGTTCTTTATAAAGAGCAATTAACCGATCTAATGACCCTTTAACAGCTTCTTTATTATCTTGTAGTAGTGTAGCCAAAGCTTCAGCTGTGGCCATCTGAACACATTCTACAGGGTGTTCTAAATCTCCAATCAACTCATCACTGAGTGCCACCGGGAAGTTAAGTTTTGCGTTGGTCCATAAACTATTAGCCAAATCTCGATTAGCCTCATCAACGTCAAATTTAGCAATCCAAATGCGTTTAGACACTTTCAGCGCGGACTCGTAATTCTCTTCAAAAGTAGGAATCGAAGATTTCATCGCAGTTAGACCGCGCAGCGCTGCATCACGTACCACGCTTGTTGGACTTTGCAGAGCGCGCAACAAGACTTCTAAATCATCAATGGTTGCCGTCGCGCAATTTTTTCACCGGATGCTGAAGCAGCTACATCCAACAAAGTGGCTTCTGCTTGCGACTGAATACGACCAGATGTTGTACCTAAATTTTATATGTTAACAAAAAAATCACCCAAAATTTAAATATTATAACTTACTGATGAGTTTAATCAGCAATTCGAACATTTGCTTATGTGGCAGCCATCTTGGATGGTACAAATCATGATAAACCCTCAATTTGGCATGCTCAGAGATAATTTGCAGGCCATCATGGATCAAACTCTCATCGATTTTCTTACGCAGCAATGCTAGATTAATCATTGGGAAAGAATAGGTAAACGCCGTCGCTGTGTAATGATTACTAATCCCATCATCGCTCTCCAGATCATCATCATCATCACAACCGTTCTTTTTATCGGCTTTATGCATGACAAACGTATGCATTTCTTTAATGACCCTCGCAATGGCAGTCTCCAAAGGTTCTTCTTCCCAGTTTGGATCCAAATCACACTGTGGTTTGTGTAATCGAAGCGTAACATTCGCAATCACCAGTGAAAGCGTATCAATATCTTTTGAAAACACGCTTTGCCTCAGATCAACAAACAATTTACACAAATCAGGCGCGGCTAACGGTGAACAGAGGTCTTTTAATAAAACGGGAAGTAAATCTTTATAACAGAAAGATAATTCTGCAGGATTACCCTTTGCTAATCCACGCAATTGTGCCACAACCACCTGAATTTTATTATTTAAGACCGTAAGTCGATTGCGGATATTTTGTTCTTTGACTTTTTGATTTTTTATAGCTTCGAGTTGTTTGGCATTGTACTGTGGCGGTTTGATTTTACCTTCTTTGCGCTTTTTCTCTTCAAGTTCACGCCTCAGCTGCAAATCTTCCTGCTGCTCTTTAAAACTGTACACTTTACTCTCGCGTTTCATATTCATCTGACTATTAGAATCATCGCCAGGAATCACGCTCTTATCGTACAGTTCATCTTCGGGAGTCAAATACGTGAAATAATCATCTTTCGATATCATGCGAATGTCTTCATCGTCAAGTTCCTTAACAATCTGAGCTACCGCGGTGGATAAAAGCGTTGAATTCGTAAAAGACACAACTGTGGCCAACGCATTCTCATAACTCTGATTAATTTGGAAGCCATCAATCAAAATCGAATGCAATTTAGCATTTTGTTGAATAACAAACTCTTTCGGTTTAATTCCCATGTGTTTGACAAGTTTAATCCACAGAGTGGGATTAACACTTACCACACTCGGATGGTGCGCCGGAATCAACGCGTCTAAAGCGACAAGGTGCGCGTCTTCAGATGTGATATCCTTGGGACACAGAATCGCAATACATTCGACTAAAACATGCGGACTCACCGATCCCTCCTGCTCGCGATCGCCATTTTTAATTTTGATGCTATCCAAACAAGTTATCATCTCTTTAAGTAAATTTCTAGAAATTGTTACTCCGCTCAAACTCGCAACAACTTTCTTCACAAGTTCCACGCATTTCTTCCGCGTGGGATATTCTGATGTAGTCAAACATTGCAAAATGGCCCTGTATACTGGTTTTGGATTTTTCAACCTGTCAGCATGTCCCACAAGAAGTTTTGTACTCAAATCCACAATCAACGGAATCATCTCCTGTGGTGCTGATGTAATAAACTTCTCCGATGTGAACAATTGCTTGTCCATGTCTGTTACAGCATTCCAAAATTGATTATTACCTTTTTCCTTCCCTCCACCACCATCGCTTTCGAAAATTTTCAGCAACAAACACGCTGCGCTCAATCCTTCAACTTGATGCTGTGCGGGTTGGGCAACTGTTTTCTCAATAGATTTCATAAAAATACCAGAAAGTGGTTCCAATTGTTTAATGTTGGTAGCATTAAATGTGTTCAACATGCTCTGCATGTAGAAAGCCTTTACTAATACAGTGGACGTTTTCAAATCGAGTCCTTTCTTGTAAAAATCAATCACTTTCTTGGGCACCTCATTGCTATATTTGGTGGTCCAGCATGACCACATGTCCAGGCAGTGGCAGAGCGTTTTTTCATGTCCTTCAAGCTCGAGTACTTTGATGAAATGATCAGTTGCATTAGAAATGAGTTCCTGAAGTGCGCTGCCTGTAATCGCATTGTTACTAAGATTACCAGCACCTTGCAGCACGCTGATCTTGTGCTCTGCAATCGTAAGTTTGCCATCTGAACCATGAAACACACCGAATAAGTGTTTAAGCATGATTTCCATGGCAGGCGCTTCGCTTATGCGCTGCGCAAGCGCATCTATCGCGGCGATGGATTCTTTTCGAGCTAGATCATCGTTGGAATGCAGATTTGCAATCAGACTTTTACCGATGTCCATTGCAAACGCGCTCAAATCGATTTTTAAACCGATTATAACGAGACCCACCGCTTCGATAATGATTTCAGGATTTCGCAATAGAGATCGAGACAATGCTGGCAGAAGAATTGACTTAAATTGGTCAGTAGTCACTTGATTCAAAAGCGGATAACATGCGATGATGAGATGTTTCGATGGTTTTTGTTTGACGCTGATTAAACTCTTGACGAAGAAATCTAAATGTAGATCCTAAAATAAATATTAAAATATATTATTTTATTTAATATAAATAACTAATATCTTACAACATGTCCTGGAATATCCTGTGATTTACCATTCCTTTCCAAATGTTTAAATATCAAACTGGCAAATACTGGAATAGCAACCAGTGTTGGTTCCTGACTTTTAAACTCTTCCAAATACTTTGTCACTAATCCATCACAATTTTTAAACATATTATCCAACTAAAATTGAATATTTAAATATACAATTAATTTTTTAATATTGAATTTTAATGACATACCAATGTAAATGCTTTAAAACTTTTCTTGGAATCACCAGCATCACAAATAGCGGCATACAACAGCATTTGGGTCCCAAATAATTTGCCTATATTAGCCTGCACCAACTCTGGATGTTTCTTTGAGATAGCCATGATAAGCAAACAACTCCATTTCAGTGTATAGAGGCAGCTTTGGGCTGTCCAAGCCCTAGAAATTTGGTTTCCAAATTAGAAACAGGAAGAAAAACACACAAAGTGCACAAATGTAAATTGCTGAAGCTATTACTACATTATCCCAAATATAAAACTTAAACTCTGAAGCTGTGAAAAACAAAATGTAGCTCTCAACCATACTGATGCATTGAATGAAATAAATCTTATGTTTGAACAATGATAAGAAATGGAACAAATTTTTTTGACAGAATTTAATTGTCATAATTATAATCAGATTTGTAATATACTCAAAACTCACGTGGCAACGAGGTTTTTGTGTTGTTGTGCAATATCTTGCAGCACCCCAATCATCCCATTGATGGTCCATTCTGGATGAGCACTGGCCAACTCTCCAAGCAAGTTTCTCAAACACAATTGTGACTTGTTGTCGCGGTACTTTAGCAGCGTGCTCTGGACAACTTTGCAGATGCCTTTGACGATGTTTTCGTTGATGCCTGCGAACGTTTTAACTGATAACATCCGCGAAATGTGCGTGTATATTGCGCCAACGGCGATGTTTTACCTGGATTTGTAAGCACGGCGACAACATTGTCGATAACCTCTTTGCGCTCCGGTATGCTGGCGGTTTGTACTCGATAGGGAAGATCCTTGAGTCCTTTGGCCAACTGCGAACAATCATCCGGTTTAATTAGGCTCATAATTGCACAGATTTTCTTAGTTTTTCAGCGTACACGTGACAAATTACTTACTTCGGTTTCTGCCATTTTTACCAAAGTGACAGTGACATCTGTTTTACTATAACACACTACCGTCAATCATTGCAACCTCAGCAAGCCTTTTCGAATTCAAAGTTATAAATGATAATTTAATTTGTTACCGTTGCGTATTTATAATATATTACATAAATAAGAAAATAAAAAAATATAATATAACTATTATTTGTATCTAAATTATGTAAAAATTACTGTTTAATATTTTTTTGTCAAATAAATGTGGTGCAAAACATAACCTTCATTTTACTACATGTATCTTATGTACCATTACAAAACTTCCTCGAATTACAATTAAAGATTAGTTAATAATAATGAATTTTATAAGCAAATTATTAACAGTATCTCAGACAGCTAGAAGTGTAGTAATAATTAACTACAGAAATTATCCTCGTTGGACCAGTAGAAATCCTCTAAAAGTAGTTTCATCTGAAGAATTAGATGAAGATCATGAAAACAAACAATCAACATCTAAACAAGTAGAAAAACCAATAGAAGAAGCAATGAAAATCAAATGGAGATTTCAAGCTGAGGCTGCAGCAAAATCACAAGAACAAGACGTGGAAGTTATTGAAAGGGAGGTCAAAATTAAAGAAAAAAAGCAAAAGGTAACTCCAAAACAAAAGGTGAACACAACTGATATGATGGAAACAACATTCAATGACAAGGGACAACTAATCTACACCAAGATGAAAAACAACGATCCACGTGTCGGTCAACTTCTAACAACAGTAAAAACGAAAAAGTCAATGACTAAGAGGAATTTAGTATTACTAGAAGGCAAAAGACTGATCAGAGATGCCTTGATATCTGGATGCACATTAAAATATTTGCTTTTCACGCGCAAAGTAGAAGTCGAATACCTAAAACCTAATTTGCCGAAATGCGGAGCACAGATGTACAAAATGCCCTACAAAGAGATGCAAATGTGGTCAGATCTAACCACTACACCCGGTATAATGGGCCTGTTCCGCACGCCAAGTCCCGAAAATTACATCTCAACAGATCCGCTCCCAATTACGATTTTCTGCGATAATATACGAGAACCCGGTAATCTCGGTGCGATTATGCGCGTCGCAGCTTCCGCCGGATGTCAAAAAGTATTGCTCAGTTTAGGATGCGTAAATATATGGGACTCTAAAGTTATTAGAAGTTCGGCTGGGTCTCACTTTCGTGCTCAAATCGTAACTAAGAAAACTATTGAAGATCTACGACAAGAACTAACCGCAGGGAATAAAATACTATATATAGCTGATAACCATATGATAAACACTGAAGATTCGAAACAAGAAAATGAAGATTTGGAAAAGTTAATCAATGCTATTCCAATTATTCCGTATTACAGCGTTAATGTAAAAGAGGCGAATAAAGAAGGCAAAGAGATCGTGTTGGTTATCGGCGGCGAAACACACGGAATCCAGGCGGATGTTTACAAATTAGCGCAGGAGTTTCACGGAGTTCGGCTTAATATACCAATGAGCAATGGCGTCGAAAGTTTGAACACTGGTACTGCTCTAGGCATCATTACATTTGAATTTTATAGACAGTTTAAAACAACGAGTAGTTTGAATTGAATTGTACGTTAAAATATATGAATTAATATTGAATTCTATTTTTTTTATCATTTACTTTTGTTTTCCCACATTACTTATAAGAGTTTCCGCCATTTTGTAAAAACTTAGCTCTGTTCACGTTAATAAACAAGAATTTTACTTAAGTAAACGCTTAATATGATTAATTTGTCACTTAGGAAATAAAACCTGCCGAAAAATCTTCAAAACTAACTTTAAATGTTGATATTTAAATTAATTATATGGCGATTGTCCATTAAAAACTCCTTACGATTGAAATCACGTATAATTTTTACACATAATGCAATAAAATTACTGGAAATTATCGCAAAGTGGAATAAAAACCAAAAATCATGTGAATATAAAATATAAAACAAAGAATTTTTGTGGTGATAAATGGGTACGTGGATGACGGACAGAAATCAGAGTAAACGGCTTTCCACTTTGCATAAGACAAAAGACCTACCAACGTATATAAAATTACTCCATGCCGTACAACTTGAGAGTCCTGTCCATCGATGTACTCGCAATATAATGCGCATGCTTGCCGAAGCGAATTCCCGTCGCTGTCGCCGTATGATCGTTGAACACCTTCAATTCTTGCCATTGCTTGCAGAGATAAACCCTAAACAATCCAAAACAAACAAAATAACATACTGCGCAGGCGCACATTTAAATAAATCCCGTTAATATACCTTATATCTGTACCAGCAATAGCCAAATAACTACCGCTTTGATCAAAGCACAGATCCTTGATCTGATAACCTTCATCCAGTTGAAGAGTTTTGAAGTTTCGCAGTTTGCGCAAATCCCACAGCTTGACGCAAGCATCATCCGCGGCAGTTGCAAGATAATAACCGTTTTCCGAAAAAGAGATCGACGTGATCGCACCGGAATGTCCAGTAAAGTTCGCCACATTGCTTTGCTCCTTCAAATCCCAAATTTTTACCTTTGAATCAGCGGTACCAGTGCCGAAAATCAACCCGTCAGGATGAAACTGTGCTGTGGTCAATGCCACATTGGATTGATCGATGACCTTGGTCAACAGGCGACCTACGCGGATATCTGAAAACGCCCAATGTTGATCCTCTGAAGTAGACAGGACATAATCGCCTGTCGGATGTAAAGATAAGCCTGTGACTGCGCTGTCATGCGAGCGTAATAACAGCGTAGTTTGCGACGTTGGCACATTCCAGATACGAATAGTTGCATCTGGTGATGCTGTCAAGACAATATCCTCATCAGGATGATAGATCACTTTGGTGACCTTTTTAGTGTGACCTTTAAGAATGCATACAACCTGTTCGGTGTCTTTGTTGAAAACGGTGGCGTTTTTATCGTTGCCGCCAGTAAGAATTTTACTCGTGTCCGAAGGATTGATATCTAATGAAAGTATTCCGGGAACGGAAGCGGAGTGTAAACTAGGATGGGATGCAAGTGTCCGGAATGAGCGCAATTGTTCTTGTGTGACTAATTCTTCGGGAACTGTACGACCGCGTTTTTTGCGTTCTTGTGTGAGCACTGTTGCTTTGTCTTGCAGTTTTTGGATGACTTCCGCGCTCATACCAGCTTGTTCTGTTGGCTGGTTTGCAACGCCTGCAGCTTCAGCAGCAACAGCCTAAATTTAAAAATTTTAATAATTCAGTAATAAAATGGTTTTTATGTAAATATAATAATTAAAACTCACAGGTTGTGGCACACTGGTAATTCCAGCTTGTGGTTTGAGTGTAGCAAGTGCTTCCCTTGCAGCAGTGACTTCTTTGTTAAGCCTTGCAATAACTCTACAAGCAGCATCATGCTGGTATAAAGCATGACTTAATTCTTGTCTGGCTGTTTGTAATTGTTGCCTCTGCGTGAAACTGTACAACATAACAGCATCCCATTCATCCTGAAGAAGTTTGAGTGTTGCTGGAATGCTGGTGGCACTGGGAGGTTTTGGTTTCACAATTGGTGGTGTCTTCACTTCAATCAGCTCCTCAACTGTGAGATCTTTGCCACTGAATGGGTCCACGCCATTTTCCTGTATGTATTTTTCGATGATGCGACGTTCGAAGATAGCGCCTGAGGATGGCGATACGACTGGGTGCTCTGGCACTTCATTTGATACTGAAAGTTTTTAAGTCAAGAAGAAAAAAAAACGTCAGTTTACGTTGAATGAGAATAAACAATTTTGAAGGTTAGGAACCAAAATGCGGTAGGTTTTTAATGAATTTTCACAGAATAGAATAATTTCTTGGCTGAATTTTGTTAGAGAAGATAGTGGCATTGGTTTTAATCATATTGTAAGTAATTTTATAGGTGTAAATACTTAAAATGTGTAATTTTTGTACTTACTCGCACAACACAACGCCATTTTTCACCACGGGTACGCCAAAACTGTTTGTATGTGTTTGTGTCAGCGCATTTTTCAACAACTGCCGTCTTGCGGAATTAAATGAAACTAATATCTAAAAACTTTTTAAAATTATTTTTAATATCTTGCTAAATAATAATTATAACAATAAAAATATTAAAATAATTAATAAAAACCACACTTTTTTCTCCGCCTTAATAACTTATTTTAGCTTTAAAATAATTTTCGTTATGACGTACTCCATATAACCTCAATGTAAACGTTGTTTACATAAAATTGTTACAATTTATTTGTTTCTTCAAAAAGAGCGCAATAAATACCAAAAATGGGTAAACGACAGCACCAAAAGGATAAAATGTAATCACTCTCAAATAAAAGTCTATATTATTAACCATTATTATTAAAAATAAATAATTTTTAGGTATATTACATACACAGAATGGACAACTCTTTACGGAGGAAAGAGATCTGGCTATCAATCAACAGCTGAAGAAGATAACTTCAAACGCCTTCCATTTGACCACTGCTGCCTTGCATTGCAACCCTTTGAAAACCCATACTGTGACAGGGATGGTAACATTTTTGACTTGGAACCTTTAGTACTATTCTTAAAAAAGTACAAAATCAACCCAGTCACAGGAGCCAAGTTAGATGTAAAAGAACTAATCAAACTAAATGTGCACAAAAATGCAGCTGATGAATATCACTGTCCTGTTTTGTTCAAAACATTCACAAAAAACTCTCATATTGTTGCCATTGCAAAGACTGGCAATGTCTTCTCAAATGAAGCTATTGAACAGTTGAATATCAAAAACAAAAACTGGAAAGACTTGATTACTGATGAACCATTTGAGAGGAAGGATATTATCACTATACAAGATCCTAATAATCTTGGCAAGTTTAACATTTCCACATTTCATCATGTGAAAGAAAATCTAAGAGTAGAAACAGAAGAAGAAATTGCTGCAAGAGGAGATCCACAGGCAAAAATAAAAAGAATGAATCCAGAAACCAAGGAGACTTTATCTGAGTTACAGAAGTTTCAAGAATCTTCTATTCAATTGAATCCATCGCAGTCCAACGAGAAAGCAGATAAATTTAACGCTGCGCATTATTCCACAGGTGCTGTTGCCGCAGGTTTTACTTCAACAGTAATGTCGCCTGAATTGGTGCATCAAGCGGCGATTGTTCACGAAGATATCGTGCGATATGAACGTGTTAAAAAGAAGGGATATGTAAGACTACTGACGAATTTTGGTCCGTTGAATTTGGAACTGTTTTGTGATCTTGTACCGAAAACCTGCGAGAATTTTATGAAACATTGTCAGAATGGATATTACAATGGCACTAAATTTTTAGATCTATTCGTAATTTTATGGTAAGTTATAATATTATAGAGATAAAGAAGGAAAAAATAAAATTTGAATATTTTTTAGATTCAAGGTGGTGATCCAACTAATACTGGAACCGGTGGTAAATCTATTTGGGGCAAAAAGTTTGAAGATGAATATGTGCAGAAGTTTTCACACACTGGCAGAGGTATTCTTTCAATGGCGAATTCAGGGCCGAATACAAACGGATCACAATTGTTAGTTAAATAATTCAAAATTTTAATTGAATTTACTTGTAAATTAATAAATATTACTTTCTAGCTTTATAACATACCGTTCCTGTAAGCATTTGGATAAAAAACACACCATTTTCGGTAAAGTTGTCGGCGGAATCGAGACTTTAAACGAAATGGAACGCATTGAAGTGGATAATAAAGACAGACCTATAGAAGATATAATATTAATGCGAGCACAAGTATTTGTGGATCCCTATGAAGAAGCAGATGAGATTTTAGCGAAAGAAAGAGCTGAGGAAATACAAAAACAAGCGGCAGAAGCCGAAGAAAAGAAGAAAAAAATCAAAGCTGCTCAACAACTAACCGTATTCAAAAGCGGCATTGGAAAATATATTAATCCTACAACAACTAAAAGGTTTTTATTACTATAATCCATTTTATTAAATCATCAAATTAAATGTTTATTAAATTGATTTGATTTTAGTATTATGAAAACAGAAGAACCGTCAACATCAGAATCAAACCCACAAAAACAAACAAAGAAGAAGTCAAGCTTCGGGTTCAACTTCAACAACTGGTAATTGTTGTTAATCCACATTTGTATCCATATCTATGCATAATTAAATTTAAATGATGCATTAATATCACCCGAGACAACTTTTAATCTCCATTCCCTTTCCTCTTTAATTTATAACATTGTATATGTTTCATAACTAGGGCAAAACTTATCATAATTGAAATTAAATTTAATCTCAACATTATACCGAATGTTTATGTTAATTACACAAATATTGATTATACGAAACCTTGCCGCTTGCCAAATTTGTTTACAATCATCATTTGATGTGATTGACTGCAATCACGGTCAATATACTCACTGTAATGAGTTGAAAATTTAAGGTTTTTGACTCCAAAACCTTACACGTGATGTAAATTCGCCGATTTGTGAATTTATCAATGCGCAAATTGGCAATATTATGTGTTACAGCGATAAATGCGTGCTATCTAGAATTAATTACGAGCAGACCAACGCACAATCGAGGATAATATAAACAACAAACATTCTATTGCACACTGGGGCCGGCAGGGGAAGCTATAAATGAGTTTCTTTCGTTAGGAGTCAACATTTGATGTTTACGAGTAAAGAGTGAAGAAATACTTAAGTGATTTTAGTTAGATATAAATAGTGCAAGACTGATAATTGTGTAAATGTGTTTGTGAAACTGTTATTGCATCCAACGATCCAACTATTTATAAACAATGCAGTTTATTAATAGTGTTTAGTGTTTTGATTGATTAAACAATCACAAAACGGATAAAAAATAGTTTATTTTATTAATATTAACTAGAATAATGGCGTTAGGACCAAATTCAGTTAGATCTTTGCTGTATGGAATAAATTTTATATTTGTTGTAAGTTTTCAGTGATAATTTAAAAGAAAAATGTGTAATTTTAATGTCATTGGTGTTTTTCAGTTAACAGGAATTGTTTTATGTGCTCATGGAATGGAAAACCTGTTCTTTTATCGAAACTATGCGAATTTAGTTCAGGAACAATACGTGTACATTTCATACTTTCAAATTATCGTTGGATTGTTAATTTGTGCGATAGCAATCGTTGGATGGTATGGTGCTATCGCTGAAAGTTCAGTTGTTACTTTAATGGTAAACAAAAATAACAAAAATGGCCGAAATTCTAACTAATAAACATGATTTCTTTAAATTATTTCTAGTTTTCTACGAGTTTACTCTTAATATTTTTCCTAGAGTTATCAGTAGGCATTGGCAGTTACTTCCTGAATATAACAACGCGTAATTCTCTGAATGCATCACTGCGTCTGCCCAATGGCACCAGTGATTACACAATGTTGTACAGATGGGAGCGATTGCAAACCGACGTAAGTACAAGTCATAAAAATTGCAATGTACTTTTTTCGTAACCAGTTCAAACTACAAGTTTATGCGCTGTTTATGCGTGTTTGTAAATTCATAACTTTTCATTTAAAAATGACTTTAATCTCTAATCTGATGCAATTTAAATACATTCTTGCAAAAACTAATCTATTATTAGTTTTCATGCTGCGGTATCGAAACCCCGTTGGATTGGTTTACGCAAAATGAAGAAGATGTCTTACCAGTGCTCCCGGATTCGTGTTGCTATCAAAGTGAATCGAGTTGGAAGATCAGCGATTGTTTTCCGAGAAATTCTTACAGAACCGGATGTTTTGTGCCCTTGGAAGCTGAAATTCAAGATAACTGTTTAATGGTTAGTTTAATATGCTTTACAGTTGCAACATTTCAGGTAAAATATTGATTGAAATTAATGGTGGAGTAAAAATTGTTAATTGTTTGATTTTTCAGCTTTTAGGCATCATTTTAACTTGTTACTTAAGTGGAGAGTTCCGGAAAGAATATCAAAGCTTTTAAAACGGCTTAATATTAATAATTAGATATTTATTTATAAAATTTATTAAAGTAGGGACTCCGATTCGACAAGAAAGATGAAAAAAGAAAAGAATCTAGAAAGCTGCGAAGAAAATACTGGAAGACTCAAGCATGTCTAAGCGGAGTAGAGGTCAGAAGCTTGCCTTGCTTCCCCCACTACTTTTTGCGGGTAGTCCGCAAGCGAGCGCGCAGTGCTTTCAAAATTCCCTTTTCTCTTCGGATCACCCTCATGGGTCCACGCTCTCTGGTGTCGTTAATTCCTCCAAATCGGTCGACCCGATCTCAAATTTACATAGCAATTAAATAAAATGTAGCTTTAAATCAATTACAGACCGAATTAAACTTAAATTTGATACTAAAACAAAATAAATTCTCAAAACAAAACAGAACTTTTCTTTCTATTCTTCGTGTTTATATTACTCCTAATTACTCCTGCATATTAAGTTGCCTATTTTATTCATTCCGCGCTTCCTGCGCGCTAGACAAAGTTTGAAAAGTAAAACAGCGTGCGTATTCACTCGTCGCGTATTTGTTTAAATAAATAAAGCCGGCGCACTTGAATTGCGCATCCGCGCGTTCCGTGCACGTCGCATACGCCTACGGCAGTTGGCCTTCAATTGCGTTGCGTTGATAAGAAACCATAAAAATTACACGTTGACATAAAAGCACACCTATCGCGTCTATTGTTAATCACATTAACGATTCGGACGAGACAATCGCAAACAATCGCAATAGTTGACGCGTGTTAATCAAGAGTGCGCTGCACGAAAGCGAAATCATTTCTTTCGCCGTGGGATTCAGAAATTCTTGTTCGCGACCGGTTCGTGTACCGTGCGCCAACGAAAGCGAAACTTTTCGGTAAAAGTGCAGCCACACGCAAACGCGCTCAGGTGGACAGTGTGTTGTGAACGTCGTGAATACCAAAACGGGGCCAACGCGTGGTCCAACATCCAGTTTGATCGAATTATCTAGATCGCAAAGATCACAAATCAATCAGCGAAAATGTCGTACACGGCGCTCACGATAAAATACCTCCTGTTTCTATTCAATTTACTCTTCGTGGTAAGTTAATTAACGCCATATTAAATATTTAATATCGGATTATGTTCCACCGTGCAGATAAGCAAAAAAAAAAATGCATGTGACATGTAGAACATATTGAACATTCCTCGTAATTTGATTAGCGTGATTCACATCAACTAGCAGATATCAAATATCTAAAATATATAAATAAACCTAGTTAATTCTGTTTGTATCGAACCTAGATAACTGGAATTGTCCTGATATCCGTCGGAGTAACCGTCAAAGAATACTACATTTCCTATGAAGATCTACTGGATCAGCAATACTTCTCCACGCCGAATTTACTCATCGCCATTGGATCGATTATCTTTATCATCGCTTTCTTTGGATGTTGCGGCGCAATCAAGCAAAACTATTGCATGTTGATCACGGTAGGTGAAAACAAACCCAGACGCAAGCAAACAATCAACAAAAAACAAGTTTACTTGCCATATTAATCAACTTATTTGCGCTTTTCATTATTATTGCAGTTTGTCGCACTTTTGGTACTTATCTTTATCCTGGAATTCGCTGCTGGTATCAGTGGATATGTACTTAAAGGCGCTACCGAAGAATATCTCAAAGGAAGTATGGAGGAGAGTATGAAGCATTACAACGATACAGCTACGAATGAAGCAACGGAGATTTGGGATCTTGTCCAGAATAAGGTAAATTTTACGCTTGAAATTACATGGTTGATGTTTAAATTTCTTCTTTCAGTTCGAATGCTGTGGTATTGAGAGCGCTAATGATTGGGACACGAATGTACCCGCGTTGAATGGCTCCCTGCCACTTTCCTGCTGCACTATTCCTCCGGGTACCGTTGGAGAGTATGTGTGTAATAAGGAAGCTAAAGGTTTCCACAAAAGTGGATGCGAATCTGCCTTCGGGACTTATGTGCGTGAACATGCTGTTACCATCGGCTCGATTGGTTTGTCTTTCGCCGCGGTGCAGGTTCTAGCGATTGTTTTCGCTTGTCATTTGGCCAAACAAGTCAAACAGAACTACGTTCCGTATGCATAATTCACGATATCGTTTTATTTTCCTACTTAAAATTAAGTATTAAAACATCTGCTATAGATCAGTAAGTGTGTACATTTGTGAATGTAGTTTCTTCAAAACTTACATGCGTGATGCCTGTATTACTTTACCTTGCGTGCGTGAAATTGATTATTTGAAAATAAATACGTTTTAAAAAGTATGAAACTTGTTGTGTTAACAAATATTTATCGCAGAATTCTTGAGATATAAGTTTTAAACATGGCGACGTGGTTTGCATGACAAACTTTTGTATACTTTACTCCGAAAGTTATGCAACTTCATAAACAGCATGTCAAGCAGCGCCATCAATGGCAAAACATGGAAATAATCTTTGATTTGTTGTCATCGCTGTGTGTCAGTATGACTTGTCACCAACTCACAACTAGTGTAATCACCTGATAACCGCGAAGAAAAACACATTACCTCCAAGAAATGAATGAACGCGTGCGGCGATTGACCCCCAGCCGCCGCAGCAACCGCGCGCGATGAGGCACAAGCCGCCAGCCAGCTAGTTCACCTCGCGCCTCTGCGGCGATGTCCGAATCGTCGTCGTCGACGTCGTCGCTCACGGCGCCGTCCACATGGTCGCTGTACTCGGCGTCGCAGAATCTCGCCGGCGTCCTCAACGACCCCAACAAGGGCAAACAGACCAACTTTTTCATCCGCACCTGGGGCGATGGCTTCGTCGAGAAATCCGACATCGAAAAGAGCCCGTTTCTGCCCGACATCAATCACACCCATTTCGATTCGTACCTCAAAAAGGTGGGCAAACGCTTTCGGCGGCATCGCCGCCTCTCAAGCACCAAGTCGGACGCGGGTCGCACGCGTACGAAAAGCGAAAGCAATGCGGAGAACGTCGACAGCATTCCGGAGATATTCCTCAAGGGCGACTTCCCGCTCAGCAATCCCAAAGTGTTCAGCCAAGTATTTGGAACCCTAGATGATACCAGCTTCAATGAGCGCAGCCTTCACGAATCGCTCACGCATTATCTCGACATCGTCGAGGTGCAAATCGCTAAGCAAGTATCGCAGAAATCCGGCGCTTTTTTTCACGCGATGACCTCACATGACACCATCATGGAGCAAATGGGCACGGCCTGTGGGGAAGTACGACAACTCCGGGGTAAAATCAAATCAGTCGATGAGAATCTAGCGAAGAATCCGCTGAAATTACTAGCGTTGGCGCGCTCACGCTCGAATCGCATCGCACTCGTTGACAAAATCAAATTCATGTCCACGGTGCTGCAAACGCAACCCACCTTACAGCTTTTATTAAGTTCTTCCGATTATGTGGCAGCTTTGGAACTAATCGAAAGCACCCAGCAGGTTTTAGCAAGGGAATTAGCTGGTGTAACTAGTCTACGACATCTTCCCTCACAACTTAAAGAAATGTCTAGGCTTATCGACAAAATGCTCACGACAGAATTCGAACGTTACGCTGCAGCGGATTTACATCGACCTCTAGATGCTCCTGAAGGTGTCTTAGAACCGGAAAGATTAATATCTCTAGTCGCTGGTTTACTCCGACAAAACCATCTGAGTTTTTTAGAAGTTTACAAACTGGAAGCGGTGACAGCCGCACAAGCGGTACTTAAACAATTGCTCATCGAGCAGTTGGCTGATGTCGAAGATGATTCTGAACAGTGTCTGACTGGTTCAGGCGAAGCTACACCAAATTTAGACTCGTCGCATTGGTTGCGCGTGTTGGCGTTGGCCAGCGACGCGCTGAAGAAGCTAATAAGTCGAGTCAGAGACGTGCATGATATGATTAAGCAAACTGCGCAGGTGAGCGCAGGCGTGATCACACCGAGTGATTCTAGTCTTGTACAACAAGAGAAGTTCCTTCATATAGATGATTTAAAACGCGTCGAAACAAAATTGAAGGATCTCTTGGTGTCAATTTGCGATTACTGCAACGAACGCCTTGCCTCCCTGGTGAGTAAACAGTCGGATCGACAAAACATCACCGCTGGACAGATAAATGAACTGTCAGCGATTGTTGAAGACTTCACCGACGCCTGTGAGAAGATCTGCGGGAGGCAGAGCGCTGCGTTAAAAGCAGCTTTCAAGATACAGGCAGGAAACTACGTAAATAAATTCCATAGTCAGCGAAAGAATAAGCTCACACTGTTATTAGACGCGGAGCGATGGAAAGTCGCTGATGTGCCGCATGAATTTCAACTGCTGGTTGATAAACTCGCATCGGGTGAAGTTATCGATACAATACCCAACTCACCGACGGAGAATAACAATAAAAACTTCGCGGCGTGTCTGGTGATTAACGATCAGAAGTATGTGACGGTCGGTACGGTGCTGATGCTGATTAGACTCGTGTGCGAGTACTGCGTGTGCGCGCACAACTTGCCGCTGTTAGCCACGGTGGTTTATCGTAATCTAGCCGAGTTGCTGCGGACGTTTAATTCGCGATCATGCCAGCTGGTGCTGGGTGCCGGCGCGTTGAAAACCGCCGGGTTGAAAACGATCACCAGTACGAATCTTGCGTTGACATCGCGCGCGTTGCAACTGGTGCTTTGGTTGGTGCCGCATATACGTGCGCACTTCTCGATTGTTGCGCCCGAAGCGGTATCATCGCTGGATACTGTCGAGAAAGATGTCGGACATCATATACAACAGCTGGAGACGAAAGTCTTGTCGATTATGAATTCGCTCTTTGGCGAATCGTTGAATGAATGGGACGCGAAACCGCCAGTGCCGTCGAAGGTTTTTCGAAACATCTCGAAACATTTGACGAAGTTACACGAGGCAGTCAGCAGCGTGCTGCCTGCTGAGCAAGTGACTGATGTCTATGAAGTGCTCCATAAGAACTTTAAGTGTCGGCTGCGCGACCAGTTGTTTAAAATGAACATTCAGAATAATGGCGGCCCGCAGCACGGCGTCGTAACGCAGGAGTTGACTTTCTATATCGAAACGCTACGGAATATTAATGTGATATCCGAGAAATACCTGTCTGATAAGGCCATGGAGGACATTTGGCTGAAGTAGTTTTTAATATACATATTTGGTAAATGATGCGCGGGGTGATTACGGAAAATTGATTAAATATTTATTAAAAAGTTGATATGTTGTTATTTACTCTACTTCCTACCTTATTCACGAGTGCAGCGGATGCAGGAATTGTAGTTTATGGCACAGTGCACTAAATTCAACAAAACAAACATGCAATAACTGCAGTTGTATTCAGATGACTAAGATAACTTTGTTTTTTGCCGGTTTCAGATAGTATACGACAGGATAGAGACAACTAGCGCCCTCTACAACATTTTAAAATTCGCGACAGATTTTCAATTGTTTGATACTACAGCAATCTAATTCAATTATAGATTCATATGCGACCGTTAATAAATCTAAATAGTTATTTTCAAACCTCATTACAATTATTTTATGCTTAAATATTCTTGATTTTAATTTTTATATTAAGCTAGCTGCCATCCGGTGACGCCATGTCACATGGCGGGTTTTCAACATGTGCGGACTGGTTCTTAGCGGTTTTTAAGATTAGTTAAAAAATACTTTAACGTTACATTTCACATCCAATCACGTAAAATAGTATTGAAAATGAATGTAGATTCGTATTACACATTTAATTTTCCTAGCGAGTATCTGCGTTTCCTCACGTTTCCGTTCATTTGCTTTTCTTTGGTTATCACCTTGAATTTGCTAAGGTATTTTACAAATTTGATTTGAATCAGTGCATTCCTCACTTTTAAATGATATTATTTGCTCTGCAGGCGTAAATTTCCTATCACAGTCAACTGTTGGTTCTGTAATCAAAATACTGCACTGCCATACAAAGAGAGGAACAGTTTTACTTGTCCATCGTGCCATCAGTACAATGGATTCACCGAGGTAAGATAAACAGTTTTATTTATAGCCAGAATAAATATTTGAATATTTATAAATTAAACCTTACAGACTGGTGATTATAATAAAGTGATACCTGAACAGCAGGATGAACTGCTTAATCACATTGTGTCACCAAGAAAGTTGCATTCTGCCAGAGCTTCAAATGGCTTATGCCAAATTTGTAATAATAACCAACAGTTGAAGATTTATCAGCTAGCCAATTTTGTGCCATTGAATGAGGATAACTATGATGTAGAAATTGAGCATTTCCAGACACAGCTGGAGAAAGCTTATAAACTATGCCAATCTTGTAACGCCACAGTAAAGAATACAATTTCAAAGAGAAATTGTGCACTGTTGGGGAAACAGATTGAAGAGATTCGAAAATCGGGAAAAACGCTACTCAATCAATCAACTACTGCCAAACAAAATATCAGTAACTTAAAAAAAGGCATTCTGTGTTCCATAGTGATATCAACAGTGTATTTTGTGTCTAAAAATAGAAAAGAATGGATTGTGTTCATGCAGATGATTGAAGAATATAGTTTAGAGTTGATGTCTGCTCTAATAGGCAGCTTAATCACAATGGTAAGCAAAATATTTATAAAAACTAAATAAATTTTAATGAAAATTTTTGATATTTAGTTAGTTATGCGCGTGACGTCACCACGAGTTGAATCAGCACCATTACTAACAGTAAAGAAGATAAAAATAGAAAAAACTACACCGGGTTCGCGTATATCGACTGGTTCCTATACAACTTCACCACAACACAACGATATGTCCGGAGCAGATATAAGTTACACCAGTTTTCACTCACCTTTGAATTCCACAACGAAATCCGACGATGGCGGAAGCATCTGCTCGGAATTAGAAAGAATATCGGCCGATACCAACTCCAGTGACAGTTGTAAAACCATATTACGAAAATCTCCGTCCGCTCCATCGATGTATTCATCATTCACTGCCACGCAGAGTCCTTTTCCCTCTAAACCGCCCCTCAATCACACTTTCCAGCAGCTAAATATCAATCTCAATGCGCAATCAACCTCCAATCGCGTCATCTTATCGCCAGCGAAATTCCGGAATCCATGGACTGGTAAACCCTGGGACACGGAAATAAACAGTAGGTCTTCAAGTCAAAGTTCCGGTGTTTACTCACGCGCGACTTCCATTTGTGGCGATGACATCACCTCCGACCAGAATCTGTTCAAAAATGTAACAAATCCACTGCCGACACACATTTATCCGAATAATAATTTTAATACTATAGATTCTATGAACGTATTTGGTCGAATCTATTAACTGGGTTGATTTTGCGGGTTTACTTGTAATTTATGTCTGTATTATTTATGTGTTCAATGGAATATTTGTGATTTTTGGGTTTGCAAAGACGCCAGGACGTATTTTGCTACAATCTAAGCCAAAATTTAATGATTTTCGATTGATAATGAAAATTCGAATAAAAATTTAATGTTTTACATGATTTGTTATGCAGTTGTGTGTTCACTATGAATAAAAATAATGATTAAACAATAATCTTGTTTGTTTTCATTTAAAATTCTTTTTTCTTTGAAGTTGTGATCAAAAATAACATTTATTCAAAATATTTATATAAATTACTTTAAAATTAAATATTCCTCAATCCAAATCCATTCAGAATACTTACAGACTTATCAAAAGCAATACCGTTCCTAACAATCTTATAACAACCTTTTTCTGACAAATCAATAACAGTTGATGCGTTGCGTTTGTTCTCCCGAGATCACCGCCATCAAAAACGCAATCCAAACATGACCACAACTCTTTAAACTCGTAAACATTCACGGTGCTAGCTTGCCCGCTTAAATTGGCACTTGTCAACGCAATCGGACTATCTAAACCCTTCGCAACATCCTGAATAAATCTATAATCAGGAATTCTGACTCCTAACTTACCATCAAACACTAAAGACTTATCTAACGCATTAATACATTCGAGAATTAACGTTACTGGGCCCGGTAGTAATGCTTCAAGAAGTCGCGGTGGTAAATTCGAACAATTCGCCCATTTTGCAACGTCATGCTGCCGCCCAACGCAAACGGCGACCGGTTTGTTTTCATTTCGCGATTTTATCTCATATAATTTTGAAATTGACTGTACATTAGTCGCTGCACATGCTAAGCCGTAGACTGTATCTGTTGGTATGGCAATCACACCTCCGTTTTTAAAGTTTCTATGGCTATTGCAACAGCATCCACATCACTTGTTGAAATTATCGGCGCCATTTTCGTTTTAAAGTTTTCAGTGTGTTAAGTTTAAATTTACTACAGAGATTAGTAACCACTCTCATTCTTTTTTCTATATTAGTTTGAGATTGAGTAAATAAACCTAGTCACGCCAGTTGTGTCCACATTCAACGCTGCAGCATCTGTAGAACGTGGTCATCGGTTCGTCAGCGGAACGGGTTTGAATCTGCATGAAATATGCTCTTGGATGCGCACATTTAGGACAACGTTCTTCGGTGTTGTCAACGTTTTTCCAGGCTTCTGCACCGCCCAGGACTTCGTCGATTTCCTATGATGTTATTCTCAGTTAGAGACGAATGTGTTATAATTTAATATTGCAACAATTGTTACCTTTAGTTTATAAAACGTGCGACTCGTGATTGTTTGCTTGATTGGTTGTACAATAGGACACACGTTGCAGGTTAACTGCATGCGACCGGATCCCTGTTGCAGGAACATTAAATTTCCACACAGAGGACAGTAACTAATCATTATTTCGATGTTTACAATAACATTTTGTTGTTTATATTGTGAAGACTGCGTAGGTTAAAAGAACACGAACATGCTGCACTGATGCAATACTGACTACAACCATATGAAAATTAGCACTATAGGCAACCAATTATACATATTGTCAAGTATAGTTACTTTTAATTTATAAACTGAAAAGAAATTGAAACATAATATTACCACAAATGGCGCAATATCATAAATAAACATTAATGAATACAATCTGCATCATAAGTACAATGAAACAGTATCACAAGTGAACTAAAACATAAAATAACCAATGTTTCTTCAATATCCTAGGTGGAACAAGATGACGAGGTAAGATCTCATTAAATTTATTAATATTATTTACACGAATTCAACTGGAAGATTGAATTATCGATAATTAATACTTAATAAGTCAAGTAGCAATGTAATAACAATGTGTGTAACTGCATTATTAGCCACTATATAAAATTCATTTAGATATTATGCAAGGAGAGAATTGATTTATAATTGTGACTAGAATTGGAACTAGATTGTCGCCCAAATGAGCTGCTGAATTAGTTGATATGTATTGTACAATTTGTCTAAGTAATTCGTGCGCTTACGACTCTCGGTTGTAAAAGCAGGCACCTCATCGTAATACATAACCATCTTGTTCGAATCACAATTCGTCAATATCTTCTCCCCAACGTCACTATAAAACCCATCATTCATCACCATCTCACAATCAACCAGCGTCAAATTCTTATCGAAACAAAGCCGTATCTCACTGATCAGCGAGATCTTCGTTTTCTTATCAACAACACAAACAATATACGCTGCTTTTTTTAGAATTTTCTTAATCGAATTATACAAGTCGGTAACAAAGTATCCCTCCTGCCTTGGTTCAATTCCACTCTTACTGAGGATGATATTCATGCCATACTCTTGGATCCATTCGAGACCTTTGCGGAAATATTTCACCTCGGAGTTGAAGACGGGGAGTTGAGCTGCACAAGTGCCATGTTTCACCCATTCGTGTTTCCAGAGTGAATAAAGCGGAGTATTCGCCTCGATATTCATCCAGTATAATTCCAAATCAGGTAAAATAGGTTCCAAGGCATTCGGAATAAACTTAGCTGTTTTGTTGCAGTAGTTGGGGCCTTCAGTGCCCTTTTTAGTCGGCCATATGCCATGAATCGTCCAGAGGTTCTCTTTTGGAGGTAGAGTACAATTATTCGTCGGTCTGTTTTCCTCCCATTCCATGCACACAGTAATGGGCCAGTGTTGAGTGAAGATTAAAAAGTCAAATTTTGTATCCGTGGCTGTTGCTGTGTCTAACAAGGAGCTAAAACAATTGAATAACGTTTAGTATGCACTGCAATATTTTCACTTTTACTTACCAAACATGCAGAATTAGAACGAATATGACAGCGTTGAGCGGCAACATGTTTACATTTAATTAACAGTTTTCGTTGTGAATACACTCGCAGTTAGAATCATTGGGTCATGCTTGTTATTGCTATTTTTATTGCGTTTTATTTTCGGAATTTCGCTGATTATGCACAGCGTGGTGAGCAAATCCACTGATTTGAGGTCGCGCGCGTCCGCTGACTACACTGGCATCGGGAAAATCCAGATTCCAGGTAGTTGGTAATCACGTGGTTCTTCTGAGAAGGGTTGAGCGAGCAAACTGACCTGCCCGCATTCTACCAGCCAGCCCCTCACAAAGAAGCGTATTACGACACTTGGGTAGACATATAGTCAACACAATGCCACACAAACAAATTGTGTAGGTGTGCGACGTACATCGACGAGGAGAATACAAACAAGAATGCAGGTGTGTGCAAAGACCGTACGAAAATGCTGGCGTTATTTTTGTTGGACCTTTTTCATTCATAGAATCTGCTTCCATTGTCTAACACTAGATGGCTGCACTGTTCTTATGTACTACATAAGCACCTGGCGTGATCTAGCGATGAGAACAGGTAACATAATATCAACTTTTTGCTGGTCCGGTTAGGAACTCAGGAAATAACGATGGGAAGGACGTTTTAAACATTGATTGTTGCTACCGGGACAAAGCTGTAAAACAATACACGTAGGTAATAAATAAATACAACTGGATGATACGTCAGGTTGCAAAAGTTTTTATTCAATACATAACAAAATTTCCACGAAGCCTCGGTCCTATCGATAATGCAAGTGTAATTAAAACCATAGTGCAGAGCGCATAGTGATAATGAAAATATTAATTTACATAAATATTTACACAATCGCTTCAATATATTTTCGTTTTCGTTATCGTGACCTTGATGATGAAGACAAATAAAAATGATTCCGTTGTTTATTATAATTTTTAAAATTAATTGTAAGATGGCCATAGCCACATAATTAGTGCACTCCAACAGGTGTCGGGAACCAACCTACCAGAGCACCTGATGAAGTACAATAGACATGTGACAGATTTGCGAAAATAATTTCGTGCGCCGGCTGCGCTGCATTTCGAAGAATTTCAACTGCGTCGGTTGTAGTTGGTTGCCGATTGTTGGTCGTGTGTTGCTTGTTGCCAAGGCGAAAGAATTCCTCTCGCCGGCGCGCTCGCATCCGGCAGATGTTTGGTGCCTACCGCAACGCGCGCTACTTCAGGTACCTGACTCGGGGGGACGAGCGGTCCACGCCAAAAAGAAGTCAAAATACCGAAGTAACACGCGTCGCAACGGCCCGCAGTGTGCAGAATTCGGGACGGAATTAGAAAGCGTGCGTGCCGTCTTGTTGCACTGAGCAGCAGCAACAGCAGCTTCCCCCAATGTACTATACCTAGCGGCGCGGCCTCGCTCAAGGACCCCCAAGGTTCTTCTCGGTGAGCGCGCAAAGCCAGCGCCGATTTGGCAATAAAATCAAACACGTATTAGCAAATTAGACACAAGGCCGTGCAGTACCAGCAACTAGCACACAGCGTATCTATGTACAACTGGCAAACAGCTGTGTGGCGTACACCTTTTTCCCCGTTTTCAAAATGCTTGAATAATTTTTCGGATTGACGTCCCGGATATGTCCACAAGTGATCTCGCACCGGAAACGGACTCGATAACTCGCGCCTCGAGGCCCACCAACGAGTAAGTAACAAACACCTACTGCCAAGTCGATTTCGTCGAAGTAGGTCGTTGAGTTGGTACGTTGGGGGCCGAACGACCGAAAGTAAAGTTTCAAAATTACTTATTATGTTCGCTCGCTGCCACACCGCTCACACACAAACCCCGCACACACCACAGCCGCGATTTTTTCGCGAGCAAACAATTTTTGTTTCTTGTCCGCTGCTCGGAGAGACTTTCGGGGAATCGAAGGTGGCGTGTCGGCGTTCGCACGATTATTCGCGGCCGCACGCAGACAGAGGAGAGGTTTTCGACCGGTCGGCACCGCGTGCCGGTGCTGACGTCTACGATTTCGTGCTGTGCGCGTATAACGTATGTACAAGCGCAAGTACATTTACAACAATTTACTCCTTCGGCATTCCCTCCTTCGTATCCTTAACTGTTCCAAAAACCCACGATCCAAATCGAATTCCACTGGTTTATATCATTATTTAATTCGGCTAATTTATTTTTTAAATTTAAATTTAATCTTCAAGTCACTTGAGGTAAATTTACCAAAAATTCAAACTTTTACAAGTTGCGAGTTGTAAAACCGGCGCAAATGTAAAGCAAGTTTAGCACGACTACACCACCCGACCGCACGTTGCGAACTGAAAATGAACGAGCGAGCAGCCGGCCGTCATGCCGGCATCGGCGGCGCTGGCGGTATCGCTTGGTGGGGGCAGCGTACCCATCGTCTGGCGAAAAGGCGATCGCGATCCAATCGTCGCGCGCGAAACAAACGAGACGTGACGAACGAATGCTGCCGACCGCACAGGCAACGATCCGAGGCGCGGCGCGGCGGCGAGTCCGCCGGCGGTGGGGATTCCGCCGCGTCTGGGTCCTTAACCTAACTTAACGGCCGCGACGGTCGCCGCCGGCCGCCATCCGTCTCGCTTCGGCCAACGCACCACACACACCAATATCTACTACATATAGTCCAGTCAATTCCACCAAAGTTTACAAACATTTTTCAAAATCGCATGGAATTGACTGTGTTCCCTCATTTTCAAGGCCCCCGACGTTATTTTTATCACATACACTTACACCACCAAAATTGCTTAATTACTCTCTCACAAATCCCAATCGTGTCGGTTGAAAACTTTCAACTGATGACGTCATGATCCGTCTGTAGTCTCTCTGCGTTCGCCTACCCTTTTCGACAAGGTCGAGCGGGCGAACAAAAAGTCAAACTTGTTCGTCGAGCAATAAACTTCATGCGAAAAACAACACAGCGCCATCTGCAACAATAACATTCTACACGTTAGTAACAAACTTTAAAAAGCGGGTAATAAAATTTTTACTTGTTCAGTCCTACAACATTGATTTGATGTAGTCTGAAGGCTCAAACGAAGAATAACGAGTGCAGTACGTGTGTGAGTATGCTTGCGAATAAAACACCGAACACTGGCGATAAAATAATTCAGTCGGGCGAGGCCCCGATGCGGGCCCCGGCGCTGGCGGGCGTCTAGACGTCGGGGATGTTGGGAAAGGCCAGGGCCACGCCGCGCGCGCGGAGCTCACCAACACCGCCAGCGTGCACGTGCCGCGCTCGCTCGAATGCAAACAGAAGCACAAGCATATAGCGCTGTACAGCCACACTCACTCATATACATCCAACACGCACTCAATCGTTAAAAAATAATGCATCGGGAGTTGAGACGCTGGAAATTTCACATTTCGCCCCGAAACAACTGATTCAATTACATCCGCCTACAAACCTTTCGTAATTAATTTGTTGTTGTTGATCGAATTTGTTGCAACTAATGAGAATTCTATTGCGCGGCGCGTGAAATAAATGAAGCGCATCCGGAACGACGCAGTCTCCGCACTTCTGTATGTGCACGCGCGCGTGTGCACTGCAGCCATGATAATGTGATTGCGCGGAAGTAGAAAAAATAGGAATAAAACGCAGAAAACGCAATTTCAGGAAAATCGCTCAATAATATTGCTTTTCTTGGAAACTCTGCTTATTAAAAATGAAGACCAACTGACACGTGTACCATACACACCCTAAACTGAATATTTTGTAATAATAATAGAGATTTGCTAAATACTGTGAGGCAAAACATATAATTTTGATGTTTTTATAGTGTTTATAAACACACTGTATGTTAATCCTAGGTAAACAGGCAGTAATTTCCCCCGACGTGTGGGACGTACAGGCAGACGAGGCGGTTGACTCTCTAGTGTGGCAATAACGAGAGTGGCAAATAATGGTGTCCAAATCGATATTTACAAATTTACAATGTTAACATGCGTTACACATTATTGCGACACATTTTTCGCCAGCCGCACGTTATCCACAGACACTCACCCAACAAAATTTGCATCGTAATTATCATAAAACAAATGAATAATAGGTAGTATTTTAGTATTGGCAAACCCTATAGCTATATTTGGTAATAACTAATAACTATCTATTAACTAAACACATGTTTTCTTACGATTTGCAAGAAGTACCAATTTCCAACCATCTGGTTACCAAGGTGTTGACTCTTGTTGTTGAAATCTACAATATATGGTATATGGTATGGTGTATGATCCGATGTAAGTCCAATAATGTGCACTGTACACTAATGATATGAATGTATTATGATTCAAACACACTGCGCGGATCCGAAAGCTCGGAGAAAGTTCGAGAGCGTCGAGCGTGTGCGTGCGACGTCGTGGACTCTGGTACTCTGCCACACACAGGCCACTACCAGCTGACTGACTTCCCGGCCGCACCACGCACACTCCATCCACACTCTCCTCGGGCTGCGGGCGGTGTAAATCTGTCTAGTCGGCGTCCACTACACGTCCACGTCCACCTGCGCTGTGCGTCGTCGCATGGCAACGCTAAAACCCCGTCGGAGTAGTCTCGCCGCCGCCACTACCACCGCTTGCGTCGGCGGTCGGCGCTTATCTACGACGATGCGTGCCATGCCGCCGCGCTTTATACGAACGGCGAGACGTGGTGCGAGAGGTCGGCCGGTCGGCGGCGACGACACACACACACCACACCCGATCTTGCGCCTTTCGACGCGCGGCCACGCCGGCGATTGTTCGCCGAATTCGAGCTTCGTTGATAATTGAACGATCAATATTCATATTCTTCGGTCTGCGATGCGGGAGAGTGGGATGGGCACGTCTCGTCTAGTTTTTAACTACACTGATCCATTTTCACGCGCAGATCAGATGTTTCTTGATAAACGCCGACTATCTTTCAATATAGCTGCTTATCTTTTTTTTTTCTAGAAACTCTTACGCTGGTAGAAAATTCTCGGAACGGCTTAGAACTTTGTGAAACCAGGTCTTACCTGTAGTTCACCGAATGAGTCATGTAAGAAAGTGGCCGCGTAAGAGATTTCGGACCTTTTGTGCATTTATAAAACTCCGTACATAATACATACCTGAATATATAATCTTTTAAACCTACCAGCTAACAATAGAAATATACCTACCTAAAAGTTGAGTAAAATTGTGATAATTTTTACTATTTGAAACCTATGCTCCTGTTTCACTTTCCGTGGCGGTCCCCCCACACTAATGGTACTGTAACTGTTGCTGCAGTTATGCAATTGCAGTACTAATATGCCGCGTATACTACGATAGTAAATAAGTAAATATTACTGTTTGAAACATCGCCTACTGATTGTAGCCACTTTCAAATTTCATTGATTCCGATTCGTTCGGCTTCGTTTCATTCGATGAGTGGGTGGCAGGCTTTCCGGCGTCGCTGCGTAGGTGTACCTCGGGATGCACACGAGAGAATTGCAATAACCACAATATGAATGAGTAGTGATTCAATAATTCGCCGAAATTCAATTTAATGCAAAATTCCGCGGACTTGGCGCGTTCCACTTTATCGATTCAATTATTGTCTACGAAACACTACGGGGAAGATAGGGGCTTGTTCGGAGAAACAAGATGTGATCTCAGACTTTGTGACGTCGTAATTTTGAGGAAAAGACGTCATTCCATGCCGTAAAATGTGCAGCATCATGAGAACTTTCTCGAGATACAAACATTTTTCCACTTCTACATCATGACATTAGATGAATGAGCATACAACCCAAGTTAAAACATTTGCTAGGTCAAATCAAACGCTATAAATCGCAAAATCCGCGTTAGCCTTCCCCGGCACAAAAAGAGCGCATCGAAGGCAACGTACTTGAGAGCAGCGAATCTGATAATGAAGCATGATTGGTGGCCTGGTGCGTTTATGGTAGCAACAACCAGCGGCGTGGCGTCGTACACACGATATATGCGCAATTGTGAGCGTCAAAAACACAATTGCAATGCATTCATTGCAACGGCGTGCGAGAAGTGGGTAAGAATGTACGAATCGGCACGCTCATAAAATCATTAATGCGCGCACATACATAAATAAAACGTGCACATCATGCGCGACAACTCAAGGTCGCGCCCAAGGTCGTTGCGCTCAGCCTTTTTTGTTCACTTCCTCGATGCTCTTATCGGCCAGGACGCGAAGAGGGACGCATAATAATGGGATAATTCGTTAATTGGCCATCGATAATGTCGGAATGTCAATTGCGCACGCGATAGCGGACAACCTGCACATGTACCTATTAAGTCCCTCTGTCCCTCCGGATAGATATATTGATGTCGTACATGCTCTGATACGGTTTTGATGTAAATGTTTAAAGAGTCGTCGAACTCAATTGCTCATGCCTTACACTAAATACACACTGTATGCAGGCATGAATAATGGGAATTCCATTCACAGTCGATTTTTGTTCTCATTCCACAATAGTCACTCATTCAGAGATTATGTATGTGTAAATATTTTAAGGTTAGACGCGAGAAATGTTGCGAAATAAAAATAATTTTATAACTTACCGGAATTCGTTGGTAAACTAGAGCTGGTCGTTAATTAGTCGAGCAGAGTTTGACTTCGGCTTCTTCGCCTATGACGTCCGCCGTCATGCACCGTTCAGTGCACGCACGTTCTCGCGAGGAGCGCACAACACACAACCTCAATTCACAATCCGCTAATGTGCGCCTAATTATTTTAATTCGGTCTTCTTCGGCATGGTTCCCGCAATGTGTTCATCCATTTAAAATTTTGTTGGTTCGGTGTTCTTTTGTCCGAACATACGAAACTTTCTGCCATTGTAAAATCTGTATTAGCAAGCACTTCACTTCTAATTACCAGCTTGTTGCCTGTCGTTTAATTAACTCGTGTTACGCCGCTAATAAAGTAAATTTAATTTTCGTTTCTCTATATCTGTATGCGGTCACGTCTGCATAAAGTAATTAAATACGATTTGCAGCTTCGGATTACCTCCGTACACACTCGTAAATCGTAAATTCGATAAACGTATGCGTGCCATCGTGTTCTACATACCATGCAGTTAATAAGTCATTAACTATGGCGCATCAAATGATTTTCTATCGTCAAATTTCGCATATTCTCTATGGTTATATTTGTATAATTTCATCGAAGGTGGGCCCACGAATTGGCAAAACCAAACAAAAACATGTTTTGCCTGCTGTCGATGACGACGGCGGCGGGCCAGCGCAGTGCGAACGCACGAAAATAATCATCACCGACCGCAACAACATAATTTGTTTATTCCGACGTCGGTGCAGCGCCACAACAACAATCGACTGTTTATCAATTAGAATAATAAACACATCGAGTCGCAGCGACGTTTCACTTTCGCAAACATTTTTCGGCACGCCAGCGCATCCTGCGATTATTTATCAAACACCTCTACGTAGGCGTTCGCATTGTGCGCAAATAGTAAAACAATATTTCACAATTTGCAAAATATAACGATTGGGATTAGGTTATGTTGCGAGTGTAAAGTACAATTGAATGCGCGACGTGTTGGTAACACGAGTCGAGTTGACTCGCCTCGAGTGCGAAACGGAAATGTTCTTATCGTTTCACACTTCTACGAATTAGTATAATTATGGCGATACTCAGCCGGGCCGCGAATGTACGCTTTGTATTATATTATTTATTATTGTATGCCACACTCGCAACTCGCGGCGATTGATTACCATTATCCCGACAAAATTGACCGCTGATAAGAATATAAACACTTTGAATATTCTGTGTGTGTGTATACATAAATGTCCGATGGGAATTACCCACTTTAGATGTACTTTCAGTGCGTAATGCGCGCGCGCATTCCGTTCTAATCGCTTAATCGAACATGACTCGTGTGTGAATCAAGCGTCGACATGTGTCTAATTGATTAGCGCAGAAATCGACTATTTAATTCGTTGCGTCCGCACTACAGGATGTTTATTATATAAACATAGATAAAACTATTTTTTCCACTGATAAATACACTCTGTATGCTTGTGTATCAATCAGTAAGCGGGAGGGAATGTCGATTGCGGTATCTAACAAGAAATCCAACACGAGACTGCGACTGACTGCAGTTTATTTAGCATGCAGCGAGCTCGCAGGCCGACATTGAAATCGCTGCCGGCCGACCTTGAGCGTGTTTTCGCGCATGTATGTAGGTTTGTTAACACTTGCTCACACTGTGGGCTCCGGCGGTCATTTCTCCGTCGCGGCGACGTCGGATTTTTGCGCGCACATCTGCATGCGTGCATATGTCGCCTCGCATGCGATGCAAGAAACACAAAAGCTATGATACAGCAGACGTGCAGCGGCTTCATTGGTCGCGTGCACATGTGGTGTGCCAGCCGAAGATAATCTGCGTTATTCTTTCGTGGATACCTCGTAAATTCATATGCCGATACGCTGAATCAGCGTTAATGTACAATTTGAGGTTATGTTAAGTTAAACCACATCAAAATAAAATTAAAATATAAATCAAGTATTTAGGTTAATAATCTTTATGCGTAGAAGTACCTAACTACGACTTACCTTCAAATAAATTGAAATTAGATGTTTTATAACTGCTGGCACTTGGATTCTTGTGGATTGTAATTTCATCCGACGCACTCATCTAACAAAACAAAAGGGAAAAGAAAGCCTATGCAGTCAATGTCAACTGTCAAACGGTCGAAACGTCGACGCACAGCGCCCTCTGGATGAAAACACATCAGAAAACTTAACCATTTCAAAAAGAAACGTATTCTTCGAACGTCTCATATAAAACTCGTTTAACTCGAGCAATTCTTTTCTAATTCTCTCAATAAATCGTACACAATAACGGTCCAATTGTTACAATTTACTGCTTAAATTAGGACAAATTCTCCGACCGGAGGCAAACAAACGCTTCCACTTTGTTGCTCATTCAACATTCTGATTTGTTTTATAGCGTTCAACATTCGCCACGCACAGATACTATAATGATCCAATTAGCGTTACAGCACTTAAATATTAACGTAGAAATTAAAAAATGTAGAAGATCCAAGAGTCACGTAAGTATGCAAGGTATTTCTTTTGCTTTGACCGTGACATTTTCATAATTAGAACGCATTTAGCAGAGAAAAAATGCATGTTACAACATAATCATCCTGCGATTGAGACATTTTCATACAAACAATATCTGCCTGGATGCTTGAACTCTACGTGTGTGATAAATGATAACTCTGCTTGCAACACCGCTGATATATTTATAAATACAGCAAATACAAACACACTGTAAGTACCTATTATTCATAAGTAAACGATTGGATGCGTTGGATTTCAACTTGCCAACGAGCCAACGGTAAATATAAACAGTTTTGTAATTGAAATGATTCAACATTGGCATTAACAACAATATTTTCGTAAGATACATTTTTCGCTACTCCACTTTTTTGGCTGTTAACCTGTTTAATGTAATTTTTTTGTAGTTTATTCGCGATATAAAATGTGCGATTATGCGAATTAACGCAATTTCTTAACTTTCCAGTCGTAATGAAGAGCCTGGCTGGCTTTGGCTGGCATTTGACGTTGATGAAATCGACCTACCTACTTTCGTTTCATTACGCATGTGCTCGATGCGCGCAGATACATATTTTATGTGCGTTTTTATTTCATACAGGCTGGAAAGCCATGGGGAACAATAGGGGATCGAAAAATGTTGGTTAATTTACGTTGTATTAGCATTTTATCGATTCGTATACAGCACATATACTAAAATAACTCGATATTTAAAGAAAAATAGTTTTTAGATAAGGTTATGTCGTTTGACATGCTTGACATTATGACATTTGACATCTGCAACACACTGCACACTTTTAATTAAAATTCTCTTTGAATACCAACAAAAGAAATGCAAAGTTTATATAATTTGCAATTTAACAGCAATAATTCAAGTAGTAAATTGAATTTCTGTTATCAATATTGCCCGACGACGTCATCGTGTTTCTCTCGGCCACGTGCAGGAGTGCGTTGCACAACACTGTGCAGCTGTTCATGCAAATTGCATATTTTTCGCTATCACCCAACCTATTCGATTCGAACGTCGACATTTTAAACTAACGGACGTTACGAAAACGTCATAATTATTCAGAAAACCGTCGCTTGTAAAAGAAAAGTGTTTTAAAACAGTTTATGGATTTGTAGCATGGTAACATCGTGATGTTATGTTGCAATAATGGCGCAGGTAAAACTCCTTTAGGTTTTAATGGTAAAACAATAGCGGCTACGCTTGTGAGTGAGGCCAATTAACGTGAAATGCGAGCATGTGCTTATTGTTTTCGGGCGCTCATTGCGTAAACAATAGACTTTCATTGGCTATAAACACAAAATATAAATTTGTGAAGGGTTGTAAACAGTGACAAGTTTTAAATTTGGTAAATTTAAACATTTAAACATTAATTGCGGGTCTGAAACACGCAGATTATTTATAGATATTGCCTTGCCCAAAGAGGAAAGTGCATATCCGAGGCAATAAAGCGCGAATAACAATAAATCATGACACAAAGAAAGCTCGCGCACGCGGTCTGTATACGTTTATGGCATTATTAATGTCGAAGCGACGAATTTAATTGTATTAATTTCACAGAAAAACGAATTAGTCGTCGGCGTCTGGAACGATTTTGGCATGACAGTGCGAAGGTCGCGACCAGAATCGTTTTTGTCTCTTGTCGAAAACTGCGAACAAAAACAAAAACAGGTGTGTGGGTTGTGTGCGCTTTTATCGCACTTTTCTACCTGAACGCCCAACGAGGCCCGAAAATCGTGAACAGATGTCCGATGCGGATTTGCGATTCGAAAGAACTATTCATTCTTCGATATTTCTGACTACCTGAGAAGATGATCACCTGGGTTTGAGTGAGGTTATTGCTGGATTACGTGGCCTGGCATTTCCGATGTACGTTTTCGGCCGACTCATTGTAGACATGAAAAGGGCTTACAAATTACTATTCGCTGTCGTGCACGAAGAGAAAAAAGACAATGGTCAATTTATTTATAGTACAATAAGTGAGTGTGTCATGTCCATGCGCGCGGAGCATGTGGAAGAGGCCAATAAACGGGGAATATCAAGCGCAAGTCTTCTGTGTAGCCACAGAAATAAAGTTGGAAATTTTCGCACCGGAAATAGCGACTTTTTTTAGTGTCGGCGCGGCGCAAGCAGATGCGTTGTTGCAGTAAACCGCTGGGGAACAAACTGGTTTCATGGCAAACAATGTGATAAATCAAGAAATCATTAATTCCACGAAATATCTACTACTATTATAAAAATAGGCATCAAAAGTTGCAGTGCGCAACTTAAAAATGACGTCACTTCCTAAAATGTGCGATATTTTGGCGCGAAATTCAAAATTACAAACCAAAATGATTTTTTTTTATAATAAATCAAGATTGAAGAATGTAAAATCATCAATTCTACGAAATATCTACCATAAATACAAAAATATAAAACGCAATAAATGGAATATAAGTTTGGTAAACTCAATATTAACGTCACTTCCCAAAATGTCCGATATTTTGGCGCGAAATTCAAAAATCACAAACAAAAATGTAATTTTTTATTCTTATTAAGAATGAAGAATGTGTGACGATTTCAACTTGATAGAATTGAAAGTTTTGCACACACAAAGTCAAAGTGGGAGCTGATTTCACCGCGCTCCCGACCCCAGACCGTTCGCATGCGGGTACATTTTATCGGGACTGGCAGGAGGGCCCCGCCACCTCCCACGCTCCGTATGTATGTGTGTTTGTGTGTGTGTGCGCACGTCCGCCGCCGACTTCAAGCATCGACGTCGACGTCGTCTAGACGTCGCAAAACTCTTTAATGATTTACCATAAGTCCATAACGCGCCCATTCCTATAAACCCGAGGTGCCTGAGGTTCATCCCATTAATGTCTGTCGAGCGCCGAAATCCTTTGTGTCGTCCTTTTGAAGTGGACAACGCTCTTTTTTAAATCACCAAACACATTCTTTACATATAATTTAATTTAATTATATACAATTTACTTATGCGTAATAATAATACGTTTAATATTAATTTAAACATTGGAAATACGATTGTCATTTCTTCAATTTTAAAATTTAATATTTAAAATCTACTTACCAATAATAGTTGTACTATTAATATATTGGCCATAGAGATTCATATTCTGATTCTGATGATGCTTAAGTTAAGTTAAGTTGGTGGGGGTTGTGGTGGGACAAATGGTGTCCATCGTAGGCAAGACTTATCCACCTCTTTTAAAAGTGACCCGCGTCGTTTGACGCGTTCGGCGTATTCATCTAATACGTCCTGTTTCTTGAGTATAATATGTTTACCCTTCCAGTACTTCATCATACCGAGGGCTTGCAACGTGGACACGATATCCGTGGAATGAATGGCCATTTCTTGGCTCATGTCCTTGATGCTCAGCTGAGTGCCAGCACGCGCGCATAGGTACGAAAGCAGTACATCCTTCCAGTATGACCTGTAGGATATGAGACCTAGGTCACTCAGAGGTTTCTCCGGCGAACCTATTTTGCCTTCAACACGCGTCAGCAGATAACCTGTAGGTAAAATTTACAAGTTTATAGAAGAGACAATACTGAAATAAAAAAAGAAAAGAGAAAAAAACAAATCGTGAGGTTAGTCCTTGAGGACAGACTTGATCCTCGAAAGGTTCAACAATTCCCACACCACCCGCAGGCGGCGGGTGCCGCTGCCAAAAAAAGCGCGCCGAACGAGTTCAACACTTCTGTCTAGACTCGTTTTCGATTCGGGTCCGTGACCCTCGCAAACGCGCGGCGCTCTTGAGCTATTTCCATCTCCGTTTTCCCCGCCGACTCGAGACTGCCGCCTGCCACCGCCCCCACCCAAGGGGGACTCTGCACACACCCGCCTCGTCTCGGCGGGAGTCCTTCGTATGGATCCGTCTGGCGTGCGAAACGAGATAGCGCCGCGCACAGCCAACCCCCGAAATGTTGTGCCGTCGTCGTGTTTTGTGTGCGCTCGCGACCTATCCCAACCGACAACCGAGGGTGGCATACCCGCCGTCTGCGGACGCCGCCGCCGCCGCCACCACCACCACCACCACCACCTGCGTGCCTGGTTTTTGCGTGCACGCACGCACGCACGCACACAATCCCGCCGACTTTATAACCAACCCTCCGCGCCGATCCAACTAAATCGTTGTCTAGACTACGCATATTGCGCCAGACCGGCCGGCGGGAGTTGAGGGTCATGGTACACGACATGTCACAACAACCAACGACAACAGTCTCGACGCGTCGCGTCAATCGATAACGCCCCCACCTCACACACACACACACACAACAGACAGACATAAATGCGTACGTGTGATAAATCAAAATTACGCATTGAATACCAAACCTAAATGACACAAAGGCGCGCATTTTTAATTTTACAACAAAAATCATTTTCTCGACGTCCGTGAAGCAGACACATTTATTTATGCCTCGAAAATAAATCGTGCGCGCCGCGGATCGTAAACGCGCTTTTACGACGAACGCCCGAACGAAAAGACGCGTCCAACACCTGACTTATTACCAGCTCGCGCTGCTGCGCGAACGACTTTTCAAAATCGTCTTAAAAATTCCACTCGTATCGCAGAGCCGGGCGACGACCACGACGACGACGACGACGACAACAAAGCGCATTCCGGCCTGCATTATCTTCTTTTGTTAACGCAGCCGTTCGATGATATTACTCGCAAGAGGTGTACGCGCATTCCACGTTTTACGACCGCCCAGCCGCATATTTACATGCGGTGACACTTTTCTGCGCAGTAATTAGTTTTGAGTGCGCAGAAACTTTCAGTTTCTGAAAAACGCACCTCACATGTATTAATTATAATTTGAAAGCATTTGAGTAGGTGCGCGAATCGGCCGAGAAAAGAGAGCGAGCAGGGAGCAGCGCAGCAGCGCCGCGCCAGAGTATTGACCTGGCGCGATCGATACGGACGTCTGGCGCCGCGCCGTTTCGCACACACATACACACACAAACACCGACGCTCTACATGTTTGCATTTTGCAGGTTCGCCATACGGTTACCACGACTGGCTAGCTGCCGCTGCTCGCCTAGAGAGAACACGCACAAACCCCTACTACACACCATCACCTAGGCATAGTAATGTATCTAGCAGGTGTGTGTTGTGTAGAGTGTTTCCTCGCGGTCGCGACTGACTAACGCTACTCGCGGGCGGCGTCGCGTCGCGCGCCGGGCGTCAATGAATGACGTCATTCGCATTAACGGCACTTTTCTTGCCCGCCGCGAAACAAATTGCACATGCATACACATACCCAACACGGGGCAAAAGGGGCGAGACGCATTAAATTTTTAATGAAAGCGTAAAAACGCAGCCGGAGTACGAAATGAAAATTACGCGCGTCGAGTGTAGCAAAAAAAGAAAGCAAAAAAGAGCGCTACATGTATGAATTACAGGGGTGTGCACGATCGTAAAATGATGAATGAAATTATCCCTCCAGTGACGTAAAACTTAATTTTTTTACATTTTAAAAGGAAAAAAATGAAAATACTCACTGAAATCGATGAGTAGACGACCGTAACCTTGTCGCTGATAGGGTGGCAGTGTGAGAATACAAGAAACGTTGTAATTCAAGAAAGAATTTTTTTCCTGCAACAAAAATAATAATTTTCAGTTCATGACTCCTTGTGACTCATGCACATACACCACATCTCTGGAAATCGTACATGCATCATCGTCTGGCCGACCATGATGACTTTACCACCAAACACGCGACGCACCGTCGCCGCCTCATGCGAAATCCCAAACATTTCTGCAATTTTCACTTCTTCAACACACCCTGGATACAAACTTTCGCTTTTACAAATACAATTACACTTAGAATTACAATTGCGATTCGCGCATTGGCGAATTTAATTTAATTGCGCTCCAGGAGAACCACGTCCGGTCCGAACAAAACGATGACGCATTGGAAAACCACGCGCCGTACGATTTCGATTCAGGCGTGCAGTAAATATATACCAACGTCTTCTTGGCAAGGAACAAACACGATGAATATTGTGTGAGTGAATATGAGATGAGTACAAGATTTGATCTCATTCAATTCGTCGATTTCTAAAAATACAATAATGCATCAGATTCGGCATCATTCATAGAGTTTAGATTTAGATAGTGATTCTATTTGCAAACATTTCAAGGTCTTTTTGTAGTTAAATATGTACTTACTCTCACACCCACTCTGTCAAAATTTGTATAATCATTTCTCAAATTAGAGGAAGTAACGAAAACGGGGGAATTTCGCAATGCGTCCTTGCAATTCCACTATATTCACACTAGAAACCACGTTTGCATAATCTTTGCTTACAAAATCTACGCAAACAAAAATCATGTGAGAATTTTCCCAGTTTCTTCGCGCAGGGATTCTCTCACTGCGTCGAAATACTCGTAATTAATCTCGGGGTATTCATCAAAATATTATTACAAGATCTCTCAGACAATCCGCTAACGAAGCGCACCGAAAACGCCAGCTAATCACGTTAAAGTGTTGCGTATCTGTCTAAACACCGCACAAGCACACAGAACATTTCGGTGCAATTAATTTTTACTCGTATGAAATTACAAATGAGTTCATTTGTGCGCATTATCGTGTGTTCCTAACGCAAATGGGCTCATAAAACGGCAGCCGGAGAGGAAGGAACTAGTTTTAATAACGCGTAATGTATCGTGAAATAATGTGTAATGAGGATGACTAATTAATTTTCAACGTATCGCGCGCGCTCGTCACGCCTGGCTATAAATTAATAAAATCCAGCCAGCTGTTTAGCCTCAGCAACCAGCAAAACAACCACAAACTACGCAAGGAAACATTCTTTCGTTATGAGTTTCTAATGATAAGATACAAGACAATAATAAGCTCTTCATGCGAATGATAAAAATTTTTTGTTTAGGTTTGATTTGTGGTTATTTTTGTGAATATTCATCGGATGATTTTCTTATAATCTGATTTTTCATGTGAAAACAATTGGAAGGAGGATTCATATAAATACTGTCTTGAATATTTAATATTCAGTGAAATTAAAGTTTAAAGCTAATTTTTGTGTGCTTTTTTGTTAAAAAGTAAAAAAATGAAGAAAAATTTGTGTTTTTCTTACTTTTGACGGCTATTATGTTGTTGACAAAGTGTGAAACATCGCCATCGTATAAATTAAAGAAATATCATCACATTCCGGGTTGTTTTACCAAAATTTAGGCCCGGCTTACGTCTACAACAATCATATGACACTTTGCTCCTTCAAAAACCTCACACACTACGAAGAAAAACTCTCACAAATAATCAAAATCTTCGAAATGAGCAAACACATCTGTGACCCATCAAAACACCTTAATATCGCCTTATCCACCTACTGCTCAAACTCAATGAACATCATAGAAGGACAAATACCATCTTTACAACAAAAATTCAAGTCGATTACACATTTAACCGGACAAGAAACAAAACAATCACAAAAATATCCACAAAAATCACAACGTCAACGTCGTGGAATAATAAACGGCATCGGCACGGGTCTTAAATGGTTGTTCGGCACACCAGACGCAGACGACGCCGAGAAATTCACCGCCTCCATCGACACCCTCTTCAGCAACCAGCGCGAAACCCGACTACTAATGCAACAACAGGTGCACGTGCTAATCGCCGCCATCAACAGCTACAATCAATCCGTGGAGGAATTCAAACGCAACACAGAAACCTTAAACACCAACATGCGAGAAATCATGCGGACAAATGCAGGGATAGTCAAAGTGCTGCATAGCTTGGAAGAAACAACCATGGCCATCAAACACGTGACACTGTTGACCCAGCTGATCGTTCAGCTCGCCGAAGAGTTCGATGTGATCATAAACGCGATACTCTTCGCTAAACAAAACATTCTTCATCCATCAATTATCAATCCTCACGATTTGAGAAGAGAACTACTTCAAGTTCAACTCAACTCGAATCTTCAGTTTCCTATCCCGCTGGATTCGAATGATATTTACTTATATTTCGATATCATGAAGATATCCGTTGCTTTACGGGATAATATTTTGATATATTTTTTGAGGATACCAACGCCTTATCGAGAGAAATATGGATTACATCATATGCTACCCCTTCCTAAATCAGCTGATAATGATAATCATCGTAAAATATTCTCGTTTATTGTCCCACAACAACCTTATTTATTAATCAATCTCGCAGCGACAGAATTTAGTCTTTTAAATTCTTTAGACAATTGTAAATTATTACGAGATTACTACATCTGTCAAACTTATACAAAATCCAAATCATTCGCGGATGTAACATGTGAAGTTCAATTGAAAATCGCGCATCTAGACAAGATCCCCGATGATTGTGTGACGAAAACCATCATGGCCGACATGGAAGTGTGGCAGAAGATCAACTTAAATGAATGGTTATACAGTGTATCCACGAAATTATACGGAATAATATATTGTGATGATTCGGACGCTGCAAACACGCAGGATTCTATCCGTATCAACGGTACGGGGATTTTACGCCTGCGTCCCGGGTGTCGAATGAATGTGGGAAGAACAATATTGCAGGCGTACGTCGCTCCAGCGCGCAATTACACACATTTTGTGCCCAAGGTAGACATCCGCACGGATTTGCGATGTGTGGAGAAGGAGGAAGCGTTGTTGAAGCTCAACGTGAAGAGTATCACGTGGAAGAATGCCAATTTGGACGAGTTAAGGTACGCGAAACATAAATTAGAGACATTTGATCAGACTCTGCAGGAGGAAATCAATAAGCCGTACTTTAAGAGCGAATTTGGATTGATTTATACTTGTGCAGCTTATGTTTTTGTGGGATTTGTAATTATTGGTGTATGTTATTATCAATGCACCAAATGGGGGAGAAATAGTGCAGTTTCTGCTATTAGTACATCTAGACTTGTTTAAAGAAAGTGTAGCTTGTTTCTAACAACGCTCAGGAAGAATATACTCAGTTTTTTTTAATATTATGTCTCACAAGTAAGAAATTAATCCAAATTAATGAAATATTAGTGAAATTTAAAGTTTTTCGAAGATTTTTTTAATTTTAAACCTTTGATGTTGTATAACAAATGATTAAAAGCAAAAATTATTCGAGTACCATCAGCGATTTATGAGTTTTAGCAATTTTTCAAATCTTTCCTATTTTTTATGGGAATTATTCAATATTTTGATAGTTTAAAATAATACTAGTACTGAATAGTCTCTTTACAACGACCTGGACATATGTATTATGCTAACCCAATAAAATGTTTTATTATTTCGTTTTTTGAGTCATTATTGAACACGCCGTCGATTTCTAGAAGTACGATCAGTGCTGCCGTTGATGACGCACATGCATCACGTTCCACTGAATGGCTCTGACTCATTTGTTGCATACAGAAACGCAGAAAAATAGGAAGTGTTCGGTGTGCACTCCTCGGATGACATTTGGCAACGTGCAGGCAGGCAGAGCGCCGATGATATCGACATCGACGCGTGCATTTTACAGCTAAGGACGTACGTGTAAGCGATTGATCGCGTGGCGTGCGCGCGTGGGCGTTGTTCATTCATAAAATCTCTCGTTGCGCATCTATTTTCATTTTATTACGTGCGTCCGTCTTGCCGTTTGCATGCACATCCAAATACATCACTCGGAATAATATAATTGGGCAAAGAAGACGTATATATATAAAAATATATAATTAATGATACGGATTTTTAGTTATATCATCGGCCTACGCAAGAATTCTAGCCTAGTGTAGTTGTGCGCCTAAATTTAGGTACTTCGAATGCTATATTTAAACCTCTAATTTTGTTTTCGATTGGTCGAAAATAAACGCATGGCTATTTATAGCGCGACGCATGGAAAGTCGACATAATTTCGTTGTGATGTCAGAAATATTTGAGCCATACATGAATACACGTAGTATCTTCAAAGACATTCCGGAATAGAGAATAAATTAATTTCATTCGTAACGCGCGAGCGTAATTCGTTGCCACTTTGTGAAAATTAATGAAAAATTTACATTTTGATAAATGATTGCTCAATAATGTCATTTATTAAATACGAAATAATTAATTAAGTGAATAGCGGTGTTTGAGCAACAGTTTATCATCCATCAAAGTTGCTCAGGTCATTCACACAGAGCTTAAAAGCCGCTTTCAGACCGATTACCTCTCCACAAACATTTCTATCACTCAAACCAATCAAAAAATGTTAAAATTTTAAGATATTATCACAAAATTATTCAAAAAAGTTTTAAATCTTCGCAGTACACTCGTCAGCCTTAAATGTAATTAAGATGTAAAAGTCATTAAAGGCGTGCGACGCACATGAATCACTCGTCACACAATATTATTCCTTCGCTTCGCGTTGTCCCAGTTACCAGTTAGTTATTGAATCGACGTGAAATAATAGCAAAACGCGACACAATACCACAACACTCCATATAAGCAAACACTACGTAAGTCATTCCCAATAGTCGATTATGTTTTCAATTAGCCGATGATTAATAATTCCATCATTCCGATGGCGACATGTCTGCATTTGGGTGCGCAGTTGCAACAGGCACGCGAATCAATAACAATTTAGAATTAAACTTGTCGTGTTTAATTCTTTTTGGAAAACAAAAATTATTGCTATGATTTTCGCATCGCATCGCGATGACTGCGCGGCGAAAATATGCGGACAGGTTTATTATTTGATTTTCGGTAAGACGTAGGCAATAAGAATTTCGTTAGCGGCAACACGTGCAATGTTTACATAAACAAATTTCAAGCGGATGCTGATTTAGTGAATCACTTACACGCGCAGGGAATCATCACAACCGTATGCGTTATCGCAGGGAGCTCCGCCCAGAAATTTACTGCGCATGCGCAAATACATCATAACCTTGAATTTAAAAATTCTACCTTTGAGGTTATGATTCTGAGCAATAAAATTAAATTAAAACAGAAAATAGATTTTTTACGAAAGTAAACGTTTTCCCTGAGAGCTCCACCCATTTATTTACTGCGCATGCGCAGGTGCATTATATGTATTTAAAAATTCTGCCTTTGAGGTTGATTCTGTGCAATAAAATTAAATTAAAACAAAAATAATTTTTTACGAAAGTAAACGTTTTCCCGAGAGCTCCGCCTATAAGTTTACTGCGCATGCGCAAATGCATTATAACCTTGTATTTTAAACTTCTGCCCTTGAGGTTATGATTGTCAGCGCAGTGTAATAATAATAAAATTAAAACAAGAAAAAAACATTCCCACAGTAAGAAATCGTAACTTTTCGTCCGAGTGGATGAGTGTGAGTGAGCGAAAGAAGGAAAGGCACTTGGAGTGCCCCCAAAGTGAGCAGCAGCGAACATATTCATTTCCTTTAATTAGTAGAACGTGCATACCTGCGCCGCTCCGCGAGCGAATATTGTTAATAATAAGAGCGTGTAACGTTCGAGCGCTCGTCGCTCGAGTGCGACGCGGTTCCGATTCAGATTATAATATAATATAACGAAACACAATAAAAACATAATCAGAATATGAAAACACACGGCCCGGCCGCATAATCCGCACAATAATAAGTGTATTTTTGAGGAATTAAGTGGCTCTAATTAAGTATAATTAAAGCACAAAAACTCGAATTTTTCGGTTCGTAACTTGATGAACTCCCGAACACACAACACAACACACAGACAAAACAGTCGCAACCAAGTCTTTTATTCTCATTCTTGTGCTGTAGTTTAAACAGCGCACACGAATTTCGAGTGAAGATATTCGAATGACTTCTCTGATATCTTTCCGAAACCGAGTGTTTCTGGGGTCGACGGTCCGCCCGCCGTCGAAACGGCGATATGGACCGGAACCGGTGAATATGTATGGCGCGCACCAGGCGCATTAATTAATTAATTATCTTGGTTAATTAACTATACACATTTTAATCAGCGATTGTCTATACTCGTAGTGCAACGTATTAAACGTTTATTATTATTATTATTATCATTATTATTACTCATGTAAAATCTCTGATTTTTCTCAGATTATAAAAATTGCTTGTAAACTTAGACATAAATCTGTGATTTTTTTGTAATTTTTCGCTTTGCACAGTTAAAAGTGTTTAATTCCTGAAGCAAAATACGTATTTGTATCGGTGTGAATCCGTGCACATCGAGGTCGTCTCCGTATTATTACATTCTATTTAAGAACGAAATATGCAAATCATCGGTGCCGACGCACTCGCGATTTGCGACGGGTCCGCGAGCGCGCACCTTTCGCTTCAACTTTCAAGCGCACGCGAGATTCGTCTCGATTGGAAGTGCGATGGGAAGAGACGTCGGCGGCGCGCGATTTTCTTGCGAATGCAAAAACAAGAAAAACGTTCAAATTCACCCGGCCGCCGCTTTTTGGCATCGTCGTCCAAGGCCGCGCGCGCGCGGCGAAAATAACAACAAATTCGCCAATTCAGCAGCAGCTGTGCTCGCAGAAAAATCAGAATTTTTTTTGCTCAAGTATGCCGATGTTTTTCTTTTGCGCGAAAAATGTAGAACAAGGCGATTAAAAATAAAATGTTGGCAAACGCGCGGAATTTCAGCAAGAATCGAGTTCATATCAACAAGTTTTTAATGCTCAATCGAAAGCTATTATAAACCAACATAAATTATCCGCTTAGAATATTTAGGTGATGAGAGACATCGCCAGGATGAACATTTTTCATTAATCACTTTATATTTTCATCCCTTAACCACACGCATTTTAAAAATGATTTAATTAAGAGTTTTCCCCACAACTCTCAAAATAATTTATTATAATACGCAAAATACCAACTAAGGCACTTGTCGAGACGCATCCATCACCCCCTCGCAAGAGTCTAGGGGAGTGAGAAGGGCGTCGAAGCGTTGAATGTCAATTCGAGTCGGGGGTGCGCCGCCGCCGGTGCGCGTAGCCGGTCACTAACTTCTGGAATGAGACGTCTGGCGCAAACGCGCGCCCCCGCACAAACACGCCACACACATGTGAAAATGCGCGCGGCGGTGGCAGCGGCGGCGGTTGGTGGTTGTGGAGTCGAGACGCGTCGCAGGTCGACGACCGGCGCCCGTCTAGCACGGGCGTGGTTCCCCCCGAAACATTATCGCCACCACCGGCCACAAACGCATCAAACAATTACAGAAAAATCACTCACCTTGCTAAAATACCCAACGGTATGGCAGCCCTCCTGGTCGGACATTGTCATCACATAGAATAAGAACGGCTCAACATCAAAGTACAACGTCTTGTGATCCAGGAAAAACTTAGCGAGGAGACAGAGATTCTGACAGAATTGTTTGTATCGTTTACCATCCACCTCCCAAACGCTGATTTTATCTTTGCGATAGACTTCTTCGCCGGGTGGATGACGCCAGACGCATTTCGCTGCGTGGCGTTGAAGGACAATTCGACCACGCATGTAACGCAGACAGTATTCACAGATGTACAGTTTGGGTAAACGTGCGTATTCTTCAGGGTATGGACTTTGATACCACACTTCCATCTCGAATTTACCCATTTCGATGTATTTTGTACCTAACCAACAAAAATTCATATAACCTTATGTTACACACAAAAAATAACCTAACCTACCTTTCGTATTGGGTAAAGTTTTCAACTCCTCTTCGATTTTTTCGCTTGATATTGCCTGCGCGTCCCTGAATAACTTCAAATCACACTCGGGAACGAAATAATCTAAATTCGGTTCGAGTGTTCTTTCGGTTATAACTTTGCCTTCGTCAGCACTCTCGCTTTTAAAGTTATTCCGTGAATCTTTAATCTTTTGTGCGTAGACTTTCTGCTCTGGCGTTGGTAATGCCCCTCGAGGAGACTTTTTCGATCCTTCGATTAGTTTTTTACGTGCTTCTTCGCGTTTTTTTCTTTCTTGACAGTTGTCTGCGCATTTACTCGCCGCCATGTTGTGATACAACGGACATGCGTCGATTGTGAAATGTTTATCTAAACGCCCGCCAAGATGGCCGCTGCTGTTACATTCTTCAAGCGGACATTTACGATCTTCGGCGATTACAACTTCAACGCGTTTACTCGCTTCGGTTTTCTTATTCTTAGCTTTACCTTTTGTAGCAATCGGTGCTTTTTTCACGGGTGATCTACTGAGGGAGCGTTTTGTGCTTTCTGTGTCTGAATCTGTATCAGTAAACACGTTTTTCCCGACGACATGTTTCGACTTTCGAGTGTTTGATGTCCGCGTTGATTTCCTCGGTGTTTGTTTGACATCTTTCGAACCTTCATCCGAATCAGAATTTTGGTCTTCTTTGACTGCCGTTGATGATTTACGCACTTGTTTCTTGGGTGTAGTCTTTTTATTCGAGTCTGAGCCGGAATCGCTGCTCTCCGATTCGGAACTACTACTGCTTTCACTGCTACTTTGAGATGAGCTTGCTGTGCTTAGCATTTCTTTCGATTTCGGTTTATTTTCCTTCTTGTTGAGTGTCTTTTTAGGCTCTATAGGCTTGGCAGATGCTTTAGCTCGTGGTTTCACTGCAGTAGCTTTCAGTGCTTGAGTCTTTGCCACTGGTTTCTCATTGCTGTCAGATTCCGAGCTGTTTTCCGGTGAGAAAATGCTCTTTTTTTTGTTTGGATCTATTTTGGTGGCATTTTTCTGCAGGACTTTTGTCTTGGCGTTTTCTTTTAATTTAGCTTGTTGTGCTTTTGCAGCTGGGTTAGATTTTGGAGGAACTTTACCACCTGTTACTTTAGGAGGATTTTTAACATTTGATGATGTGGATGCTTTAATTGCTTTAGCCAGAGGCTTCTTTTTTGCTTTATTATTCGATTTAGGGCTGTCATCTTCTGAAGAATATAAAGTGGATGCTTTTGGTGGTGATTTCTGTGGCTTATTTGCTGGTGGTGGTTTTGATTTTGACTTGTTGGGTGGTGTTTTAGTGTCAGCACTCTTCCTAGGTACATTTTTTATTGGAGCAGACTTTTTTGATGATTGCTGATCAGGGTTAGATTGTTTTGCTGAGCCTTGTGATGTAGAGGAGTCTGAATCACTGCTGGAGGATGAATCTGAGCCACTTGATGATGAGCTTGATGAGGAGCTATCTGAAGAGGATCCGGAACTGCTCTCAGTTGAGCTCCGGCTGGAAGCCTACAAGAAATATTTTCATTGATATTTTATTGAATTAAAAATTGTATGCAGCTGCACCTTTCTTTTTGTGGGCGCAACCTTAGACATCGTGGAGAATTATTCACTCAATTACACATACACTCTGGGACACATTGATTTATGTTGAACACTACATTTGAAATGTTTGTATGATGTTATTGCCCTTTTGTTGAGTATTGTTTATTTGGGATTGATTTTATTGAGGTTAAAATCATAAGCTGGGATAATTTCGATACTGCTAGCGCCCTCTTGTGGTGGAGCATTGGTATGAGCGCAACACAATTTAAAAACAGAGTTAGGTTAGATTGCATTGAATTTCACGTGTTTGTGCCGTTTGTTTCTCAAGTTTATTAATCGAATAATAAATAATAAATACAACAATAATGACTGAATTCGAGATGCATTCGAGTGATTCTGAAGATATAAGCGATGATGATGCTGAGGTAAATTTTTATTAACTAAAATTAAAACATTAAACTTTATTTCCTTGATTTCAGTTGCAAAGAGCATTTGCTGATGGAGAAATCAAACCAGGCCTTAATAAAATTGTTCCTGTAGCCAAACAACATGTAAATAATATTGTAAGTACATATATTATTAAGTAAATTCATTATAATAAATATAATTTGATTTTTAGAAAGGTTTAACAATGAAATATGAAGAATTTAAACTCAATTTGCCATGGATTGAATTACTAGGCAATGTGAATAAGGAAGCTCCATTAGCTCCAGAATTAGCAGCAAAAATGCATGAACAAGAACAGAAGAGAGCCAACCAACTCAAAAACAACAAGAAGTTGCAACAGTTTGCAGCTGCTGAAGATCCAGTCCTGAATGACTTCAAAAGAGAAATGATGTTCCACAGACAAGCACAAGCCACAGTCATGCAAGCTTTACCCAAACTTAAAGCCATGGGTATTGCTACAATCAGACCTGATGATTACTTTGCTGAAATGGCCAAGACTGATGCCCATATGCAGAAAATCAGAGCCAGTTTAATGCAGAAACAAGCCCAGCAGCAAAGAAGTGAAAGAGTAAAGGAATTGAGAGCTCATAGGAAAGAAGGCAAAGCAATTCAAATCCAGACTAAACTTCAGAGGCTGAAGGAGAAGAAGGATATGATGGATCAAGTGAAGAAAGTGAGGAAAGGTGTTTCCAAAGATTTGAGCTTTTTGGATAGTAAGAAAGGTCCATCAAAGAAATCTATAGAGAAGAGGAAGATGAAGGATAAGAAGTTTGGGTTTGGTGGAAAAAAGAGAGGTCTGAAGTCGAATACAAAGGAAAGTGCGGCGGATATTAGCGAATATAAGAAACCGAAGCGTGATGGTAAATTTGCGGGTGGTAAACCAGGTATAGGTGGTAAGGGAGCAAAGGGTGCAAGAGGTAAACGCGGCGGTAGTGCAAGCGGGGCTAGTAAACGACCAGGAAAGAACAGACGCGCTCAAAGTAAATCTAAAGGACGAAAATAGGTTGTTATGTAACTGTATCTTATAAGTAACTATAAAGAATTAATAAAATAATCATTAATACTTTTGCTGTTGATTTACTTTGTCCTTTTTAGAAATTTATCAATACTTTTTTTAAAGTTCTGTTTTTCTGTATACTTGGTTGCCTAATTTTAGGCTAACCCACGTGCAGACCTCTACTTTTAACCACACTTTTCAAAATACTGCTGTGTTTCTTGTTACGATTTCTTGATTTATAAGACGCAAAATGGTGAAAATAGCAAGTAAGTAAATCTAATAAATTATTAACATATTAATATAATATATTGAGAATTAAATAGAACGCAGTTCCAACCGAACGCCTGCGAAACTCCGCTATAAAATCGAAAAGAAAGTCCGTGAAGCAAACCGCAAAAAGCGCAGGGAAGCAAAGAAAAACCCGAAAAGCAAGAAACAGAAAACGTTTGAAGTCCCCAATATATGTCCCTTCAAAGAAGACATCCTCAAGGAGGTAGAACAGCTTAAGAAACAGAAAGAAGCAGAAAGACAAAAGCTCAGAGACCAAGCAAAGTTAGAGCGGCAACAGAAAAAAGAAGCTGACAAGACAACAACTTTAGAAGGTTTAGTCACAAATGCACAGACACGCGGTAAAATTCACGACACCTTGACACCTACAACAAAACAAACATCAGAATTGAATAAAAGCCAAGAAAACTCACTCAAGGCTTATTATAAAGAGTTTAGGAAAGTTGTTGAGGCAGCAGATGTTGTATTAGAAGTAGTAGATGCAAGAGATCCACAAGGAACCAGATGTCTGCAGGTGGAGGAAGCTGTCAGGGAAGCTCCAGGCAGTAAAAGACTGGTTATTGTGGTGAATAAAGCTGACTTAGTACCCAGGGAGAACCTGGATGCTTGGTTAAAGTATCTTCGGAAGACTACACCTGCAGTTGCTTTCAAAGCATCCACACAGACTCAATCTAGGAAGTTAGGACATAAAAAGATGGCTTTGACAAAGAACTCCAAAGCAATGCAGAATTCTGCTTGTGTAGGTGCTGAGATGTTAATGTCTGTGTTGGCGAACTATTGTAGAAATAAAGGAATCAAAACTTCTATTCGAGTGGGGATTGTGGGGTTGCCTAATGTTGGCAAAAGTTCTTTAATTAACAGTTTAAAGAGGTCCAGGGCTTGTAATGTTGGTGCTACTCCAGGTGTCACAAAGTAAGTTAAAAGAAACTCATTGAAATAAAATTTTAACTTAAATTATTTATAGGCAAATGCAAGAAGTGCAACTGGATTCGAAAATTAAACTTTTGGACTCTCCTGGTATTGTATTCGCCTCTGGTGATGACAGTAGTTCATCATTAAGAAACGCAGTGAAAGTTACTTCACTGAGTGACCCGGTAAAACCAGCAAATGCCATTTTACAGCGCGTTACTAAGCAGCAAATGATGGAAATGTACGATATCACTGAATATTCTACTCCTGATGAGTTTTATGCCAAGAAAGCAGCGAGAATGGGACGTTTTAAGCGTGGAGGAGTGCCGGATTCGATGGCGGCTGCTAGAGGTTTACTTGAGGATTGGAACAATGGTAAAATTAAATATTATACCGTTCCACCAGAGGATGACCCTTCGGTGCATATTAGTTCGACGATCGTGAAGGAAGTCGCTGCGGAGTTTGATGTGGAACAGTTTGAAACTATGGAAACCGATGTGATGAAACAGTTGGAGAAAGAAAATGTTGGTGGGAATGCGAATACAATGCTTTTGGAGAGTTTGGGGCCGGTTACACTTGAGGAGCAGATGGACGATGACAAGACTACTGATAATCTTGTAAGTAATTTAACACCCACGAGATGTGCGCTTGAAGGGAGAGTGGAAGAGGGTGGAGGGTTGCTTAGAAAGCTGCGATTGTGCTGCTGGACGACTTAGGGACGACGGAGCGCAGGGCGCACTGTGTACTGGCCTTTTATACCTACGGTTTTGCGCACGACCCGCAAAAAGTGGTGGGGGTACACCGGGTGGTACACAGGCGCACCTATCCTGTACTGGTGTTACTTCCCCCACTCTTTTTTGTGGGTCAGGCGCAGGTATAAAAGGCAGTGCGCACCGTGCTCAGTCTGGTCGTAGTCGTCCAGCACTCCAGTCGCAGTTTACTAAGTTCCACTCTTTCCTATTCGCGTCGTGCTGGATTACGCTTTTCATTCATTCATTTATGTAATTATTTTCAGATATCCGAGAATGTTAGTGTAAAGACAACGAAAAAAGTCAAGAAGGTCGTAAAACAAGCGCGACTTAAGAAAGTTGATCCAGAAATGGAACTGGAAGGCAATTTGAAACTGAATCAAGCTAAAAAGGCGCAATTCAAAAAAGCTAAGAAGGAAAAGAACCGCAAAGAACGAGTTGATTTGCAACTCTCAGCAGGTTTGGACAACTTTACACTAAACACAAAAGATGAGGAATATGATTTTGAACAAGACTTTCAAATGTAATGTAATACTTAACCCTTTAAGTAAATGAATACACATTACACATACATATAAAAATACCCAGAACATAATATATAATAATTACCTTAAAATAACTCTGGTGGCTTGTAGTCTGGCACAATTTGCAGAACTATTTCACGCCACATGCGCTTCTTTTCTTCTTTTGTTCTCTCTAGTTGTAAAATAGCTGGCAGACTCTTCCACTGATAGAATGCTTGCACCAAAAGACGTCTACAACAACAATAACATATGATTTATAACTTGTACATAGATGCAAGTTATTAAAATGAAATAAACTTACGTTTTGTAATGTTTTATAGCCACAGTTGTGAGATGATATCTCCTGATTTTAATAGCATTCACACAGAGGTAATAAGCTTTAAACACTTTACACTCCACTTGATACGCGTGATAATCAACTGCTACTTGCATGTTTTGCTTAGCTTTGAATCGAACCTGCAACAAACCGTTTTTTAGATGTCAAACTTTAACTGTCAAAAATTGAATCATACCGCAAGCATTCTTTTGACAACATTCCTCTTCAACTTTGTCTGGTAGTGTTCCTCTGCCTTTTGAATCTTCATTTCTTGAATATTTCTTGCATTTATTCTCCACTTGTGCATATATCTTCTTATTATAACAGTTTCGTAGAATGCTACGCTGATATTCTCGTTATATTGCTGTTGTTGCACAGCAAGTTTAAAACTCATAATCGCACGTCGTTTCAATATTTTTGAATAGAATTTATCTGCCATTTTACATTTTCGTATAAACTTCTCTTTCTCTGCTTGTCTACGCTTTTCTTCTTCAAGTTCTCTACGTCGTCTGTCTTTAATAGCATCTAATGCTTGTTTCTTCTCTTCTTCATCTTGTATGCGTTTGTTTTCAAGTTGTTCTGCTAATAATCGCTTCTTTTCTTCATCAATCAATCGTTTTCGTTCTTGAATCATTTGTCGTTTGAGTTCGCGTTCTTGTGCTCGTTGTTCCATAAGTCTCACCAGTTTTGGAACTTTGTTGATTTTTATTTGTACTTCTTCGGGTTCCTCGATGATTTTCACTCCTGTTACGACTTTTGTTCGTGTGGAAAACTTCTTTAACAGATGTTTAATTGTATCTTGGGTTTCATTGTATGATTCTTTAAGTGCATCGCATATTTTACCAAATTGTAACTCATGGATCTTTTGTTCCTGTTCAATAAGTTTGGATTTTTGCATAAGGATTATATCACGCTGTGCTTTATATCGGTTTTGATATATTTCTGACTTTGGTGTTTTATTCCTGTTGGTGTTTGAATGTTTTGAAGAACATTCACTTGAAGAACTGCGAACTGATCCACTAGACTTAATTCTTGCATTTTGTGTGTCTTTATTTGACTTGGCTTTGCGTTTGGCTTTTAATCCTTGGATAAATTTATCAATTTGTTCTTCTTTGAGTTCATTCACACTTTGGAGACTTTTCGGCTGTTGTTGTTTCTTTTTATTTGTTTTATCTCTCCAAATATCAAAATATTTCTTTGTTATGGTTGAATTATCATTAATTTTTGGTTCTTCAATAATAATTTGCAAGTCTTTCGGTGGTTTTTGGCATTTCTCAGTTCTTTTAGCACAAATCTTACTGTTACTAACATTATTGTGATAAATATCACTTTCATCAGTCTCAAATAAATCATCTAAGCCTTTAAGTGCATCATTGATCACATTTTCAGTGCGATGCTTCAGTGTTAATCTCTCTGTTTCAATGGCGTTTATTTTACTCGACTGAAATTTAAATATTTTAATAATTTGTGAATAAATACAGGTTTATGTATACCATTGAGTGTTCTAAGTCAATGCAATGTTGCTTCAACTCTTCAATAGATATTCTTGTAATATTCATCGCGTATTTTGTTTAATTAATCTTTTTAGACATTTATCACATGCAACACAAACAAAACTTTGTTTTTATTGACCTAACATAATCTCCACGCAACGTTTTGTTTGTATTACGTGTTTCTAAAGAAGTTCTCAATGAATATCATATTTAACTGCGTCTATTAAATAAATATTTGATTTGTTAATGTCAAGAGTTAAATTCTCCTTAATCATTACTCAGAATAACTTGTGGTTAATGCAATTAATCACATCCAATTTAAAAGATTTAAAAGGTAAATTAATATGCCATGATGGGTGAAGATCCCAAATGCACCCTTTAATTCATTCCCACATGATAGGGTAGTAGTGGTTTCGGGTGGTTCTTTGATTCTCTTCTCATTCTAACTCCCTCCTGCTTGTGCCTTCACTTCCCAGATCGGTGTCATTCGCGTCAATCGCGCTCTGAAAGCTCGTTGTGAATGTCAGAAACATGTTTTCCGTGATTCGTTATGCACACAAAAAGTTCAATTTTTTTTGGACACTCGACCCAATCTCCGAAGGCTAAAGTCGATTTGCGCCCGGCGTGTGTGTGCGTATAAAAAGGGGCACGTATGCGAAAGCCCTTAGTGCCCTCAGTCATGCAGAAGCATACGATCAACACGTAGTCACCGCCGTAGCATGGCTACATTTCTAACACCCAACAGACATGGATATAGTGTGAGATTCTCGCCATTCGATGGCAATCAGATTGCAGTTGCCACCAGCCAATACTTTGGCCTGGCAGGCGGTGGCACTCTCTTCCTGCTTGAAAATGTTAACAATCAACTGGTAGAGAAACAGAAATTCCAATGGACTGATGGTCTCTTTGATGTTGTCTGGTCAGAGTTTGATCCTAATATCATTGTCACCACTTCAGGTGATGGTGGTTTACAAATTTGGAACACAGGAGGTAAATTTCATACTTTTTCATAGCAACAATTGCTTATTTAATTAATTATTGAATAATTTTAGTTGCTACACCTATTCAGACACTAAACGAGCATAAAAATGAAGTCTACTCAGTGGACTGGACCAGAACAAGGCAACAACAGTTATTACTAAGTGCATCATGGGATCACACCATCAAAGTATGGGATCCCACTCACAAATCATCCCTGAATACATTCCTAGGTCATTCACAGTTGGTATACAATGCCATGTGGAGTCCACACATTCCACACTCATTCGCTTCAGTCTCTGGAGATGGCAATCTCAAACTGTGGAGTTCGCTTAACAATAACTCTAGTATAACATTTCGAGCACATGATGCTGAAGTCTTGTCTTGTGATTGGTGTAAGTACGATCAAAACATCATCTCTACATGTGGTTCAGATGGTTTGATCCGTGGTTGGGATATCCGGAATTACACTCATCCGATATTCCAATTACGTGGTTGTGATTACGCTGTGCGACGAATACAATTCTCGCCTCATGCGATGAGTTTACTCGCAAGCGTCAGTTATGATTACACCACACGCATCTGGGACTACAAAAAGAGTCCGGAAGCAGTGGAAGTGATCAAGCATCACTCCGAATTTGTCTACGGCCTGGATTGGAACAATTTAAAAGCCGGGGAGCTTGCTGATTGTGGATGGGATAGTCTCCTGCATGTTTTCACGCCGTTGTCAGTAAAAAACGTGTTGAACATTATATAAACAACATTTGCATGCAATTTTACGAGGCTGGAAACTCCGTGATTCAAGAGAAATGGGTGGCCTTAGGATATAATTGAATTCTGATTCGTTTCGTACATCCCATGATTCCTATTCGATTAATTTTTGGTTTTTGGTGTGAAACACTGAAATATACATAAACAATATTGATATTGATGTTGAACATAGCAAAACACGATATTATACTATAAGACTATTTCAATATGCAACGACTTTCATGTGTGTACCGTTACAGCATAAATAACTAGATGATAAGCATGGATTTGTGTTGTGGTTGCGTTTTCTTTTATTACGGTTAATGTTTTATGTTGTTTTATATATATATTCTGTTTACTATACTTGCCAAATTGACATTTCCTAATGTAAAGACTGAAATACTCGTGTTTTTTGTTCATATTTGGCTAAAAATATTTGTTTTGGTGAAAGTGAGCATTTAATGCGTGCACATCTATTGTATTGACATGTGTATCCTTTAACGAACAAAAGAAGAAGTAAAACATTGAAAACAGATTAAACTTTCTTTATAATGTTATAAATTATGATTAATATCATTCTGTTAATACGTTTACGTGGCTTAAATAGCAAGGTTGTTGACAAATTAATTAACATTTTGCCAGTTGTCATTTTGAAGAAGATGCTAGTCACAAAGATCAACATCCACATGATGTCTGTGTGTGCGTCCTGATGAAATACCTGTTATGTATGTTAATTATTTCCTAATATAGTAGTGGTGGCGTGGCGTTGATTAATTTGTTTTTAGAAGTAACGTGCCGACAAACATCTGTCAATTTGTTTAATCAACATGAGTCGCAACAGTGGAAGAGGGAGGAAATCTACACACAGTGTAGTTGGTCTACGTAAACCACAAAACAAACCAGATTCTTATTTAGATAGTGTACTAGCTGAAGATGAAGATTACCTCAATGTTTTGTGCATTCGGAATGAACTCATTGAGAATGCCCTTGACAAATGTCAGGAATCCTATTTGAGAATACAATCTGTGAAGTATTTAACTCATTGTCTTCATAAAGCTTATCTTGATGTCTTCAGCACAATGTACATGCATTATGATACAGTTGTTATAGACCCAAGGCGTGATTTGTGGATTCCTGAAGAACAATGCGAACCGTTACCAGAGGATAACTACGCTGAGTTTTCAGTTCCTATTGAATCTACTTCTGTGCAAGAAATTCCAGAAGTTGAAATCTCTCCCTATCAGTTTAGTCCTGTCAAATCTGAAACAGAACATATTGCTTGGCCCGCTGGGTTTACTCCGCCATTTTCCAACGTTGACGTTGATAAAGACGTCAAGAAAATATTAAATGATATTCTCTCTTTAATTTCTGAGCAATTTGAAGATGCTTCCACGTATCAAAACATATTTGCTTCTGTGAGGGAAGAAGAAAAGAAAGCTTCCCTAGCATCTAGTACAAGTGAATTATTTGAAGATCTCACTTCCGAGGCGAGTTTCTTCACGGCTGTTGCTGAATCCGGGCAGAATTTCCTCCCGCCCATTGAACCAACACGTTGTGATCATACTTTTACAAAGGTGGGAGATGCCCCGATTGAGAAAACAATCAAATTCGCTTTGGGGGAAGTGAAAAAGGTTCAAAATGTTGGTCTGCCACCTTTGAGGTTAAAGGCAAGGTTTAAACCCTCTGAATGGTCAAGGTCCTATGTCAGATTTGGAAGGAGTTTGGGTTCTTTTGATAGATACAATGAAGCATCTGCTAATTATCTCAAAAGTAGTTTTAAGTCAAATTTATCTAAGCACCATGATGTTGATGATACTTTTGAAGAAGCAGAGGCAGATGATGTGAAGAAGGTGAAGAAAGTTGATATTGTAGGTTAGAATTTAATGGCTATTTAATGAATCAGGAAGTGACAAGTTGTTAGATGTTTCTTGTAACATTTGAATAATAAACTGCTGGTATTGATGCTGTTGATCGTAGATCTATCAAGTCATAATTTATTATTGTGTGTTTCGTGTTATACTGACCATCAGTTGTTAGCTGGTAATAAATCAGTTGTTAAAATGGCGGTCATTAAAGTTTCGTAATTTTTGTCGATAAATTTGATTCGCTTGCAAAATCTCTTCTGCATTGTGAGCAATCTCTTTTTAACATTTAATTAAGTATTAAATTTCTCAAAATCTAACATTTAAAAACAACAAATATTAATTAGTTATGCTGTGATGACATAAAATATAAATAGATGGCAAATGTATTAATTGCAGCTTGTTAGAATTACAACGGAGAGGAAAATTGATTTGCATTCTGAATTAGTATTAATTTCACGCAGGAGTCACGCACGTTTGCAATACGCGTGGTATTTTAATTAAGTATGTTTTATAAATATCGATTTTTGCTTTGAAAGAATTGGTGTCATCAGAGGCGCGTGCTGTTGTGCTTCGTATGCTTTAGATTCTTTCAAATGTCAATGCCATTTTCCATAACATTCTGTTCTCTATTCTTAATTTATTGCGGATTGCCGCGGCGATCAGAAATTAATGTTTTTGTCGATAAAAATAAATTTTCTTTGATTTAAGTGGTAAAAACATAAACATTAATACATGAAATGATTGGAGCGGCATTTGCATATTAATTGCAATCGTTGTCATGGTACAAGTGTCACCAGGATGTGGTGATTCAAGTTTTGGAGTAATAATGAGGGAATTCAAGATGGTGAACATTCCAGTAGGTATAGTTTATGTTAATAAGGATCATCGATATCAATAAACTTTGGAGTGAATAATAATGAAGCGATTTTTTGCTATGTATGCAACTTTACCTGCAAATCATTAGTCAAAATCATTAGTATTAGTTTTTCTAATGCACCAGCGCCCTCTGGTGTTAAATAAACCATTTTTGACATGTTTATTGTTAATTTTTATGGTTTTGTTTAAAATTTAGCTTATTAAACGTTTATTTTCAATTATTTCTATAGCTAAATTTGTCTAAACAATAAAACTAAAGTTTATTGATCTTAAATTTAAAAACTTTGACGGAATATTTCTAAAAGTCATTAAATTTGCATTTACCTGGGATGCCGTCATTCCTGCAAGTTATTAAACGAAAGGAATGCCGTGTCTTAGGTTTTTTACATTCTGCGCATTCCCAATAGTTGTAAAACTAATTAATTGCATGATTAACAAAATAATTCTGAAAGCATTTACTTGTACTATATTAAATCGATTAATTTATTAAGAACATTATCCTTTTGTGTTGGAATACGTGCGTTGCCACCTCTTGCGGCAGGTGGAAAAAAAAGTTGTCGTCAAGTTGTCGCAGGTGACCGCTGGTCGGCTTCCTTTCAGCGCCGCGTGTGCGATACCCGCTGACCAACACGTCGAATCACCGAAAGAAGATGTTTTCTGTAGGTGGTTATTTCATAACTTGATTGCCTTCATCATTGTCATATAAAAGTACATTGGACACCGGCGCCGACGGACAGTCCACTCGGGTCGTGCTCATCTTCGCCACACGCGCGGAATTTTTATCTTCGTTTTAGTTTAAAAGTTGAAAAGTTTTAAATTACACTTGAATAGTGTTTGTTTTTCTCAAGAAGGAAGAAAATGAAATAAACATAAAATGGTAAGTGCATTATTTTTATTATTTCTATTAATTATTGTTTATTGATTGGTTAATTAATTATAAAAATCTTAATGTATTCTAATGACCTCAAGTGGATCTTCTTCTTCTTTTAAAAAATGCCAAGGACACTCATTTGCGTGTAGAGTCAAATCGACGTGACATTTATTAATAGAATTCACATTTTTTTACGCGTTGGAATGGATTATATAAATAATAATTATGATTAACTGCTTTGATCTTTCAATTTGTAATTAAAATGTAATTGATCCGAATGGTGATTACGTAATAGTTAAATCAGTTTATTTATGGTTGCAAAATGTCGGAAATAGTTCTGAGTGATTTCTTTTTTTCTGTTTCCATGTAAACTTGTTGTGTAATCAAAGAAAAAGAGTAATTGAATTAAAGAGTTAAACTAATAAGGTTGAATGAGTTGTTTACGTGGAACTCCCTTTTGTGGGTTTCTTATCGATTTCACTTTGTTACGTGTGCATTGACATCCTGATGACCAGAATTAGTAATGATTCTCAATTGCTGCGATCTTGTTTCTTAATACGTCGTTTATCATTCAAACAATTTGATTTAATCAAGTTTATTTGGGTGATTAACATAAAAGATGATGTTGAATATGGTTTTGGTGATTCTTGTGTAATTTTTGCGTGGGTTGTGCAGGTTTTTGCGTTGAAAAGTGAGTTTTAGGATTTTGAACCTTCGCGTTAAAGTGAATGTGCCCAGCGGGGCGTCGATTTCAAAACGCAAGATTAATATATGTTAAATTTGTGCTCGTTTTAGAGATTGCCAGTGTTATTATTCGCTATCTTCGGCTTGGCATGCGTGGTGCCGAGTTTTGCGAAGGAAAAGCGAGCAATCGGAAGTGATGACTTCCAGGGTTATGATTATCCACGACCGGTGATTCCGTTCGAGACGAATCAGGTGTTTGTTCCGGTTCGTCAAACTACTCGGGCTCCTCCTCCACCTCCTCCACCACCGCCGAGGACTAGGCCTCCACCAGTGCAACAGGGTTATAGTTATCCGAAACCTACGAATGTTTTTGAGATAAAAACTAATAATGTTTATGTGCCACCAAAGAAACCGGTTAATGATGGGTATATTTATCCGACACCGTCTAATAGATTGGAGTATTCGGTGCCTACTACTACTAGAAGACCACCCCCACCGCCACCACCGAGTACTACGAGGAGACCTCCTCCTCCACCAACTACAACCAGGAGACCTCCACCGCCACCTCCACCAACACCTAAATCTGATGGGTATCATTATCCGATTCCGTCAAATAGATTGGAATATAGTACTAGGAGACCACCACCACCAACTACTACAACTAGAAGGACTACTCCTAGGCCAACCCCTCCTCCACCTCCACCTACGACTAGGAGAACTACGCCATTTGTAAATACGTATTTGCCTCCTTTGACTAGTCCTAGAACACCTCCGCCTCCTCCACCTCCTCCTCCACGTCCACCAACTACTACAACTAGGAGACCACCTCCTCGTGTTACCGAAGGGTATATTTATCCAACCCCTTCGGATGTATTTGTGTATACTCAATCGACTACTAGAAGACCTACTACTACTACTACTAGAAGAACAACGACAACCAGAAGAACTACTCCATTTGTTAATACATATTTACCACCTGTGACTAATCCAACAACAACTACAAGGAGACCTCCACCACCACCTACTACTACCAGGAGACCTCCACCTCCTCCTCCTCCACCAACACCTAAAATTGGTTATGATTATCCCAAACCAATCATTCCTTTTGAAGCTAAACGCATTCCAACTTATGTTCCGCCAGCTCCAAAAGTGAACAATCAATATTTACCTCCTCCTACTACAAGAAGACCACCACCGCCTCCCACAACTAGAAGACCTCCGCCTCCTCCAACGAGACCCCCACCACCACCTACAACAAGGAGACCTCCACCTCCTCCAACAAGACCTCCACCACCCCCTACTACTACCAGAAGACCTCCACCTCCACCTCCTCCACCAACACCTAAAATTGGCTATGATTATCCCAAACCAATAATTCCTTTTGAAGCTAAACGCATCCCAACTTATGTTCCCCCTGCTCCTAAAGTGAACAATCAATATTTACCACCTTCTACTACAAGAAGGCCACCTCCTCCACCAACAACAAGACCACCACCACCGCCACCTACTACCAGAAGACCTCCTCCTCCTCCACCACCAACTACACGAAGACCTCCACCACCACCACCCATCACACCAAAAAGTGGATACAGTTATCCAAAACCTCAGATTCCTTTTGAAGATAAACCTAAACCTGTTTATATTGCCCCACCAATTCCAAGAACTACACCAAAACCTCCACCTCCACCAAAAGTAAACAGAGATTATCTCCCCCCAGTTACTACAACCAGAAGACCTCCGCCACCTCCTCCTCCTACACCTAAAGTAATCATAGATTATCTACCACCTGTTACTACAACAAGAAGACCTCCACCACCACCAATTGTTTTGGAAAACAGACCTACAACAACATATATATCTACAACACGTAGAACAACACCACGACCACCTCCTCCTACTACACCCAAAGTAATCAGAGAATATCTTCCTCCAGTCACTACAACAAGAAGACCTCCACCTCCTCCACCACCAATCCAGGTAGAAAACAGACCACCAACAACTTATATTAAAGTAAACAGGGATTATCTTCCACCACCAACCACAACCACCACAAGAAGACCAACAACTACTAGAAGACCAACTACTTCTGCTCCCATTTACTTACCACCTGTAACACCAGTAGCGAATAATCCTCCAGTTGTACGTGTTCCACCACCAACAACATCTCCGCCAATTTACCTACCTCCAGTTACCACAACAACAACTAGAAGACCTTACACTCAACCACCCACATACCTTCCACCTAAACCTCCAACAACTACAAGAAGACCACCACCACCTCCAACCTATCTACCACCAGCACCCAGGACAACCACAACAACAAGACGTCCACCCCCACCACCTCCACCTCCAACAACAACCAAAAGACCTATTATTGAATACCTACCACCTAAACCAACTGCAATTGTACCACCTTACAAACCACAACCTATAAACCCAATCCCAACTTATGCCCGCCCACCAACCACAACTCCAAAACCACAAGTCAGAGACTACCTACCACCTAAACAAGATGGATATTCATATCCCAAGCCATCAATCCCATTTGATTTTTAAACCTAATATACCTATTACATAAACTACGTATGAGTTTGTTTATCATTTACATTAGTTTCATTGTAAGATAACTGAATGTCTGGTATGTCTCGAGAATGAATTAAAACATGATTATTTACACATTAGCTACCTGTATTACTTACTGTTGTCAACAGGCTACGAGTTTGCGCAAAAATTGCTGGAAATCCCCGAAAACATGCGCGCTGTCTTCGTGTATCTACTTCAATAGGCAAAAAATTCACGTGTAATAAATAATAGTAGCGTTTTGTGTTTGTTTTCAACATATTCTCAAACATTGTTATCTCCGGGCATTGCACGTCTTTATAGGGCGCGTGAAACTCGCTCCGGATTTCTTCTATTGATAAATCTACAGTTAAAAACATGTTGTTGAGGGTTTTAGTCCTTTTGGGAACCATTCTTGGTAAGTTTTCATTAAAAACTTAAAAATAAAATTTTTAGATAAAAAATAAATAATTTTAGTGGTTGCACACGGTGCTAATAATCACGTCCCAGCTAGTGATTGTCACATTGATGAATTCTATCAAAAATGTGAGGATAGTAGAGAGATTGTAAAGTGTGAGTTCACCTGCGATAATTTCCGCCTTCCGAACAAACCGCTCTGTGATTGTGAGCCGAAATGCGTGTGCAAGCATAAATACGTGCGTGACACGGCGACGAACAAATGTGTCTATCGTTTCCAGTGTCCAGACACATGGTGGCCATGGACTGGATACCAAGAGGAATCAAAGAAGACATTCGAATAGAATAAAATACTCAGAAACCAAAACGGATCTCCATTATGTGAAAATATATCAAATATATAACATAGTTTATTATACTTAGGCAACCCAAATAACATTTGATCTAATACTGATTACTTCGCATGTGTAATTAGTATTCGTGTCGGTGTTTTTGTGTAATTAGATGATGGTTAATCAGAAACGAACGCATCCAAACTGTTACGATGTATTACTTGTCACACAACCTGTTATTAACCAAACGGTAGACATTGTTTAACATGTTGACCTCCTAAAAAATAATCCCTTAAAATAAACTTCTAGATGGGTAGGTTTAGTTGTGGATAATTCGGCGATGAATTACGATCGGAGTGGGCCTCATGCGAGGAAAGATTTGCATTCGTGGAGATATTATAATGATCACTTTAAAGTTGAACGTTTGCCAGCTTTACCACCTCAGGGACCAGTGGGACCACCTCCTGCGTATAAAAATATACGTCAGTTTCATGATTTTAATGCGAAAGGACCGTTAAATGTGTCTAAACACTCAGTTTCAAAGGAGCAGACATTTTGGGAGAAGCTCATTGATGGTTTTGATCATTATTGTGATACTAGTTCACTGCATGGGTTGAAATATGTCGGGGAGAATCGATTTAGTAAACCTGAACGGTATTACCATCAAATTTTGGTGTTTTTTGAGATTTTTTTTTGTAATTTTTTGATTTTTGTGTTTAGGATTTTTTGGTTAATTGCTTTCTTGGTTGCCGTTGCCTTGGCGATAGTCTTCATCACTAGCCTCTATGTCAACTATGATAACAGCCCTGTTATCGTCAATTTCAGTCCTGAAATGATCAATGTCCAAAACATACCTTTTCCTGCTGTGACAATCTGTAATACTAATGTTGCTCTTAAAAGTCGTGCAGAAATCGTTAAACGTTCCGGGTTTGTAATATTTTTCTCCAGTTTTACCAAAATAAATAAAAGTTTGATGTTTTAGTACACCAGCTCAACAATTGGTACTTGATGACATGTGTAATTCAAATACTTCAACAAATCACGATGATATTGGCCCTATTTCATGGAATACCATGGAAAATGTCATCATAAACATCACACAAAAGTGTAGTGAGATGGTTATTGGTTGTAAATGGCAAAGTAAGACTTATGTATGCAAAGAATTGATAAATTCTGTCTTAACTGATGATGGGTATTGCTGTACCTTCAACAGACTTCCTGTTAATTTGATATATAAAATACCTCCGTGAGTTTTATTCAAATTTTAAGTAAAATTATAAAATTGAGAATTTTTATAGTGAGCAAAACCAGTTAGGCTTCCCAAATGACATCGTGCCTTGGTACCCTGAGGCAGGCTACCCTGCCAACGCTAAAGATGATGTTTATCCATACAGGGCGTTTGGTCGTGGTGTCAATCAAGGTTTATCCCTTGTTTTGGACGCTGCTTTAGATGAATATTATTGTTCTACTACAAATGGCTTTGGATTCAAGATTCAACTTCATACACCAAGGGAAGCTCCAAAAATTGCTGATTTAGGTTTCTTGGTACAACCTGGTATAGAATCACGTATTGTGATTGATACTAATATTGAACAAGCATCTGATTCGATTCGTGGTATTGATTATCGTAAAAGGAAATGTTTTTTTGCTTTTGAGAAATATTTGCGTTATTATAATATGTATAATGCAAGGAATTGTATGTTGGAGTGTGAAGCTAACTATACTTATGAGCAGTGTGGATGTACGCCATATTATTTACCCAGAGATATGGATATGAAGATTTGTGATAAGTCGGATGAACAGTGTACGACACAAGCAAAATGTGCGTTTTTATTTATTTAATTGAATTATTGAGGGAATATTATCGGTAAATTTGTTTATTTTTAGTTGTTATTGAACGTTATGGGCCTGAAAAGTTAGCTTGTGATTGTTTACCTGGGTGTTATCTGCTTGAATATTTTCCTAGTGTTTTATCAGAAGGAAAATTGATGAATTTGAATAATATTACTGATTCAGAGTTCTTGGGGAATTATTCTCAGGAATATTTTGCGTATGTTGGTTTAAATTGTTGAGGAAAATAATGAGTTTTAATGTTTTTGTTTTTTTAGAGAAAACATGGCGATTGTTCACTTCTTTTTCGGCGCTGAAAGATTCCAAGTACAAGTTAAATCATCAACGTATACTTTTTCGGAGTTTCTTTGTAATATTTTGAGGTTATGTTTGTTTAGTCACTTGTTAATGTTTCTTAATTTATTTTAGCGAATACCGGTGGATTATTGGGATTGTTTTTGGGTTTCAGTTTTCTGAGTGTTGTGGAAATAATTTACTTCTTGTTTATTAGAGGTGCTTGTGTGTGGTGTCAAAACAAGAGGAGTAAAAATCAAGTTAAACAGCGTGTATTTGTTCAATAAAAATTGGATTTGCATGAATTTATTCAAATAACTCACGTTCTTGCTATGTAGAGACAAAAACGAGTTGTAATAACACAAAACTATCTCTATTTATAAATAAACTGTAATTATCCATGATATCCGCCATTTTGAATTAACCATAACACCATTACTCTTCTATAATCCTCAGTTTCTTTACATATTCACGCACATTTACAATTATTGATGTCAAATTAACGCTTCACGACTAAAATAAATAATTGTCACGTTAAATTTCACCAAAACCTTTGTAACTAGATTAATTACGTTTTGATTACACCCGCAACACATAATTACAAGGTATTTGCCTGTAATTGTTGTAATTGTCAATAAAAAAAAATAACAAGCGCATCCAGTTTATATAACTAATTATTTTCCATTACCATTAACATTACCCTGGTGACATTGACTACTACAAAAAAATCTTTTGCCCCAATTTCCTAAATAGTCCACTGCATTGCGACAGTTAATCTTCATTTACTTTTCAGTCTTGTTCAGCAATGAATACCGTTCGGTTTGCGTACGGATTTACAACCCCGCAGAGATTTGCACAGTTGGCGTAATAATAATGTCGTGAATGTTGATCGGTTTCATCCGATACCAAATCAATCACATAAACAAATACGACAGGAGTATGATTATAAAAATAAACGAATTCTTTTAATCAAGTAATTAATATTAATATTACATAATTATTAATGTAAATATTTAATAATTGATTGCATTTTTAGAAAAAGAGATACTTTCAGAAAAGTTCCGAATAAAACATGTTTTGAAAGTTTTGCAGAAAGTTTTAGCCATTATTGTGAAACTAGCACCTTACATGGATTAAAATATGTTGGAGAGAATCGATTCAGTCGACCAGAACGGTAATTATTAATTATTTTAATAATAATTAAGTAAATTTCATGAAACTTCAATATTTTTAGTATTTTCTGGTTTGCGTCTTTTGTTATCTCCGTGATGTTGTCCATCTACTTCATCATCAACCTTTTTGTTAACTACTACGATAGTCCTGTGACTGTCGGCTTCAGCCCGGAAATGATCAATGTTCAGAACATCCCGTTTCCTGCTGTGACAATCTGTACCACGAATATTGCTTTGAAAAGTCGTGCAAAAGCAATTATTGAATCAGGGTTAGTTTTATTTATGTTCAATATGACATTGTAGTATATTAAGTATCAAGAGCGCTAAATGGTACTTTAACCACGTTTAGCAACGTGATATTTAAGCTAAAATACTTTAGTCACGGTCTTAGCTTTCCGTGATTAAAATGCCACTTTTGGTGCGTCAAAACCTTGGAAAAAGTAGAAAAAGTTGAAAAAAAGACTCAAATTATTCAATTTTTATAGATCACCAGAACACCATCTTATCCTCGATGACCTCTGCCGTTCAAACTCAACAAACTACGGCGACATAGGTCCAATTTCCTGGGATACCATGGAAAGTGTCATTATAAACATCACGCAAAAGTGTAGCGAGATGTTGGTTGGTTGTAAATGGCAAGGAAAGACTCGTGATTGCAGTGAATTGATTGATTACGTACTGACAGACGATGGATACTGCTGTACCTTTAATAAACTACCATATAAATACGTCTACAGACATGATTTGTAAATATTATGCAACCAACTCTACTGGTAACATAATAATATGAATGATTTTAGTGCAGGGACAAATTTTACTTATCCAAATAACGTAGTAAATTGGTACCCTGAAGTAGGGTACCCAGCTAATATCAAAGATGATATATATCCATATCGGGCTTTTGGTAGAGGAGTCCAACAAGGATTAACTGTGGTCCTGGATAGTGCTATGCATGAATATTACTGTTCTGTAAGCAATGGATTTGGTTTCAAGATATTGTTTCATTCACCAAGAGAATCTCCTAAAATTGCGGACCTGGGATATTTATTGGAACCTGGAGTAGAATCACGAATTGCTGTCAATGTTGATGTACAACTGGCTACAGATTCAATCAGGGGGATAGATTATCGTAAAAGGAAGTGTTTCTTTACAGATGAGAAATTTTTAAGATATTTTCAATTGTATTCGGCGACTAATTGTCTCCTTGAATGTGAGGCTAATTATACTGAGGAGATGTGTGGATGTATTCCATATTATCTTCCGCGTGATCAGGATACGAATTTGTGTGATAAATCTGATGATACTTGTACTACTCAAGCAAAGTGTGAGTATAGGCAACCCACAATGCATTTTTTTACATTTTAAGGTTATAATTGTTTTATTTTTGATTTTAGATATAATAGAACGTTATGGGAAAGAAAAATTAGCCTGTGATTGTTTACCTGGGTGTTCCCAATTTGAATATTACACAGATATACAATCATTCGGGAAATTATTGGATTTGAATAATATTACTTATAATGAATTCGCAGGGAATTTCACAAAAGAATATTTTGCGTATATTTTTATTTAAATCCTTGAATTCTAGTTAAAACTATATTAATGTTTATTTTTTTAGTGAAAATATAGCTATACTACACATTTTCTTTGGTGTTGAAAGGTTTCCAGTACAAGTGAAGACAGCAATGTATAATTTTTCAGAGTTTCTTTGTAAATATTTTGAAAATTCTTTATTTAAAGTGTAAATTTAATTTAAATTGATTTTATTGCAGCAAACACCGGAGGATTATTGAGTTTATTCCTGGGATTTAGTTTCATGACCGTGGTCGAGCTCATTTATTTTCTCTTCATTCGAGGAGCGTGTGTTTGGTGTCAAAGCAGACAGCATAATCAACAACACCAACAAGTCTTTGTTAAATAAAATAGAATAGAATAGAATAGAAATCACGCCTGCGGCAATTTGTTAGTAGTAAGTTGTGATTTGTGATTGTAAGAGTTAAGTATGTTATTAATGTAAACATAGGCAACACATGCAACACATCCATCTTGTTATCTTGTTATCCTCTAGTAATTACTGAGTGTAATGTTATATTGTTATATTTCCCTGTCAATTTGTCACTTTGTGGCTATATAAAGAGGAAAATAATCTGTAAATCTTCAAAAGTGTGAATAAACGTGTGTTTGAGTGATGGCGGCCATTTTGAAATCCAGAAAACCTATAAATTCATCGGGGAAAGATGAAAACTATCTGAAAAACACGCCGATTGTTTCTATTTATAAAATATACAAAGAACAATCACATCATAAGTAAAATTTTTGTATATTTTTGTATTTATTTATTAATTTTTAATATTTTAGACCAAAACAAATCTTTAGGAAGTTACACATCAAAAGAGGATTTCAAAATTATTGTTCAAATTCAACTCTACATGGTTTAAAATACGTTGGTGATCAAAATTTAACTTTATTCGAAAGACTCTTTTGGTTGATGTCTTTTTTCATTGCTGTTGGGTTTGCTTTGTATTTTATTTATAATTTGTATAAAAGATATGATCAAAGTCCTGTGATTGTTAGTTTTAATCCTAAATTAGTGACGATAACAGAAATACCTTTTCCTGCTGTTACAATTTGTAATGTAAACATCGCTCTGAAATCAAGAGCCGAATTTTTGAATGCTCACGGGTAAAAAACAAAAAAGCAATAAAAAGAAAACAATTTTTAGTAATAAAATGAAATTTAAAAATATTTCAGAACTTACATTAGCAAACAACTACTCGCTGATCTTTGTAATAAAAACAGCAGCTTTGATACAACAAATTCCACAGGTGAGGAAGTCGAACAAAGTGGTTTAGAATGGTCCATGGTCCGAGAAATGATAATAGGAGTAATTATATATAAACAATTTTTTATTTTTTACTTAAAACTATTAATATTTATAGATAAATCAAAAGTGTAATGAAATGTTCAAAGTCTGTCGCTGGGATGGCGAATACCGGAAGTGTTCGGATATCATCAACACAATTTTGACAGATGAAGGATACTGCTGTGCGTTTAACAAACTCCCTGTCAACTACTCCCTAAGGAACTATGAGTATTCAATCTGTTTTTGTCTTAATTTAATTTATATTAATATATGTAGTGAATATTTTAATCCTAGGGAGTTTGCCAATGTCTACCCGACAAGAATCATCGATTGGAATCCGGAAGATGGTTATCCAAAAAGGACTCCACGAGATGTTTATCCTTTTCGTAGTTTTGCGCCAGGACAAAATTTAGGATTGTCTGTTGTGTTGGATGCTAATTTGAATGAATATTACTGTACTACTACAAGTAGTATAGGGTTTAAAGCGTTGTTGTCTACTCCGATTGAGTCTCCCAAGATGGCGGATATTGGTATGCTTATTTCGCCTGGAGAGGAAATACGTGTTGCCATTGATGTGGATATTGAAGATGCTACGACTGGTGTGGCTGGGATACACTATAGTAAAAGGCAGTGTTTTTTTGCTAGGGAGAGAAAGTTGAGGTTTTATAGGATTTATACGGAGAGGAATTGTCGGTTGGAGTGTGAAGCGAATTTTACGTTGATGCGATGTGGGTGCGCGCCGTATTTTTTACCTAGTGAGTATAATAAGTTGCCTATGCTGAATTTTTTAACCTTTGGGGTATTATATAACCAAAAGCGGTGTTTTTAATATTTGACAGCTAGTAGGGTTATGTAATGTATTGCAGGAGATCAATCTACGAAGGTTTGTGGTCAAAAAACTGAATCTTGTGCGGAGGAATCAAAATGTAAGTAGGGAAACCTAGTTTATTGATAGTATTGAATAATTTTGTTTGATTTTTAAGATATAATTGAACGGTACTCGATTGAAAGGTGAGTAAATCGTCAAATAAATAAAAATATTTCTGTTTTTTGTTCTTTAATGTTTTACAATTTCGTATATTCACAGATTAAAGTGCAATTGCCTGCCGGCATGTTACGAAATAAATTACATGGCGGTTTTGACAACTGTGGGAAAAATAAAGAAAAAATATGACACTGTCGAAGAAAAATTCAAAGGGAATGTAACTGCTGAATATTTCGCGTAAGAATTCTATTTATAAATCATTTTCTTTTATTTGATTTCACGTAATTTGTAGAGAAAACATGGCGGTTGTGCATTTCTACTTCTCTATTGATAAATTTCAAAAAAAGACAAAGAGTGAAATGTATGGATTCCCTGAATTTTTATGTAAGCATATTTTTTGTATTCTACTCTAAAGATTAAACAAAATGAGGACTATTTTTAGCAAATACCGGAGGACTTTTAGGGTTATTCCTAGGCTTCAGTTTTTTGAGTGCAGTAGAAGTGATCTACTTTCTATGCTTATCTAATGTGTGTAGATATGTTACAAGGAGATATTCTGATAAGCACAAACCAAGAAGTGAAGTGGTAGTATATCCTTATGTCAACTAACTACAAATTGATTAATTATCAGTAAAATTTCAATCGTTTTCAATCGTTCAATAGAACTAATAAGTACTAGGTAGGCAACACACAATACTTTTTTTAGTTACCATAGCTCTACATATACAATATCTAGTCCATAGAAAAATCTACAGGATGTCTAAACTAACCCAAAACCCTTAAATAATTACTTCATGCACTCTGCAATTCACTGATAAGTAGAAATGTCCATTATCCACTCCTGTTTCGTCACGTAGACATTTACATACACAGATGCAAGCCATTTCCATTGAGTTAATTACAACTGGTAGTGCTATTGCTACTGCTGCCTGCTAGCGGCATGTTTGAGCATAACCCTGCCGGCGAGAACCGGCTCGCTGCGCACGTAGTGGCCTCCTGCTACTGCTGCTCCTGCGATCATACGATGAGACGAGTCATACGAGTCTAGCCTAAACCCGCCTAACCCACCAATCCACATCGACCGAGTACACAGATATTAGAAGAAGCGGAACAACCTGCAGGCGCGCAGTGTATCCGTACCAACCGTAGACATCACAGCGACGTGACTTCGTACTTTTTTTGGTAAGCATCATAAAATATTCTACTACTACTAAAATAAATTAAATTTACTTAAATAATCATAGAAAATATAAAAATACAACAAATAGTTTCATAAAACAACTGAAATTTAGGAAAAAATAGATTTATTTTAGTAAAGAGAAGTAAATTTAGTATAAAACTAGTGTAGTATGAGTAGTACATAGAAAATTGTTGGTTAAGTTTATAGAAATACTGAAATATTGAGTAATCGGTATTGCTGTAGTCTGATTGACCACAATAATACGTATGATCTTGTCATTATGACCATACAATCAACGTGCATGAAGTTGTACGTATTTTTATTTTTGTTTGTACGCTTACATTTACCGTTAACTCGGAGATTGCCGGTTGTGAGTAGATTTGTACAATTACCGTTTGCCGGTCAACACCGCAGACACGCACAACACATTTATAACATCTCTAAAACTATTTTAACAACTACACATATAAAATGTATAAAAATGCATATTACAATATATAAAATATATATTTTGGGTTTTTTGATAACGCGTAATTCTGTTATGTCTGATTTGACGAGTCAATCACGATGATTACGTGGAGTAATAACATTTCGATGCTGTATCAGTTGACACAGCGATTTGTTTGTTAATCCTTTATCAGGCGTTGGCTTTTATTACCTAAATGAATGTATTATATGTGTGTGGATGTTGTACCTGTTTTTTTTATTGTGAGTAATCGATTTTGAGGCTGGATATTAATATCTACGTCAGTGGATGTTACGAAATTAATTGATTTATATTAGGTAGTTGTATATTAGTTGAGTAATTAAAAAGTGGTAAATATATCCGGTTTTTGTCTATAAAAAAATAAATGGGGAGGTTTTAACTGACGTCACAAGATGCAATATTATAAATTTTGAAAGTTATCGTCTTATATGTAATTAAAAAGTTTAAAAATACAGAAATAATTATGAAATATTGAAAATTTTAATGAAAGTTATTGCTCATTGTGTTTTTGACATTTTACTTCAGTAAATTTTAATTTTAATTTCGTATAATCGATTTTATTATAGATTTTGGTTATTAATATCCAATTTCTGACGTAAATCTTATGAAATTAATTAATAATATCCGGTTTTTATAAGTTTTATTGTTCCCAATAAAAAAAATAATAGAAATGATTCATTCGACGTCACAAAATGCAATTTTCTCAAAATTTGACAATTTTACAATGAACAACTCTAAAAATGAAAAAAAACGGAAACTGCTGACGTAAATATTATGAAATTAATTAATTAAACATGCTTTTTTTATCATTTTTTTATTGTGCCAATAAGAAAAATAGTAGGAATGTTTCATCCTACGTCACAAAATGCAATAATAATTCACAAAAATTAGCAACATTACAATTAAAAACGCCTTAAAAGCAAAAATTAGCCAAAAAAACACTAAAAATTCATTTAAAAAACGCCATTGCTTTCCGTTTTTGCATTTTTAACCTTATACTCCATTACATTTTAATTTTACTTTATACCACATATAAATAATTAATTACCGCGCATATTGTAATCACAACGAGACACTGAGACACCACAGATCAAAGGTTAACTTAAACCATCGCCAAGTTAAAACTTTAAAGGTGCATTTAACGATTCCACGTAGATTCACGCACGTAAATCAGAATTAACGCGCTGAGAGTTTATTGAACACTTAAATTAAAGTTATCAGCGTTTTCACTATAATACATCCGGTTAAACCAACTGCGTCGTTAAAACACTCAAAACCATGGAAACTCTCAAATTAACTTTCGACCAGACCAGGTATTTTAACAATGACTTGCGATTTATTACGTTACCTTATTGAACTTAGGACTTGTACCCTGGACCCTGAACTCTGGACCCTGACCCTTCAAACTAAATTTTATAATATTTAATTTAATTTAATTTAATTCAAGTACTTAAGTACACGTGACTTAAGTACATTAAATATTTACATTTATATTTATATTTATAGAGTACTTATACTCCACTTGATTGATATTTCATGCTAATTAATAGCTTTCAGTCAATGTACATTATTTTTTTTTGTTTGAATTTAAATTCTCAAGTTTTACACTTTTTTACCTGCCAGACTGTTTGCATTCCTTTGAAGTGGTATCAATATTGACGTGATAGCAATATAGCAATATTTGTCATTAGCAATTCCTTGTGAATTTTTACCTGTATACTTCAAGATAACGTTTGAAGTACGTTCATATTGCTAGCTAATAATTGGTGGCTTTTACTTAAAAGGAAATTATTATTATTACTATTACCAAACACCTGTCGTGTGCTGCTTTGTGCATACTCATCCACGTTTTATTATAATTATTAATTCGTGTTTCGATTACGTTTCAGAATCCCATCAAACATTGTTTAATCCAGCAACACCATGGCGCTCGTCGACGTAAGTATTTTATGCCTCATATTAATTCTCAAGTGCGCGCCCGTTCTATGCTAATTACGACTTATCAAGATATGGTGATTCATAATTCATCCGAGTCATGGCAACATGAATACTAGTGCGCTTTGAGTATTGTATAAAGTTTTAAACAATTGAAAGTTATTTTTAAACCTTTTCAATGTTGGATTTTGTTTGTTTTTTTCGTAGCAATTCAACAAAGCCGCTGCTGATGTTAAGAACTTGAAGTCTATGCCTTCGAATGATGATCTTCTCGAATTGTACGCTCTGTTCAAACAGGGTAGTGTTGGTGATGTTAATACAGGTATAATATTTAGTGTTTTATTGTAAACTATTGTTTTTTACCCCAAAATCCCCAAAAAACGTTTTTTTTTATTTAAATGTTTTTTTTATCTTTAGACCGACCTGGAATGTTGGACATGAAAGGCAAAGCCAAGTGGGACGCCTGGAATGGAAAGAAGGGTATGTCCAAGGAAGAAGCCATGCAGAAATACGTCGACAAGGCCGCAGCGCTGGTCGCCTCCATTGGCCTGCAATAAGCAGCACAATTAGACAAATTAAGCGTGTTGCGATGCAGCTGTGCTCGCCACGGGACTGGGCAATTTAGTTACTACTTTTTATATGATACATCTGTACTAAAAAAATTTAAACTGAACGGAAATTTTACACTCTCGCCTTATTCTTGCTGATCAAGAAAAGCACGAGGTTTTTGTACACTGAAAATGCATCACATAGTTGTTTTAGTGATTATTTCTGGGCAATGTTAGTTTTGTGAAATGTGAAAATTGTTTATTACTTTGTAGTAATTGTGAACTTCTTGATTATTAGTTATTACACGTTTTACAATGTCACAACAAGTATTTTTCTTTATTAGAATCTCTGGAAGTGCTATAAAATGTCAAATTTGTGTTTTGACAGTTTTTAAAAACTTGGGTTAGAAAACGCCTTGTATCTCCTGAACCAGTTAAGCAATTTATGATTTCTCACCGTCTTGTTGTTCCTAAGAAGCTCCTTAATAATGTGGGTAATATTCAAGTACCTAAACCAACTGGAAGTGCCCTAAAATGGCCATTAAAAATGTCTCCTTTTCTAAAAATTTCAAAATTTACAAAAGCGTAGAAAACGCTTTGTATCTCTTAGAACAACTAAACAATTTGTGATTTCTCAATGTAATAATATAGTTTAAGAGATTCTCTATAATGTGTATACCTTTTCCGCCCTTTTAACTCTCAGAAAGTACTCTAAATCTCACCTCAAAAATTGCCGTGTATTTCGTTAATTTTTTGCTTTTTGATTGAAAAATTGAAAGACATTTTAATGTGGTGAAAATAGCAATAAATGTAAACAATAACAGATTATTTTATTTAATAAAAAAGCAAACAAAAACACTCAAATCAAACGCGTTAAAGAATATTAACTAAATATTAAAATAAGTAAATAAACACAAAATATGATTTAAAACGTCGTGCACATTGTGTTGCCTACTCTCTGACAGTTACCATCTGATTTCCTCCCAAAAAGTCGATTTGCATAGTTTAAGATTCGCTTCATTCGCATTCCGCACGTAACGGTCAATAATTCGCTATAAATAGCGCGCGAATTGTTTGGATTAACAAATTTCGCGGCGCGAAAACACGCAATATGTGAGCGCGCAATGTGAAATGCAAACGGCGTCCAATTGAACAATTGACGATCGCCTGCATTCGCACTACATTGCATAGGCGTTGTCTTGTTTACTCAGTCTCTATCTAAATACATATACAACAAGCAATTGGTTTGTGCCTGCGTTCAATTAGCCTCATCGCAATTATCGCTTACTTCGACTGTGCGCGGCTGTGTGTGGAATGGATATAATGCCGCCCCTAAAAACCTCAAACAAATGCAACAACAACAATTTCATAAGGTCCAAAGAAAACATCAATGTTATCAACTCAGCTGAGCATTATCCCATCAAAGTTTTAAACAACCTGAATAGTCTAAGGCTGGATGAGAGCTTCTGTGATGTGGACATCATTGCAGAAGATAAAATATTTAAGGTATGTATTAATAGTGGTTTATTACATGTATAAAGGGTTGACTAATTAATTTTTTTACATTTTGTAGGCACATCGAGCTGTATTGGCTGCGAGCAGTCCATACTTTCATGCAATGTTCACAAGTGAGCTGTGTGAGAAGAATCAAACCTCTGTGGAATTGCATGCAATACCATCGCACATCCTGCAGGTATTGATCAATTTTATATATTCAGGTGAGGTGACCATCAATCAGAACAATGTGCAAGAACTGATTGTCGCTGCTGACATGTTGGAGATTCATGAGGTGGTTGTGGCATGTTCAGAGTTCTTGATTAGGGAATTACATCCTTTTAATGCTATTGGAATTAACAGGTAAGAAAAATTTAAAGAAAAAAGCCGAAAAATAGCTTTTTAGATAAAAACTCAACAAAATTTTGTTGTTTTTTAGATTTGCTGAAGCACACAACTGTAAAATGCTAGCAAACGCATCCCTGCAATATATCGAAGCGCACTTTGTACAGATTTTGAACGAGAAAGAGATCTACGAGCTGCCTAAAGAACAAATAATCAAGTTCCTGTCATCAGAGTACATCCGCGTTGATTCGGAGTGCCAAGTGTTTCAGGCCGCACTCAGATGGGTCACCACTGATCCACTACAACGCCGACGTTATGTTTTCGATATTTTGAAACATGTACGCTTGCCATTACTCTCCCTAAGTAAGAAAAAACAAAATAATTCACATAAAACCACAAAAACACATCAAAAATTAAAATGATTACAGATTTAATTGAACGTTCGATAATGTCCTGTGGCGATAGCAGTCTTAAAGTCGCTCTGAAATCAATCCATGAAGATTTAGCAACGCGTAAAGGATGTTTGGTGCCATTGAATGTAAAACCACGAATGTGCGCAAAGAAGGACATCTATGTCATTGGCGGATCAAAACGCGAGCCACAACCCAACTTTCATCGCAACTGCGAGAATAATTATGTTTCAGTGCAACGATTTGATACATTCAAAAGGTAATTTTTGTATTTTTGTCACTCGTTATATTTTAACACAAAAAAAGTGGTACTTCAAGGTGAGTCTGCGGAAATATTTTTAGAGGTTGCGCAAACAAATTAATTGCATGTAACCATTTCGACCTTCGTTTCTTTTATCGTTCATACTCGAAAAAACGATTTCGGTTTGATTTGTTACTTGAGCATTACTGTGATGATTTGTTTAAGTGCGACCGCACGAATAATAAAACTCACAGTCGATGTGCGACCGTGATACATTCTTTATCTTCTGTTAAAATAAGTTAAAATCATGACTATCTACGGGAAAATTATCGAAATTGTATTTTCTACCAAAAACAACCCAAAAAGTTTGTTTAAAACGTATTTTTATTCATATTTCAATGATTTTTATTCATTTTCTGTTTAGAATTTGGTGTAAAGCACCAGATATGTCCGTAAATCGCATTGTCCCCGGCGTAGCATCCCTAAACGGACAAATCTACGTCGTTGGCGGTGAGCAGGAGTCAAATAGCCTGGCGTGCGGCGAATGTTTCGATCCGAAAGACAATGTCTGGAGTGAGATTGCAACTATGATCGTGCCACGCTGCGAGTTTGGTTTGTCTGGATTAAATGGATATCTTTACGCCATGGGTGGATGGAGTGGTAATGGTATAGATGGTTCAATTGAATGCTACAATCCAAAGTTGGATGTTTGGACTCTGGTCGGGACTCTACCTCAGCCGAGATTTAGTATGGGTGTTGTCAGTTATGAGGGATTGATTTATATGGTCGGTGGATGTTCAGAAAACGAGCGATATCTTCAGGATTTATTGAGTTACAATCCTGCTACGGAGGAATGGCGGTCATTACCACCAATGTCACTTGCACGTTCACAAATGGGTGTGGCAGTGTTAAACAATTGTCTTTATGTTGTTGGAGGTGATAATAGAAATCAAGTTTTGAATTCTGTTGAGCGATATTCATTCAAAAAGGTATAACTTTATATTTTTTAATTAAAATTTAAAAAAATGATTTTTTTGGTTATGTTTATAGAATAAATGGACGACTGTACCAAAAATGTTGGTAGCAAGAAGTCGTCCAGCTGTAGCCGCAGTCGATGGTTTACTCTATGTCATCGGCGGCTCTGAAACCAAAGAAGATTTTTACCGTACGCAGTACACGATATCATCAGTCGAATGTTATGATCCGGTGGTGAATATGTGGAGTGTATGCCCCGAGTTACCAGAGAGTCGCGCTGAAGCCGGCGCTGTTGTAATATAATGATTTCTCACGCGCGTATCACACACGAATGATTTATTATTAATGTCGTCTTGTCCTATTTATTGTTAATATTTATTAATATTGTAAATTCTTTATCGAATCAACCAGATAGTGAGCTATTAATCATAAGTATGTTATTGTTATACATAAAGATATAAATTTATATTTGTATGGTACTCAGTTGTTGCAGCCAAACACTTGTGGATACAGCGCAAGTATAATCGCCGCTAATCTCATTCAAATGCGTTTCGATTGCGTTCCACATTCGATGTTAATATGTAAGTGAGTGTTTTACTGTGACAATGAGTATACGCATGGTGAATTATATTCAATGGAGTCTCAATTTCAATGTACCAATTGTACACATTCAGCAATTGTAATCAATGTTCAGTTTCTATACCAAAAGGCAACAATTTGAATAAAATTGCAATCAATATATACATAATTGCTTCTTTTACATTCGTAGTGATGTAGAAAATTGCTTTTTTATGGGTTTTTAAGTGCAAAATGAAAGAAACATTGAAGAAATTAATGAAAATATACAAATTAAGGCGTCCTCCATGTTGGAATTTTAATGATTTATGTTAAAATGACTTTACATTGCGATATTGTGCTTTTTACATTTGTACTGGTGATAGAAATTGATTTTTCTTGAGTATTCAGGGGCAAAATGAAAGAAATGAAGAAATTAATATAAATGAGCATATTATGGCTTTCTCCATGGGAGAATTGTAAAGTTTGGTGTTAAAATGTCCATTCATTGGCACAGGGTGTTTCTGTGTTACTGAGTGAAGTGCACATCACACAGACACGAGTGTACCACCCGTTTGATAGCAGGTAATCTCACTGCTACAAATGCATGCTCACTGACTCAACCAAACATTTTATTTGGTTTGAACAAACAGCTTTATGAGGCGTTTCTTTTGTCTTCTCTAAAACAATACTGGATGGCGCAGCGATGCACATTTTAGTTAGAAATGTTTTTTATGCTGTTAGAAGTGGCGTGATTTCAAGCAGGTATATGTTTTAATCTTTATCTTTTATACCGCTGATATTTATGCAAAAAACTTGTGTTTGTTTACAAACAGAAACTATTCACTGCGAATATCGAATGTACGAATATCTAAGCATTCTACTACGTTCTAGATTATTCAAAGTCAACGCAAGGATACATTTTCAACTATAAATAATCAAAGAATGTAAAAATATTGTTCATAATATTTTGAATAAGTATTTTTGGGTATTATTTATTAAAAGTAATGAAATAATTAATTGAAACGCTAACAGAAACTGTACTTTATTTATAAACTGAATCATTGCAATCAAATAAGTAAAAATACCTTCTACAATTACTAATATAATTAATTACTAATTATTACACAGAATAAAGTTTAAAAGAATTAAATTTGTGACAAGCAGCGCTGTCTATCAAGTAGTTTATGCAACCCAATAACGAATGGCTGGCTTTGACAGCACTTGTCAAATGCGCGACGAAATCAGACGAAATGCAGAGGTGCATACAGTGAATAAACGTTAACTCGCGTTTACTTAAACATTATTTATTATTGTTAAATATTAGTGACTTACTGGCTTATAAGGTGAGTGAATACCGCATAAAATTATTACAAAACCACGCAAACAATCACAAATCTCAATGGCCGCGAATAATAACATATAACCTAAAAAAATATTGAAATTTTATGAAATACGATACATATGCATATCTGATCGAGAACTATAATTTATTATTTATAAATTATTACACCGGTTCCTATATAAAAGAACTAGTTCAATTTAAATCGATATAAAAGTGTTTTAAACAAAGTTTATAAAACAACTTACTTTCTAAAGCTCTAAAGCGGCGAAAGCATGTATAATGGAATTGGTTTGGCTACGGCGCGGGGCTCCGGTACAAATGGACACGTGCAGCGAAACTGGGCCCTTGTTCGTCCCAAAGAAAAAGAGAAAACCTACAGGACTGAAGAAGATATTGCAGCATTAGAAGCTTCAACCTTCAAACAACCCAACAAGGAAATACTGGACCATGAAAGAAAACGTAAAATCGAGCTGAAATGCGCTGAATTTCAGGATATTTTAGAAGAACAAGAGTAAGTTAATCAACATTTTACAATAAAACCATAAAATATTAACGAAAACAATGATTTTACAGGTTTTCAGAGGAAGCAATCAGCAACAAAGTGAATAATTACAGAAATATGCTGATGTCACACGAAGGCAAGGTGGAGAAATCTGTGGATCAATGGGGAAGACCTTGGTGAGTCTTAGAAATATATTTCCAGTATAAGTAGGTTGTAAATTTGATTGGATTTGATGTTAAATTGGCTTAATGTAGGCGCAGATTGAATTTCCCGCGCGAGGGTGTTATATAACCAGGGGCGGATGGCGGAAGTTCCGGTTTGTGTTGCGTATTATCGACCGGGGTGCCTTTGCCCGCCCCCAGCACGCGCGCGCGCCACTTCACAGTTTCGCAAAAAGCGTCGCGATTCTAGTCGTAGCGATGGGAACGTCGCCGTCGGTGCGTTCGAGGATGTCAGCGTCCATCAACGTGCTTCTTAATTAATTAAATCAACATTTAACCATGTGACCATAGAGAAATCGATTGCAAAATCGCAATGTCTTCCATTTAAATGTAGTTTAATCTTAATATCTATAAAAATAATCCAAGTCTTCCAAAATTTACGTGATTAATATTATATTGTATAATTATATATAAAATTTAAATTAAATAAGAAAAATGTATTTTGGTGGTGGGCAAGCACCACCTGCCGGCGGTGGTAATCGGGGGCGGTACGCGACTGTTGATGACCGCGTGATTTTCGAGCGTTTGTGGCGCGGCGCGTTTTGCCAAGCGCTGGGACCCAAAGTGGTTGCACAACGCCTGCAAACACCTTTACTTCCATCGCGGGCATTAACCAGGTGTTGTTGTCACTGCCACTGTGAGCAGGCAAGCGATACTTGTGTGATTGACTCGTCCAAGAAGGCAATGCGATCTGTCAGGTAATTTAATCTATTTTAACACAAAGAAAATTTGATTTTTTTTGTTGTGACGGGGTGAATTAATGTAGATTTACCATGACGCCATGTGTGAATGGTAGGGTGAATCACCCCTCCGCTGTTCCGTGCGCTATCGATTTGTTTGCGCCGGGTGCGTGCCATGCACGGACGCGCATTGTTCCACTCGCGATGTGTTAATGTAGTAATGTTGTAGTTTAAGTGCAATATTTGAGATTTATTCATGATGGTGTGCTGCAATATTAAAGTTAACGATGCGGAGTATGTTTTTGTTAAAATTTGGCGGCCATTTTGTATGTTTTGTGTTTTGATTGCAGTGTTACGGAGACACATCAAGTGGCTGAAGCTCAACAAGAAAAAACGCAAAACTACGTGAAGCTTTTGGTATAAGTGAGTATTTTGTCGACGGCAGCAGTTTTGATCCGGATCGGCAAGCGAAGGAAGATGTGGCGCGCTCCAATGCCGCCCAAGAAAAGAAGCGACAAAACGCGCTCGATAAAGATGCCAGCGGACGTTATAACATTGTACACACGCCGAGTCCTGAACCTGACACGTCGAAGAAACCTAAAAACGCAAGACGAGGTAAATTTTTATTCAAATTATTTAAAAACATCGAAGTTTAATATAATTTTGTATTCTTTCAGTCGGAGTTCAAGTGAAGAACCCACAAAAAAGAAGAAGAAATCAAAGAAGCGTAAGAAAGAAAGGTAATTTATCTCCACGTCAATATCGCAGTCTCGGTTATGCTTTACTCTTGTTTCGAATCACACGTTGTAATGCCCCCTCAAAAGTAAGTTGGTCACTCTCTCATGAAGTACATACTCATCTCTCTATACTCTGTCATGTTCCTTTATCCTCTATTTCCTTAAAATCTCTCCTCACACACGTTGCCGCCATTTATAATTAATTGTAATCTTGGTCGTGTTTTCTTGCGGTACCAGTGCTGGTGGGTAACACACTAAACGTGCAGGTAAAGTGATCGTAATAATGTCTAGCTACTACTACTACCGCAACTGTTACATTACATTCTTTTCTATATATATATATATATACATACATACGTACAGTGTGTAAATAACTAGTGGATAAGTCTCCCAAATGCTCAGCGCGCGCGGTGTTTTGATTGGCAGCGTCGTTGGCTAATCGCTGCGTACGTTCTGTGTTGGGCAGGTCCGGAAAGGATAAGAAGAAACGCAAGAAGAAGCGCAAGCGGTCGGTGAGCAGCAGCGATGAGAGCGATTCCAGCACCGAGGATGAGTCCAGCGCGGATGAGAAACGCAAGGAGCGACGCAAGCGTAAAAAAGAGGTGAGTGCGTGTAAAATTAACAGGAGTGTGGTGTTTACAGCAGTGTTTTATCACACCCTCTCTCTATCTCTCATCATTTGCTTATTAAATCTGTGCGAACGGTCACATTGAGGTGAATTTTGTCTATCAACCATTACAGATGAATTTGTTTGTTTTTTATATTTGAATTTTTGATGCGAGTATTAACTACTACTGCGTTTCGATTTAATTGCTGCATGTGTTGCTATTTTGTTTGTTTTCTTTTTAAAAACAGTAAAAACAACGATTGTTCTGTTCTGAACTTTTTGCGCTCATTAATAGGATAGCCAGACTGGTGAATTGTTATTGTAAGTACTTTGGTCCGCCATGCGGGCCTAGAATTCGACTGCATGCATGCATTCTCTCTTATCTCTCTTGCCAAATACCGACTCTTTCTGATTGTAGCGGCTAAATTCTCGCGGGACTTAAAAATCAACTGTTTTACGATGAATTTAACTCAGTATCATGTAATATAATACCGTCGTAATTGCACTTGCTCTATGTTTACATTAATTTGATGTGTGCCTACTACAAACTCAATCAAGACTTAAAATAAACTCAGTGATTTATTATTACTAATCTAATTGTAACCAAAGTTTCATTGATTTGGTTGATTGTAGTGAGTTTGTTCAACTAAAATGTGATTATTTTTACATAGAAAAAGAAGGCGTCAAAGAAGAAGCGAAATCGATCATCATCCAGCTCAAGTGATAGGTAATTTTGTCATTTTGGTGTTTTAAAAGTTTTATTGCATGTTTTTATATATGTCCAGCTCACCAGAGAAGAAAAGATCTAAATCCAAGTCAGAGAAACCGAAAATAAAAGAAAAATCTAAAGAAGTTGTAGAAAAAATACGCGAACGTAAATCGCGGTCAAGAGATCGCTCCAACAAGCGACCAGAACACAAGTACAAATCGTGCAGTCGTACGAGATCACCACCACACAAAGATCGCTTGAAAGATACAAGGCGTGACCGTGATAAGACTGAGAAACAACAATATATCCAGCGCCGTAGTCCAAAACGCCGCGCGTCGCCCGAACGTAAGGATAAAGATTCAGTAATTCAGCGTGAGAGGAATAACAGAAACAGGTCACGAACGCCGCTGGCTGTGCAGAAGGTGCAGGAAGTGCGGCGGCGTGAGCGATCCAAGTCGGTGGATAAACATCGACGGCCTTCCGTGGAGACGCGCCGCGATCGATCCAACAACAACGAACGCCGCAATGAAGGCAGGTATGACAACAGAGATAATCGAAGGAAGGAACATGCTGTTGTGGATGCACGACGCAATAATCGGTCACCTGATAAGGATAGGAATAGACGGCGTGAGGTGGATAGGAGTGGAGAGAGAGAGCAGAGGGATAGAAGGCGTGTTTCTCCAAGGTGGAAGTCTGTGGAGAGGAAACGGTCGAGATCACCCGAAAAGCGGAGAGTTTCCAGATCGCCGGAGAGGAGGAAGGTTTCTAAGTCTCCTGAAAAACGCAGAGTTTCTAGATCTAGATCTCCGGAACAAAGGAAGGTTTCCAGATCACCTGAAAAGCGTAGAATTTCGAAATCTCCTGATCCTGTGGTTTCGAGGAATAGAAACATTTCTAGATCTCCAGTTAATGTGAAACCTGCTAAAAATGTATCCAAGTCTGAGTCGGAGAGTGAGAATAGAAGATCAAAGTCTCCTCCCAGAGGTAAACCTAATTCCAGGAAAGCTGATTCCAGCCGAGATAGAGATAGAGAGAAAAATTCATCTAGATCTGATCAACGTAGACGAGGATCGTGATCGTTCAGTGGATAAATCTAGAAAACGTGATGTTTCCAGAGAGAAACTTGTTAAACCACATAGCGATAGACAGGATACAAATAATCATACGCGGGATCGTTCCCAGAACTCTCAGAATTCACAAAAACGTGAAAATAAAGAGCGCCAACGTACACCTCCTATGAGAAATCGATCAAGAAGTCCGGAGAATCATAAGGATAGTGTGGTAACACGACAAGTTTCGACGAGTCCTGAATCGGCAAAATCTAAGAAAAAATCACCACGTGCGCAGGTACCTGTTGTCCGACTTAGGTCTTCAAGCGATGAGGAAGAATCCGATCGGGATTGTGATCATGAAGATGAAGAACGCGAGAAGGAGTTACGTATGCTACGATTACTGAAATCTGATTTGGCTGCGAAGGCTCGTGAGGCGTTGGAGAGGAAAATACCCAAAGCCAAGGCTGAAAGTCCTCCGAAAGTCACACAGCGTGAAAATACAAAATCACCGGAAGTTACAATAAAACCTACGAAGAAATCGATTGAAAAATCACCAGAGGTGCAGGATCGCAGGGTTGATAACAAATTTAAAGAAAATAAAGATAATAAAGATAAAGAATTGAAGGGAGCAAGTAAGAGTAAGTCGAAGAGCAGGTCCAAGTCTCCTGTCAAACGCAAATCGCGTTCAAAGAGTCGCAGTTCATCCAGATCATCATTTAGGTAATGATTTTAACCTAAAAGTTAACCTAAATATTTTTAATGTTTGATATATAGTTCAAGGGGTTCCCGTTCCTCGTCCTCATCATCATCGAGTTCAAAATCTTCGCGATCGCGTTCCCGGAGTCGCAGCTCGCGTAGTTCGCGCAGCTCCTCGAGCAGTTCGGCATCATCACGATCCCGTTCGCCATCTATACCACGCCGCCATGGCTCTCCGAGCTTTCTCGATCGCAGAAGGATAACAAGGTAGGCTTTTTGCAGCGCAATTCCATGTAAAGCTCGCAAAGCGATATCACTTTTGCACGCGCTTTTCGTATTTACGTTTTCGTGGTTCTGATTATGATTTCAACGTTTTTTACATTTTTGTTTCTTTTCCAGGGACTAAGAGTATTTTATTTTGTCGTAGTTGCGTATCAGTAAGCCACACACCAAATTTGTTCATGTTCAGTTTATTGATGGTCCTGAAATTAATTAATTTAATTTTAAGTAGGTTGTAAGTCCAATAAAATTTCTTTTTCATTGTATGCCGTATGCTTTTGATATTTTACTGAGTTTTTTTAGTATATTTTGTTGGTACGAACGCACTTTTCACTTATTTTGAGGTAAGTTGCATGAATATTGTTTTGCAGTGATATTTGCATTGAAAAACATTGGATATTACTAATTACTAATTAGTTTTGTATGTTAAAACTCAAAATTATTAAAAATTTCGTTTTTTTTCGGTGAATTATTGTCAAAAATGCTAAAAATGGAGGTTATCGAGGCCATCTTGGTACTTAACCTCAATTTATGCCTAAAATAATGATTATTTTATAATACAAGGTCAAAATTTTGATTTTTTAAGTGCAAATGACATAAAACTAAATGTAAAATAAAATATCCAATGTTTTCTGTTTGTTTTTGAGTTGTAACCTCCCCAATATAGATAAATAATCTCTTAACAACAACCTGACTAACAATTCATTGGTAACAAAACGCAATGCGGGGCGCAGTGCACGCAAGCGACCAATACCGTACCACAGGCAGACACCGTCGTCGTCCCCATCATCAGCCAGCAGCGGCAGCAGCCACTGCAGCCCCTACTATCCCCGGCATCGCACCATTTCCAGATCGCTGAGCATATCGTCCCAATCGCGCTCGCCATCGCCCAGCAAGCGCCTACCCACTCTAGATGATCTCTGAACTCGTCCAACCCAGGATTGCTTCGCAACTCGTGCATATCCGCAATAACAACTCACATAATGCTAACAACGAGATCTAGTCATGGTCTAACCATTTTGCAACCAAATCTAAGTCATTTACATTCACATTATTTCTAATATTTCTAATATTTATTTATTTATTTACGTAAACTAATAATTTATTACGATTAGTTTAGTTTGTGTGCAATTTCTACAATCTCTCGACTGTTTGTTATTAAATTAATTAATTAAATGCATAGCTGTAAACAAAATGGAGCAGTTTGTTATGAGGTTCGAAGGCGACGAGAATTTTTAGTACAAATAACGCTAAAATTCGTACATTATCGAAGGCCTACACTCCTAAAACATATGTATATTTATTGAAATGATACAAAATGGCCGCCACAAATAAAAACTAATCAATTTACTCATCACACACCTGTTGTACTGCATGAAATATGAAAACTTACAAAGTCTCTCTCTGCTAAACCAAAACAAACAACATTCAACAATAAATGTTCAATGTGATTGTAACGTTTTTTGGATTATATAACTGATCAGCATGTGTACATCATTAATAAAGCTATACAAAATTAAAAACTTATCTATCTACAACCAGTCATCATAATCTCATTAATCAGATTTGTTTCCCTTTTTCTGTTGCGCTTCACGTCGCACATTCGCAACGTAAATGACCCAGAAAAAGCCGACCAAGTTCATGGTCAACACTCGCAACTAAAACATTAAATTTTGATAAATCACAGAGATTAGAACAAGGAAAACAACATTCGCTTACCATAGGTGGCACCACAGTGATGTTAATCAACTGTAAGATTGTCAAATACTTCCAGCTCGAAGATAGAATCGGCCAGTACAGTTTAAACAATTGTGCGAGCGCTTCGTCGTGTGTTTTGTGCTCCAATCGGGCGAGCATGTACAAACTGAACGCTTGATACAACGGTGTGAATAAAAGACGATCAATTACCAGCTTTTTGATGAAAATCAGTGATGCCTCTTCAGGCACGAGGTGTTCCAGGAACTTGTAGTAGAAGTGCGGGATGGTTCCACCGAAAATCAACCTAAAAATTGAAAAACGTTTAAATTTCTGCTGTGTACAGAAAGTGGAGACAACTAGCGGTGAGTTTGTGTACTAATCAAATAACCTTACAAGTGGTCGGAGCGGACGTTAGACTCTCATGAAAATAATCACAAATAAAACTCGTTTATTACAACACAACACAAGTGCCATTGTAATAATATTATTGTAAAACATACCCATACAATCCGTAGGCAAGTAGACTTTGTTGATTGATGCTTTTGTTGCCCGAGATGAGCTGAGACACTAAATTTCCTGTGGTTGAAAGAACCGCGCTAAAAAGAGCTCTTCTCATTTATTTATCATTTTTATATTTTTAAGAAAATAATTTACCATGTAATCGCCTTGGTACGAATTGGATTTTCGTATAAATTACTCAAATACGAAATGAACGCATTGCGAAGTGGCTTCGACAGCACCATTTTGATTATTAACGAGCGATTATTTATTTAATTACGATTAATAATGAACGCGCTGTTTGCTGAGCACTTCGGCGAGTCAACTGTGCGTCGGATGAGTTTAGAATTAATTAAAACGTATTGATGATAATGGCTGTACTCAGTGTATCGATAGCGATTGCGTGTATTGTATACATATATAAATCTGGCGAGATGTTTAATACTTAACGCGCGCAGATAAGAGAAATCCGTACAAAAACACTTGTTGATACCGACAATACGCGGTGTAGTACACAGCACTTGAGCGGTTTAATAATAACTAGTGTTGTGCGCGTTGTATGTTGCTATGACGTTTCACTCGCTTGATTACTTACTGAGTCCATGGTCTAAGTCTACTTAAACACCAGCTGTACTGGTAGGGCAAGGTAAAACTATTCAGGTGAGGCGTACGGTCAGGTAAACCTGTATTTTTGAGTTTTAAGCGCTGGTTGTACATAAAAAATGGAAAAAATGACTAGAAACTACTTAAAATGCAGTTATTATGACTTAAAACTTTTGAATGATGTATTTTTCAATGATTTTTACTTTTTCCTAAAGTAAAACTTAAAATATTGCCATCTGGTGGTTAAAATATGTACAATTTTCTTTTCCTAAACTTAATAGCAGTGAAAATGGTTTGTATTTCACTTTTATAAAAATAATCTAATACTCATTCTCACATCTGTAAAATAACTCGTAACTTTTGTTGAAAATTGCGACCTTGTAGTCTTGCAGGAAGGCATAACCAAAACAGCGCTTTTAAGTATCCTATAAAAAAATATATCACACAAAAAGGAGCATAAAACCCCACCTAAAATCGAAATCCTTCGCCACTCCACCAGTTACGAGCAAGGATTTGCACCAAAGCGTTCGTCTCTAATCTCCGCTTTTATTTATCTTTTTTTACGTCGTGCGGCGCTCAATGGCGGCAGCTGGAAATCCGGCGAATTTAAAGCAGTTGAAACGAATTAGGTGATAGTGTTACTGTGATGCTGCATCGTGCAGCTTTTCATGTTAGTGATGCTTTAGCTAAAAGAGAAATATAAATAAAAGTGCATGTGTGATAATAAAAGTTGGGGTTTATTTGCGAGGATAATTTAAATGTGGAGGTTCATTTTTATTTTTATAGGGTGGTGATAAAGTATAAAGTGGAAATAGGATCAAAACTAGTTATAAAACGTTGAGAAAGTGGGAAAATTAGATTTTTTGATTATTAAGGTGTGGAAAAGTTGTATTTTGAGTGCTAGTGTGTAAAATTATCATTTTTTATATTGTTATAAGTTATATACAACTTGAACTTCTTGGTTTTCTTAGTAAATTATCGTTTTATCTCAAAAATTAGATTTTTTGATTATTAACGTGTGTAAAAGTTGTAATTAATGTACTAGTGTGTAAAATTAATGCTTTTTACACAATAATAAATTAGATAAATATTTACCTTTCTAATATTTGCAATAAATTATAGTTTTATACTGAAATATTAGGTTTTTCACAGTATATTTGAGATTGAATTAAATTATGAATAAACACGAAAGTAATTTGTCCTTTTACGTGTGTACAATTCAATTAATAAATTCCTATATTAATGAATTTTGGTATGGAGGTAGATTAGGTTATGGAAAAACACATAGGCTATTTTTTTCTGCTAAAATATATATTAAAAGGGCGTAAAATAATGATTTAAAGAGTTTATAAGAGGAATTAATCGAAGTTAGTTTCTCAAATTGAACACAGATGCCGATACAATGCACTTATTTACAATAAATGTCGATACATCGCCGTAGTCGGAATATTTACTTGTTTTGGTCAACACAATTGATAAAGCCACTGCAGCAAAACATGACAAAACATGAATTTTATACTGTTTAGAAACACAACACAACACATTGAATTAAAAAATGAATTGAATTTATTAACAATTATTTTGTTAACGTCTGAAAAAAATTACATTTTCTGCACTACTGTGCAAAATAATCACTTTTTACATTATAATAAGTTATATAAACATTTAACTTCCTGATTTGCTCAATAAATTATAATTTCACGCAGCATAGAAGTGTATACTCGTAAGTGAATATAATCATTCGTGACTCTTGATTATAAGTTATAATAAGTTTACTTTTGATCTCCGACTGTTTGCTAAACATTCTACTGTTGCAAGAAGTTGTCGCTGCAGTTGCAGCAGACACATTTACATTTGTGTTTACCTGTTTACATTCGCAAAACTAAAACGCATGCAAGCGGGAAAAGTGTTCTGCTTTAGCGGGAAGTGACAGTTGGGAGCTTTTGATCCTTTGAGCTTTTGAGTGTTGAGTGTGTAGGTGCGGAGCGTAAGTCTTATTAACTGGAAAGCATTAAATTCTACACAAAATTAATTATTTTGTTAAAATTAAAAATAGATTTTACACTATTTATTAATACAATGTAGATATTTTATTTTGTTACAACAAGGATAAAAAATAACCAAATATTGAAGATTTTACGTGGATAGGCAACAGTTTAATCTTTTGTTGCGCTGATTATAAACTCAATTACTCTAGTAATGCTGGTAATTATTTCCTGAAGTCTTTATATGAATTCCGCGTCGCTCAGTTGTATTCACTTGTGTTATGTTTAAATGATTTTGTTGTAACTGCTTGTGCACCCCAACAAATTAGCTGAAAAATCGTGCTTAAGTTATATAAATTTGCATTGCAATTTGTAGGTATGTTGGGATCGTAATTACAATAATATTTCAAATGTTACCATCGATGTCATGTCTTTAAAAAAATATTCTAGTTCATAATTGCTCGAAATGAAAATATTTTTCGTCGTTACACTGAGGAAATTAATAAAAACCAACCAAATAGTACTTATTTTGTTATTATAAAGAGTTTGTTGTTAAATCGAAAGAATATTACGGTTTTTGACAGCATATTTGAGAATAAATAAAATTAAATCTATAAACACGAAAGTAATTTGTCGTTTTACGGCGGAACAATTTAATTTATATTAATGACGTTTGGTATAGAGATTGATTTATTAATAGAAAAATACATAAGCTATTTTTTCTGCGAAAATATACTATAAAAGGTCTTCAAATTGAAGATGAAAGAGTTTATATTGAGAAATAATAATTTTAGTTTATTGTAGGGAACACAGATGACGTTGCGATGCACTTATTTACATTAAATATCGATATATTGCCGTAGTCGGAATATCAACTGGTTTTTGTCCACACAGTTGATGAAACCTCTACGGTAAAACATGACAAAACATGAATTTTAAACTGTTTGTAAACACAACACGTTGAATCCAAAAATGTAAATAAATAAGTGAAATAATTACATTAAATAATTAAAATTAAAAATTAAATATTAGTGATTAATAAATATTAATGCGGAACATTTATAATTACATTTATAAATACATTTATAACATTAAATCCAAAACTTTAAATAAGTAAATTCAGTTTCATGTATAAAATCTTTTGGATTGATTTTTCACCCGAAGGACGAATTTACCTCTGGAGAGAAATTAAACGAATCCTGAATATTAAATATCTGCTATCTAGGTATAGCTGGGCATTTTAGTATGATAACATATTAAAATATGGGAAAGCGTGGCTCGCATTCGACAGCTGTCGATGCCGATCGTCCTTAAATGGATGCCGGCAAATTGCAAATTGCGAATTTCTAATAAATGTATTATTCAAATACTAAAATATGTACTTGAATGGAATAAATGCAAATAAAAACCTAAAAAGTTTGCGGATTTATTTCTCGCGCACAGAAAAATCACGCACCTGAAAAATCTTTCGAAATTTCGAGAGCACATCGAATGAATCTTCGCATCGCATTTGGCATTATCCTTGAAATATCCAGATGACTGCAGTGATTCTATCATTTTTTGCGTGCTTTTTGTTGAGTTTTATTTTCGCGAGGATTTTACCGACCGAATGGTAACATCTGTCTGTCCGTCGGAAATCCTCGGGATGAAAAAGCCAATAAAGGATTCAGTTTGCCTGACGAGTTGACGACTTTTTAGATTTACGGTGGTATTACTAGCGAAAGAAAGTTTTCATAAAACTAATTTACTTAATAATTATTTACCTGACTGGAATATTAGGTTTTTACACAGTATATTTGAAATTAAATTAAATTATGTATAAACACGAAATACGAAAGTAATTTGACGTTTTACGGGTGTACAATTCAATCTATATTAATGAATTTTGGTATGGAGATAGATTAAAATATGGAGAAACAGGTAGGCTATTTTTTTCTACAAAAATATATCTTAATAGGGCTTAAAATGGTAAATTAAAGAGTTTATATGAGAATTATGAATGGAGAATTATTTTAGTTTATAAAATTGTACACGGATGGCGTTGCGATGCACTTATTTACATTAAATATCGATATATCGCCGTAGTCGAAATATCAACTTGTTTTTATCAACACAGTTGATAAAACCGCTAGGGTAAAACATGACAAAACATGAATTTTTAACTGTTTGTAAACACAACACAGTGAATTCAAAAATGTAAATAAATAAGTGAAATAATTACATTAAAATAATTAAAATTAAATAATACTTATAATAATATTATTTCAATACATTAATAATGCGTCAAAAGCATAAAAAATTACTTTTAAATACATTTAATCAAATAACATTAATTTTTAATTGAGTTAAATGTTATAAATGGTGAAATTTGATAAATTCTCATTAAAGTGTTGTAAAACAAATTAATTAAGGTATTTTCTCCCCATGTGAGATGCCTTTATGCCCTGACACCTTTACAATTCCGGAATGTTTAGAGCAGGAAACGGGCATCGAAAAGAAAAGGACCTGTTAACACAGCCATTCACAACGATTTGATTGGTCGCCACGCAATCAACGGCTTTACCTGGTTTGTTTTTGTCCCTTCGCACAATGAGCAAAGCATGGAAGCGAAAACGTGCGCTTTTAATGAACCTCGTATCGGTGGAGATATCATTTAATTGGAAATTAATTAAATCACGTAATGATCAAGCGCAGATATTTCTGTTTTAATTAAAACAAAAATTTTGTTTATTTTTAGGTATATATAAATAAACAATTGGATAATTCAAAGAATATGTATTTTTTCTTTGCTTTGTAAATTTATAAATTAAAAATTAATTTTGTTTTTACTTTGAAAATGTAGATTAAAATCTAATTTTGCCATAAATCTGCGAAATTATGTTAAATTCAATAAACAAATTTGGTGGGTTTTGAAATCTAAGAATTTTTAGGTTA